CTATGCATTAAAAAACAGTTTTTTACTAAATTTGTTTACAAATATTATGTTGAAAAAACGAAGAAGTTTTAGCGTTCTAATGTAAACCTTTTTTAAGATATTCAGAAAACTACAAGGAGGTGGAAACACCCCCCCCCCCCGTCCCAACCATGATAGGGTTAATGGAAAAATTGCCAGGCCTTGTTTCAACGGTGATACCCATAATAAAAGGACATAGAATGACTAAATGCATGATTTTAAATAGTCCTAAGAATTATGAAACTTTGAAATTTTTCAGTGTATACGTACTGAACCTTATCATTTTAAAGTGTTTTTTGAGCTTTTTGAAAATAAAAGCCTTGTAACAGCATATCAAACACAAATAAAAGTACTCAAATGTCGTCTTCGTACTGCACAGTTTATGGGTCCAAGTACAAAAAGCTAAAATCACCAAACAGATCCATTATGCGGAAAATTCGCCGAAATTCCCAGGAATCTTTCATTATCATAAATTATCATTTTTTATCAATAAGGATGCAAAGAAAAAAGATTTAGTTATGGCAGAGCATGATAGAAAAGAACCTCAGAGACACCTATTGGAGAAAAACAGAACTTGAAAATTCTGTGTTGAAGTCCTGAGAATTTCTTGAGAAAAAATCCAGAGAAATTATCAGGAATTTCTCGAACTTATTCTTTTATTTAATTCACCTAAAAATCTGTAAACTTGTTGGCCAAGTCCTGAGAATTTCTCAGGAAGTTCCGGTGAACCATTTGGGAGAATTTCTCAGGAATTTCTTGGGGTGAAATTCCGAAAAAAATTCCCAGGAATTTCTCGAAATTAATTCTCTTATTTAATTCCCCTTAAAAATCAGTAAACATGGTGTCCAAGTCCTAAGAATTTCTCAGGAATTTCCGGAGAAGTTCTGAGGAATTTTGTGGGGAAAAATTCCAAAGAATTTTTCAGGAATTTCTTGAAAGTAAGTCTCGAAACTGTGATCCCACAAACATCTCTCATCTTGGGGACCAATTCTGGGGAATTTCTTGAAAATTTCCGAGGAATCAGTTACATGAAATGATTCTCGAGAACTTCCTCGAAAATTCTTCAAAGAAAGTCACCACGGTTGGAGAATCTGGGGAAATTCCCCACTTTTGTTACTTGGGATCTGTGATTTACTACGTTTCAGAATCTTATTTGACCCATTGTATGCAAGGATTGGTTATGCCCATATATTTCATTGTTTACATTAAAAAGGCATGGACTGCAGTTTCTGAGAGAAATGTTTTATTTTCTTTATATTCACAGACTAAGACATGTATCAAATGCTGTACTCGTAAAACTGCTATCAGCCCAGGTACAACTCGTAAACTATCAATGCCAATCAAGGACACAATCTTATAAGCTTCAATCTCAACACATACACGAGCTTAAAACTATCAATGCCAAACCAATTGGCACCATCTCATAGGCTTCAATGTTTACACTGACTTAAGCTCGAAACTATCAATTACAACCAATGGGAACGATCTCATAGGCTTTAATTTCAACACGGACACAAGCATCAAACTATCAATGTCAAACCAATAAACACTATCTTGTCAGCTCGTATGCTTAAACAAGGAACAAATTACTTCTTTCACCATTATCAAAGCGGAGTATATTCCAACTAATGTGTATTTAGAAATCTATGTTACAGATTAAGTTAATATGCGATATTTACAAGATTTGTGCATATATATATCATCGTAGTTAGGCTTATCACAATATCTAGCTAGTCTAATTGTATTGCAAGTTTTGCGTAGATAAGGATAAGTGCAGTTAGATTTATAGGCAATGCACAACATAATTTATTTAACTGTATTCATTACATACAGACTGTTCATAAGCTCTACCTGGAGAGGCTAAGCAGGCCTGTAGTGTCCAGGCTCGCAATGCTACATTTCCATGAAAGATTTTTGACTGCGTCTATTGGCCACTTGTTGCATATAATTCCCATTCATAGGTTAAGTTTTATAATTCTTAAAAAAATATGACCTAACTCTTAACATAAAATTTGTAAATTTAGTCTTTTTTTGAAGGTTTTGTATTTTGTATCCAAAGGATCCTTAGATATCCCAGAATGCAGACAATTGTTTATTGGTTGTGTACTCCAGTTGTACACAATGGACCCTTGTGGAAAATATTGCATTTTCTAGCCTTTAATGGATCACTATTCTCTTATATCTGTTTTCATATTCCTCCCAGAAATTACACACCTTTTAATAAAACAAAGATATTTATTGTTCCAGGGATCGACCGATTTTAATGATTTTACCCATGGGCACTGTGGTTCAAAGGATCGAAATCCTTCCTTAATCTTTAACTTTTAATCAGTTTTAATTTTTAAATGGCCAGCAAAAGATTTCAACTTTAATAAGTTATTTTTATTAAATTTTACAATATTTTTAAATATCTATATGATATCAGATGGAAATATTTTGAGATTTCATATTTCTTGTTTTTCATTTTTTCTTGATTGTCCATCCTTCAATCATATTTCGGCTAATTTTGAAAATAAAAATAAATGTATATTTTGGATGTCCTTGTAATTAGCCAATCTACAAGAAAGAACAATTTTTCCGAACCCTGTATTTTCAGAACTATATTGAATTCTTGAGGGCACGAGGGGGGGGGCAATAGTTAGTTAAGCAACGTAGCTCAAATTCATTGAATTCGGTCCCAGGTAAACCTTCATTGGTTTTAAGTTTTTAGCTAAAGATATTTTCAAACAGAGGGAATTGAGTTTTTGACTCAAACTCAAATTTTCTCATAGTCGTAGACCTTGGATATTTAAAATTATGAAAAATTTCAGTATGAAATAATAAAGTCTTACACCATCAGGCTGCTAAGAAGTGGAAATAAGAAAATTTGATATTGTGACAGATACTCATTATATTATAAAGCAATTCTTTTTTCTAAACAAAATATGATGGTTTAGCCTCTTCTTTACAATTGATCCCAAACTTTTAAAACCATTTGTCTCAATTTTGACAAATTTTTATTATTATGATTTTTTTCTGATTCTAAATGTTTATAGAAATCAAATTTCTAGTTTTGGTTTTGAATTAAACTTGAGGCTGTGATCAAAAGACTTCAATTTACAACAAAACTTTCATTTCTACACTTCAAACTTCAAACTTCAAACTTCAAACTTAACGGAAAAGTTTTGAATAAACAAAACAAAAAATATCCTTTAGACTAAAAGACTGTATTTCTTGAATTAAAAATTGACATTTTCCTCTTTTAACATCTATCTGAGAAAATTTGGAAGATATTCTCGTTTTTTTCTCTCAATAAATAGAGAATCACTTTGTGTCACAGTTTTAGTCCCATTAAATAAATTTAAAATACTGTTTCACCGGTGCAAGGAGATAAAACTATATATGTCCACTTGAGTATATTATCCTGAAAGTTCACTTCTATTTCCTTCAAAGATTGATAGTTATGTCAGAAAGCTCTTCAGTAGAAGAAGAAGAAAAAACGATAAATCAGAAATCTGAAACAATGTTCACAGTAATAATATAGCTCAACAAAATGACAGTTGGAAACATTTCAGATTTAAAATATTACTCTACAGAATTTGGATCTCATAGAAAACTCTGCCAGAGTTAATTTTGAATACTACTTGCAGAATTATATCCTAAAAGGTTACTATACAGAATATTAGTGCGGAAAGGATATCAGATCATTAACACTTTACACTGCAGAATATCAGATCTAACACTTTACAGCTTATCAGATTTAACACTTTTACACTGGAAAATATCAGATCTTACACTTTACTCTACAGAATAAAAGATCTAAAACTTTACTCTACAGGAAATCAGATCTAACACTTTACTCTTTAGGATATCAGATTTAACACTTTACACTGGAGAATATCAGATCTAACACTTTACAGTTTATCAGATTTAACACTTTACACTGCAGAATATCAGATCTTACACTTTACTCTGCAGGATATCAGATCTTACACTTTACTCTACAGGATATCAGATATAACACTTTACTCTACAGGATATCAGATCTAACTCTTCACAATACAGAATAACAGATCTAACACTTTACTCTAAGGACATCAGATCTAACACTTTACTCTACAGAACATCAGATCTAACTCTTTAATCTACAGGATATCAAATCTAACTCTTTACTTTACAGGATATCAGATCTAACACTTTACTCTACAGGATATCAGATCTAACTCTTTACTATACAGAATAACAGATCTAACACTTTACTCTACAGGATATCAGATCTAACTCTTTACTATACAGAATAACAGATCTAACACTTTACTCTACAGGACATCAGATCTAACTCTTTACTCTACAGGATATCAGATCTAACACTTTACCCTACAGAATAATAACTTTAAGAATTTAGTTTATTTAATGTGTACAATATATGTCAAAAGATCTCACTATATAAAATTATCCATAATTTGTAAAAATAATAGATATTTTTGAGACAAATGAAATAATTGGAAGAAATTAATTATAAAATCTAATTATTCAGTCATATTGTCTAGACTGGGCTGATGTTGTTTACTTAACTTATCTAAAATATGTTAATTCAGCAAAAACTGAAATTAAACATATTGTAACTTAAAATGATGAAATAGAAAAGAATTAAAGATGATGATGATCTTCAAGTTAATAGATGTTTGGTTGAAATGTATAAATGTATGCAGGGTGTCTCTTTTAGACATTGCAGAAATCACCATCGTTCACTTTTTAAAATCTATGAAACATTTTCGACCGATTGATATTCACCCTGCAGTTAGTATTAAAGGGAGGGCTTTGGGTATGTAGGAAAAGTCATAAAATTTCAACAGCCTCAGACCAATACTTTTTGAGTTATGTAAAATAAACTACAGGGGGGGGGGTCAAATTGACCCCCCCCCAGCAGGAATAGGGTTAAAGAACATTTCCGGTTTCGATTTTTTTTACTTTCCACACTGTATTTTCATATTGATTTTATTAGGATGAAGACCAAAGCAGAGTTGGCATTTTTAGCAAAGAAGGAAGAGAGGGATCGGGAGAGAATTAAGAAAAGAGCAAACTTTAACCACAAGGAGAAGGTGGAGAAGTTCAACAGCTACCTCAACTCCCTTAGCGAGCACTACGATATTCCTAAGGTTTCTTGGACCAAGTAGTTGATAGTTGTTCCTGCCCATGATGAACAGTATTCCTTGACATCTGATCAAGTTCTCTACGGAGGAGAATCCAAAAATTTTACTTGTTTCGCGTTAATATTACAGTTTCTGTCAAGTAAAAAAACGTATTTTGACGATTTTTTTGCATTTTGATAAAGACTAAAATTGTTTTCACCATATTCGTTAAAAAATGAAAGCCAGTCTTTTTGTAAACCTATTTGTAAACTTTTCTGATGGCGGTCTGGGGGATGTTTCATCGAAGGTTTTTTCAAAACATGTTTTTATTAGTAAAAACAAAAAATCATATTATTGTACTAGATGTTAGAAACAAATTATATTAAATTTACTTTATCCGATCATTATTATAATCTTACTCTAATCCGAAGGATGATTATTCATTTTTTGTAGTTCATTTTATATTCCAAAAAATGTGCGTTGATTTATTATTTTTGTCTGTTTCTTGAGAATCATTCACGTTAATATTTAAGTATTTGTAAAAATCTATATTTCAGAGCTAATATTTTAGCATTGATATAAGTAAAGTGGGAGTATTGAAGTATGTCAGGGTTACCCCCCTATCAGTTCCTGCCTCCAGGGATGCCCCCAGGGCTACCCCCTGGACATCCTGCCTGGCAAGCAATGATGGCACAACAGCAGGCACAGCAACAAGCTCAGCTAGCCGCTCAGGTATGTGAAGATGCTTTTCACAGGGGTTTTTAATTTCTTGTAAAATCTTCACTTTCCATTTCTTCGAAAATCAAAGTTTTCCCAGTTTGTTAGGAATTTAAAAAATTGGGAATTAAATGATTTTGATAATAAATACTTGTTAAGTTGTTTTTTGAGATTTACACGTTTTGAGTCGGTACAATTAATAATTTTACATTAGTTTAGTCAGAATGAATCGTTAAGATAATGTGGTCATAAATAAAACAATCAAAACTTACCTTCAGGGAAAGAATCCCATCCCGGCCATTCAAAAGTTTTCTGTTGAGATTTTTTTTGTGGAGACTGGGAACTTAATTGAAGTGCAGTTTTCTTAGCAACTTGTAACATTGATGAATCATACAGATTTATTAGTCTGGTATCGAATTGAAATGCATAAGACACAAAGCATAACAAAGATTTACCAGGCCTTACCTAAACATGACATGGTATCATTCAGACTTAATTAAAGAGTCATGACCTATATACCACGGTACCTTTATCAACCTTTATCTATTTAATAATGTGAAAGATAACGTCGTGTTTCTTGTTTAAAGTATTTAATTCTGATACTTAAAAACTATAATTGAACATTCTCAGTTTTCAAAAATTAAACTATGGATATCTAATTCATATTTGATCAGCAAAGCTTTTAAGGGTACCGTTGTTAATCGGATTTCCCGCTCAATAAATGAGGGTTAACCATACCATCCCTTTAACATTAATCATCTTTATATCTTGAAGTAAAATTTTCATCAATTTTTTTAGAAATAATTATTTAAATTTTAGGTACGCAGAGAAGCGTAAGTTTGGATTTGTTGACGCTCAGAAGGAGGATATGCCCCCAGAGCATTTGCGTAAAATCATCAGGGACCACGGAGACATGTCCAGCAGGAAGTACAGACACGATAAGCGTGTCTACCTCGGGGCACTCAAGTATATGCCGCACGCTATTCTCAAACTTATGGAGAACATGCCTATGCCATGGGAGCAGATTAGGTAAATATTTAATAATATCAACGGAGTTAGTTTATTCTATGAGATACGTTTCTGTTCTGAAAAAAAATAATCTTTTTAACGGAATTAACGACTATTCTTGTATTTATTATTTTCTAATTTTAATGTCTATCTACTTAATAGTAAGTAAAGTAAGTAAAATACAATTATTTGAGAAAACTCGGAAAAGTATTAAATATCTCAGATTTCGAAAACCCCATTTTTATGGCAAATCGGTCTGCTAGGCAGCCCAACAGGCGATTAAAAATATTTTTAGTTGGTTTTCATTTAATTTTTAATTAATTCATAATTAAAAGTTATTTTTTTTCTTAATTTGTTATTAATTTTAGGGACGTTTCCGTACTCTACCATATCACAGGAGCGATCACGTTTGTGAACGAGATCCCCTGGGTAATTGAACCTGTCTACCTCGCCCAGTGGGGCTCCATGTGGATCATGATGCGTAGAGAGAAGAGAGACAGGCGGCATTTCAAGAGGATGCGTTTCCCTCCCTTCGACGACGAAGAGCCTCCGCTAGATTATGCTGACAACGTTCTGGACGTGGAACCATTGGAGGCAATCCAGATAGAGATGGACGAGGATGAGGACAAGGCTATCAAGGTGATCAAGAATTATTTTTTAAGTTTCACTGAATTATCTGTTCTCACAAATGTCAAATGATTTGGTTCAATTGAAAATGCATCTTAATTTATCTTAAATTTTTTATAAACTTATTTATGTTTTAGGATTGGTTCTATGACTCTAAGCCTCTTGTTGACAGCAGATACGTTAACGGAACCTCATACAAGAAGTGGAACCTCTCTCTGCCCCAGCTGGCCTGCCTCTACAGGATGGCGAACCAGCTGCTTACCGACCTCGTCGACGACAACTACTTCTATCTCTTCGACATGAAGTCGTTCTTTACAGCCAAGGCTCTAAATGTTGCAATCCCCGGCGGGCCAAAGTTCGAACCTCTTGTGAAAGATTCTCTAGCCCAGGATGATGATTGGAATGAGTTCAACGACATCAACAAGATCATCATCAGACAGCCCATTAGGACGGAGTATAGGATTGCGTTCCCATACCTGTACAATAACTTGCCACAGTTTGTGCACATGTCCTGGTATCATACTCCTAACGTTGTCTACATCAAAGCAGAGGATCCTGACCTACCTGCCTTCTACTTTGATCCTCTCATCAATCCAATCTCTCACAGACACGCACAGAAGAGCATGGACTCCGAGCTGCCCGAAGATGAGGAGGAGTTTGAGCTTCCTGAGGAGGTGATCCCCTTCATGCAGGAGTCTCCTCTGTACACCGACTACACCGCTAACGGAATTGCTCTACTCTGGGCACCGCGTCCATTCAACCTGAGGTCAGGACGCATGCGTAGAAACCTGGATGTTCCTCTGGTTAAATCCTGGTATAGAGAGCACTGTCCTCCTGGTCAACCTGTGAAGGTACGTGTGAGCTACCAGAAACTACTCAAGTATTTCGTGCTGAACGCGCTGAAGCATCGACCCCCGAAACCACAGAAGAAGAGATATCTGTTCAGATCATTTAAAGCAACAAAGTTCTTCCAGTCGACCAGCCTGGACTGGGTGGAGGCAGGACTACAGGTTTGCAGACAGGGATACAACATGTTGAATCTCTTGATTCACAGGAAGAATTTGAATTATCTCCATCTTGATTATAATTTTAACCTCAAGCCCGTGAAGACCCTGACCACTAAGGAACGTAAGAAGAGTAGGTTCGGAAATGCTTTCCATCTGTGCAGAGAGATTCTTCGTCTCACCAAGCTTATTGTTGACAGTCATGTACAGTACAGGCTTAACAACGTTGATGCGTTCCAGCTTGCTGATGGTCTACAGTACGCTGTAGCTCACGTAGGTCAGTTGACTGGTATGTACAGGTACAAGTACAAGCTGATGAAACAGATCAGAATGTGCAAGGATCTGAAGCACGTGATCTACTACAGGTTCAACACAGGACCAGTAGGTAAAGGTCCGGGTTGCGGAATCTGGGCTCCAGGATGGAGGGTCTGGTTGTTCTTCATGAGAGGAGTTACGCCGCTACTGGAGCGTTGGTTGGGTAACCTTCTCTCCAGGCAGTTCGAGGGTAGGCACAGCAAGGGAGTCGCCAAGACTGTCACAAAGCAGAGAGTTGAGTCCCACTTCGATCTTGAGCTCCGAGCTAGCGTTATGCACGATATCATCGACATGATGCCTGAGGGTATCAAGCAAAACAAGGCGAGGACAATCCTTCAACACCTGAGTGAGGCCTGGAGGTGTTGGAAGGCGAATATCCCCTGGAAGGTTCCAGGTTTACCTACTCCTATTGAGAACATGATCTTGAGATACGTGAAGATGAAGGCGGACTGGTGGACCAATACAGCTCACTACAACAGAGAGAGGATAAGGCGAGGTGCTACGGTTGATAAGACCGTTTGTAAGAAGAATCTGGGAAGATTAACCCGTCTGTATCTGAAAGCTGAACAGGAGCGTCAGCATAATTATCTCAAGGACGGACCATACATCTCTCCGGAGGAGGCTGTTGCTATTTACACCACCACAGTGCATTGGTTGGAGTCAAGAAGGTTTGCTCCGATACCATTCCCTCCACTCTCATACAAGCACGATACTAAACTTCTCATCCTAGCTCTTGAGAGACTCAAGGAGGCTTACAGTGTGAAATCCAGACTTAATCAGAGCCAAAGAGAAGAGTTGGGACTTATTGAACAGGCTTACGATAATCCTCATGAAGCTTTATCCAGGTTTGATTTATTGATTTTTGATAAGACTTTTTAAACACTATTTCCAAGTGAGGGATAGTGTGTGATAATTAGATGAAACATTTTTTATAAATTATTTTGACTTATTCCTGGGGGGGGGGGGGTGATTATTGATTATTTGAAACTTTAAAAATAATTGATTTTTTGTTCAGAATTAAACGTCATCTGTTGACACAAAGAGCGTTTAAAGAGGTCGGTATTGAGTTTATGGATCTTTATTCGCATTTAATCCCCGTGTATGATGTTGAACCCCTGGAGAAGATTACAGACGCCTACCTGGACCAGTATCTCTGGTACGAGGCGGATAAAAGACGATTGTTTCCGCCATGGATTAAACCCAGCGATACTGAACCTCCGCCACTCCTTGCTTATAAATGGTGTCAAGGGGTTAATAATCTACAGGTAAATCAACAACATACTGAACTTATTTTTAAAAATTTAAGTATTTTAAGCCATTAAAAACTAAGCAAAACTTATAATAAATCTTAGAAGGTTTTAAGTAAATCAATCAACATCATTTTAGGGTAAATTTTTCCCCTCATTAAGATTAATAAATATAGGGTAAATTATTTTTTAATTGATTTTATTATCATCAGGGAGAGAGGGCCGGGGTGGGGTGGGGGCACGTGGTAGGATAATTTCGTGAACTTAAATAACATAATTTCGTGATTTACTTAAATAATACGGAATTATTATACTTGAGGATGTTTGGGAGACCGGAGATGGAGAGTGCAATGTTATGATGGAATGCATGTTTGAGAAACTTTATGAAAAGATTGATTTAACTCTGCTTAACAGACTTCTCAGGCTCATTGTTGATCATAACATCGCCGATTACATGACAGCCAAGAACAACGTGGTGGTCAACTACAAGGATATGAACCATACTAACAGCTACGGAATAGTCCGTGGACTGCAGTTCTCCTCGTTCATCGTCCAGTACTATGGACTAGTGATGGATCTACTCGTCCTTGGGTTGAACCGTGCCTCGGAGATGGCCGGTCCGCCCCAGATGCCGAATGATTTCCTGAGTTTCCAGGACGTGGATACAGAGGTTTCTCATCCTATCCGTCTCTACTCAAGATATGTGGATAGGTTCCATATCTTCTTCAGGTTAAACAACTTTTTAACACCTTAAATCAGTGCTTAATTTTCATTTCTTTCATTTCATCTTGATGCTATCCTGGATTCCTCCTGAACAAAATTGATCCTGATCCGAAGTTAGGTTATACATATTTCTTCAAGGTTTTTCGTATTTTTTAACAAAAGAAAAACTTTTATAATTTTATTCCTTTTTTTCGCTTTTTTATGCTGAAACTTAATGAACTATTCAAATAGCACAGCTTTAGATGAATATTTTGAATTTAATTTAAATTTTTTTAAATATCAAGATGTTTCGTTTTTTTGACAATGTCAGGACCTATGTTCTGGAAACCGAATATTTGAATATTAATCAGTCATGTGAACATTGGTTTCATTGTAATTGAGCACGGAGGGTGGGATTTCTTAAAATCATTTTTGACGAAAGCATTTTATTATTAACTTACTTTACAAGTTTACATATATAGTTTTGTATCGTTTATATGTTTATGTTGTTGTAAACCCATCTTACATTCTAAATAGACATATAACGTAATCATCATATGGTCTGATTATAGGATCATGTTGAAGTTAAAGTACAGATCATCACCTGCGTATTTCCTGATTATTTCATAATCAAATTATTATTTAAAGATTATTCTGACCTTTTGAAATAAATTAATATATCAATGTTTTTTAATATTTGTTTTCAGTAAGTGGTTAAAAATACCTTTCTTTAAATGACTTTTAGACGATGTATATTTATAATTTTTGTATTTCTAGATTCTCAGCGGAAGAAGCAAGAGATCTTATCCAGAGATACCTGACCGAGCACCCTGACCCCAACAACGAGAACATTGTTGGGTACAACAACAAGAAGTGCTGGCCCAGGGACGCCAGGATGCGTCTCATGAAGCACGATGTTAACCTGGGACGTGCCACCTTCTGGGACATCAAGAACAGAATGCCGAGGTCCGTGACCACTATCAACTGGGACGCGTCCTTTGTCTCCGTGTACAGCAAGGACAACCCCAACCTGTTGTTTGCAATGGCTGGGTTTGAGTTGAGAATTTTGCCGAAGGTTCGAACTACTCATGAGGAGTTCACACACAGGGACGGAGTCTGGAACCTGCAGAACGAGGTGACCAAGGAGAGGACTGCTCAGTGTTTCCTCAGAGTTGACGAGGAATCCATGTCAAAGTTCCACAACAGAGTTAGACAGATTCTCATGGCATCTGGATCAACAACCTTCACCAAGATTGTCAACAAGTGGAACACCGCGCTGATCGGTCTCATGACCTACTTTAGGGAGGCCGTCGTCAACACGCAGGAGCTCTTGGACATGTTGGTCAAATGTGAGAATAAAATCCAAACTAGGATTAAGATTGGTCTCAATTCTAAAATGCCAAGTAGGTTTCCTCCTGTTGTGTTCTACACACCCAAGGAGTTGGGAGGACTTGGTATGTTGTCCATGGGTCACGTTCTCATTCCTCAGTCTGATCTCCGATGGTCTAAACAGACTGACACCGGGATCACCCATTTCCGGTCAGGTATGAGCCACGACGAGGATCAGCTGATTCCCAACCTGTACAGGTACGTTCAGCCCTGGGAGGCGGAGTTTATTGACTCCCAGAGAGTTTGGGCGGAGTATGCACTGAAGAGGCAGGAGGCAGCTGCACAGAACCGGAGGCTGACCCTGGAGGATCTGGAGGATTCCTGGGATAGAGGTATTCCTAGGATCAACACACTGTTTCAGAAGGATCGGCACACACTAGCCTATGACAAGGGATGGAGGGTCAGGACGGAATTCAAAGCTTATCAGGTTCTCAAGCAGAACCCGTTCTGGTGGACACATCAGAGACACGACGGTAAACTCTGGAACTTGAACAACTACAGGACGGATATGATCCAGGCTCTAGGAGGAGTTGAAGGTATCCTAGAGCATACGCTCTTTAAGGGAACTTATTTCCCAACCTGGGAAGGTTTGTTTTGGGAGAAGGCCTCTGGATTTGAAGAGTCTATGAAGTATAAGAAACTAACCAACGCTCAGAGATCCGGTTTGAACCAGATTCCCAACAGAAGATTTACCCTTTGGTGGTCGCCTACAATCAACAGAGCCAATGTCTACGTCGGATTCCAGGTCCAGCTTGATTTGACCGGTATCTTCATGCACGGAAAGATTCCAACTCTTAAGATCTCTCTCATTCAGATCTTCCGTGCTCACTTGTGGCAGAAGGTTCACGAGTCCGTTGTCATGGATCTGTGTCAAGTATTCGACCAGGAGCTTGATGCTCTCGAGATTGAAACCGTGCAGAAGGAAACTATTCATCCCAGGAAGAGTTACAAGATGAACTCCTCCTGCGCAGATATTCTCCTCTTTGCCGCGTACAAGTGGAATGTATCCAGGCCAAGTCTGTTAGCGGACAGCAAGGACGTGATGGACTCCACCACCACCCAGAAGTACTGGTTGGATGTTCAGCTCAGGTGGGGAGATTATGATTCTCACGACGTGGAGAGGTATGCCAGAGCTAAGTTCCTGGATTATACAACAGACAACATGTCTATCTATCCTAGTCCTACAGGAACCTTGATTGCTATTGATCTTGCATACAACCTTCATTCAGCCTTCGGAAACTGGTTCCCCGGAGCTAAACCTCTGATTCAGCAAGCTATGGCCAAGATCATGAAGGCAAACCCTGCTCTGTATGTGTTGAGAGAAAGGATAAGGAAGGGTCTGCAGCTGTACTCCTCTGAGCCAACTGAACCCTACCTCTCCTCCCAGAACTATGGGGAGCTGTTCAGCAACCAGATCATTTGGTTCGTAGACGACACCAACGTGTACAGGGTGACTATTCACAAAACCTTCGAGGGTAATCTCACCACCAAGCCTATCAACGGCGCAATTTTCATCTTCAACCCCAGAACTGGTCAGCTCTTCCTCAAGATTATCCATACCTCTGTATGGGCCGGACAGAAGCGTCTCGGACAGCTGGCTAAATGGAAAACTGCTGAGGAGGTTGCAGCTCTTATCCGTTCTCTCCCCGTGGAGGAGCAGCCTAAGCAGATTATCGTGACAAGGAAGGGTATGTTGGATCCCCTTGAGGTCCATCTTCTTGATTTCCCCAACATTGTAATCAAGGGTTCAGAGCTCCAGCTCCCCTTCCAGGCCTGTCTCAAGGTAGAGAAGTTCGGAGATCTTATTCTGAAGGCGACGGAACCTCAGATGGTTCTGTTCAATCTCTACGATGACTGGTTGAGAACAATCTCCTCTTACACTGCGTTCTCCAGGTAATAATTTTTTTTTTTTTAAATTTAAGAACCTTTAAAAAAATCAAATTTAACAGGCGAAAACCTTAAACTGTATCTTCCAGGTTAATCCTGATTCTACGAGCGTTGCACGTGAACAACGACAGAACAAAGATAATCCTGAAACCAGACAAAACCACGATCACGGAGCCCCACCATATCTGGCCAACTCTTACAGACGACGAATGGATCAAGGTTTGTTAAATCAGCTTTTATTTGTTACAAAATCATCGAAATTTAATAACAAATATTTTTTCCTTTTTTTAAATTCGTCGAAATATGAATGAAAGATGGACGAACAGGAAGAAAGTGAAGAACGGGAAATATAGAGATCTCAAAATATTTTCATCTGATATCATATAGATATTTAAAAATATTTTAAAACTTTATCAAAATAAATTGTTAAAGTTAAAAAAAAAAAATATTTTCTGATATTTTGTTTTGTTCAGGTTGAGGTGACCCTAAAGGATTTGATCCTGGCTGATTACGGAAAGAAGAACAATGTAAATGTTGCATCTCTCACTCAATCTGAGATTAGGTAATTCTACACTTTTTTCTCCCATTTAATCTTTGAAGGAAAAGTTTCTTTGTTAAAATGTCGTCTCTTTCTTATTTGATTAAAATTATTATGTGATATTTTTTTTCTCCTTTTTCTAATTTTCATTCTAGGGTTAATTTTTGTTTGAAAGGTCTGATTGTAAAATGTAATCTTCTTCGGTCTCATAAACATCTGAATTATGTCTGAGGTTTATCCTGTCTTCTTTACTGCAATTCACTGTCTTTTATTGTTCCAAGTTGCTTTAATGCTAACTTTATTTTGGCAAGAGTTAACTTGTTACTCTGATGTTCCCAGACATTCAAGTCATGGTCTTTCTTTTATAGTTTTGTCAGATTTTCTTGAGAAAACTTGGTTTGGCGCGGATCGAGAAATTTTGAATTAAATGTAAAGTTTTTTGGCAATTAAATATACTTGAGGTCGAATTTAAAGAATTTGAGCCACGATTCAAACATGGTTGGTCTGCTTGATATTGTATCAAATGTTATGAGATTTGAACCGGTTTTTTGACAGATCAGCGACGCGATTGAAATTCTTCAAATTCGGCCTCTTTATTTAATATTTTTATTTCTTCAGAGATATTATCCTTGGTATGGAGATATCTGCCCCTAGTGCTCAGAGGCAACAGATTGCAGAAATTGAGAAGCAAACCAAGGAACAGAGTCAGGTAAACATAATTTTTTTTACTCTTCTGGGCAAAGGATTACTCGCCTCAAACACAGATTTTCTCATTTCTATACCTTTCCAACCTGATGGTGGATGATCATTTTAGGAGAGTTAATTGAGATTGTGAAAAAAGCAGTGCTTAAGATCCGGATCCGTTGGATCCGCAAGATTTTAGCCTCCTGCATCCGGATCCGCAAAAATAAGCGGATCTACGGATCCCGATCCAAGGGGCAAAATATCAACCAAAAACTGCAAAAAAATACTTTTTTACTCTCTAAACCCAAATTTGAACTATTGAAAAAAGAGAGATTATAAAAATCATCTGATTTCTGAATGATTCATCAAGTTTTAGCATAAAAATAACCGAAAAAAATCAGACCTTATTTGAAAATTCTGCTTTGTTAAAAAATTTCAGTAAATCTTAAAGAAATGACCTGGATCTGGATCCATATTTTCCCAGTACGGATCCAGGATCCGGATTTCGCATCACAATAAAATGAATCCTAAGCACTTGAAAAAATTGTTTTCCTAAGAAAGTTGTATTTTAAACTGGATTTTTGATGAGCCAGCTGTGAGCCATGATAACTTACTATAAACTTTTACTAAATTCATATTCATCTTTAATCAGTATGCATCAGTGCTTAGCATTCATTTAATTTTGATGCGGATCTGGATCCTGGATCCGCACTGAAAAAGAATGGATCCAGATCCGGATCCAAATCCCGATCCAGGTCAATTCTTTGAGATTTACTGAATTTTATCTCTCTTTTTTCAAAAGATCAGATTTGGATTTTAGGAGTAAAAAAGTGTGTGTGTTTTTTTGCAGTTTTTGGATCCGCTTCCGTGGATCCGCATATTTTTGCGGATCCGGATCCAGGAAGTCAAAATCTTGCGGATCCAACGGATCCGGATCCTAAACACTGGTATGCATAGTTTGGAATAAAAAAGGTCTAAACATAAGGAAGGGTGTAGAGATATCAGATATCATAAAATAAGATGAGGTATCAGTTCTGTCCTTGGTGATTAGAATCTACTGCATTTACACTTAGAACACAATGATCCAAGCGGCCACGAAAATAATATTTGTTTTATGAGTTTTTAATTGAATTTTTTTCAGTCGAATCTTTTTGAAAATATATTTTATTTTTTAAATTCTGTAAATCTCATCTAAATAAATTTTAGTTGACTGCTACCACTACGCGCTCTGTTAACAAGCACGGTGACGAGATAATCACGAGCACAACGAGTAACTACGAGCGCAACACCTTCGCTAGCAAGACCGAATGGCGCGTGCGCGCTATTTCTGCTACAAATCTCCACCTGCGAACCAACCACATTTACGTGAGCAGCGATGATATCAAGGTGAGCCATTAATGATTTTGTTTCTTATCTCATAGTACAAATTTCTGTTTTATATTTAAAAATCAAGGTTAGGAATTCGAAATAATACGGCTATCTCTACAAAACAAGAACTGGAGGTTTTTGGAATTACTTTTAATGTTAACAAAAGTCAAACTGTGTTTTTTTATTATTTTGCAGAACGAGGTTGTTTTTTGTGTAAAAAAAACCTATTTATTTTATAATAACCAAACAAGATTTTTGTTCATGATTAACCAAGACCTGACGACAGTGTACATTGGGGTGTGTTGTATTTAGATAGTAACTATACTTATCAGTATTAGTTTTTAATGTAACTAAAACGTAACCTACATTTCCTTTAAAACACTTATATATGTTGCAAATGACACAAATGTGCAAATGACACAAATGTGCTTATTGGAGCTGTTGCTCAAACTATCTTTCACTATGATGTTGACTGTTAAGTGCAGCTGCATCGTCAAGGTTTATCTTATTCAACCTTAAATCTTTAATTTTAAATTTATCATGATTTTGATTTGATTTGTAATGCATTTTGTTGCATTCAAGTTCTTCAGGAACATGTATTTTTTCATTCTGTTCTGCATATCAATGGATTTTTAACTCGAAATTAAGGTCACAACGCTTTGTCTCTTTGATATTTATATATGACATTATCAAGCATATTAATAAATATTCCCTCCTTATCAATCTAAGTATTTAGTTCTGCAGCCCTGACCTGATTATTTAGCAAATGTTGATTTGAGTCAATAATGTTTAAGATAAAGAAAAATAAATCAAGAAAATTGAAGATTAATTATTTTTTCACTAAAAATGTTCATGATCTTTACATAATAGCCAAGTGTGTATTTTCTTAAAAAAATTCGCGCTAGTGTATTTAATTATTTTTTCCTTTAGCGGAAAAAAGTAGTAGAATTAAAAAAAAATAAATTTAATTTTTGAATAAAGAGTAGCAAAAAGGACGAATAAACTTTCCTTATGTTGTCTAATTTTTTTGAGAGCATCAAAATCATTCCCTCCCCCTCGCCGATTACCGCCGGATCTTTTCAATCATTCTTTATTATTTAGAGTTCAGAGTCCGAACTTAATAAATTTGAGCCGCACATCAAATCTGCCAAAAACCGGTTTCAATTGAGTGCCGGCTTAAATCTTGCAACATTGAATACAATTTTAAGTGGAACCAACCATATTAAAGCCGCGGCTCAAATTCTTTAAATTCGGCCTCATGATTGTTATATTAGGATAGTTAACAAATATTTTCTTTGGCCTGAGCCGGCGATTTAAAAAATTCAAGAAAATACGACTCGGGTCTAAGCTGTTGTTGAGCCTTATTTACGGCTCGGGCTTTCGAATTTAAGTTGCATCTATTTTTCAACAGAATTTAGTTCATAAAACCGGTTTAATGTTGTATTTGGCGGATTTTCATAGTTGGAATTGGTGCATTCCGGGTTTTGATGAGAATTTGACCCAACATTGAGCCTTATTCTTCACTAAAACCAACCAAGGTCGGTTTTATTTTCATTGGGCTTAACTCCTTAAGTCAATCACGTGACACAAGCTGTCGTCAGAGTTGGTTCTAAGATTGGGTCCTAAAGCTGCGTTTAAGGAATTAAGACTCGAGCCGAAGCTTTTAAATCGCGGGCTCAGGAAAATTCAATATTTCATTAACATTTCATATCTTAATTCTCTACAATTACGCGCAATGTTGTCTTAATGTAAATATTTGTTGATAACCGTGTCATGACTTCTAGTTTGAAGTAGAGCAACTTTAATGTTTAAAACATTTTGAAGATAATTAATTTGATCAATAATTTTGTTTTAAGTACTGGTTGACNCCTCCTCCTAACTACAGATCGAGGTGAACCTATTCATGTCCCATACTATTCATACTTGATTCTTTTTCGGACCCCATAAAAGTCCTACTTAATTCTAGTATTTCTCCATTCGAGTCCTATTTCATTTTCGATTTACTCTTATCCTACTCATCCTTTATATTTAGTCCATCATAATTCTTTAAACCTTTTCTGATTCCTTCTTTTAGTCTTAGTTCATTTTCTAATAATCCTTGAATTTTTTATCGTTTTGTTCCCGGTTCTCTTCAATACTTGTTTGCTCTTTGTAATTTGTTCATTCAACAATTTTGCCAGCTATTTTTTCTCTTGCTTCTTTAATCTTCTTATTTCAGTTCTTGTTATTTTTATCTTTCTTTTCATCCCATTTATCCTACGAGCTTTGATAATTAATGATTTAATTATCCGTTCCTTAACATGAGGGTTTAAAAAGACTTAAATTTTCTGTAACCCAGAATTAAAGATTTTTTTTGCCGTGTGTGGGTTGAGGACGTCGCTGACAGTCTCACTTGATTCATTTCATTCTAACTAATCTATCTATCTATAAATTCGTCTTGTCTGTCTGTTTGTTTGTATCCAATAAACGTCAAAACGGTTGAACCGATCGGGCCCAAATTTTTTGTGGGATATCAGGTGACCACAGGGAAGGTCCATAAATGATAAAAAAAAATTGTGTTTCAAAGGTTTTTAATTTTGTAAATAAAATTTAAATTCTTTAAAATCCGCAAATTTTTTTTTAAATCCGCAAAAATTTTCTCTTCTTTGTTTTAAAATGTAAACAAAAAGAACATGTTCACAATTTAAATAGTACATTATACTAATCTATGATTCAAATACGGAAAGTATAAGAAAAAAGTAATCGGCTTAAACTAGAATTTTTCCATATAAATCTGTTCTATGATTTGGGAAAAGTAACCAAGCTTTATAAATTCATGACTTGAACTTGTAAATTGATAGTGTCGGAACCTTTGAATGTCGTCAAATGCATTAACTTCTTTGTTAGAATTTTATCATTTTGTGTTTTGATGGTCCATATTTTTTTCAAAAAAGTGTGTTCTTTATGATCTGTCTTAGCAGTGTCAGAATTTGATAAATTTGAGTCGCGTCTCAAATCCGTCAAAAACCGGTTTCAATTGAGCGCCGGTTGAAATATTACAACATTGAATACAATTTTAAGTGGAACCAACCATATTTGAGCCGCGACTTAAATTCGTTAAATTCTCCCACAGGTCTTAATACTTGTTCTTGCTTTGTATCTGCTCCATTTACTGCATCATATGAATGCTAGCATGAATGGACAGTTCTTGATCTTAAAAATGAAATATTTAGGTTAGAACAAATTTTGATTTATATATTTGTGAACAGTTCCTTTAATTCAGGAGGCCGGATACACCTACATTCTGCCCAAGAACGTGCTCAAGAAGTTTGTTATGATTTCTGACCTGAGAACTCAGATTGCTGGATACCTATACGGTATTTCACCGCCAGATAATCCACAGGTAAAATATTTCCAGATCTATTAAATTGGTAACTTATTTTAGACACCGGTCTTCAGTACGTTTCACAGGAAACCATCTTAAAGTCTAACTAATTTTAAAATAGATTTAGCTGTACTGCACTATCCTGTACAGTTCAGTATCGTACGGTACGGTACGGTACGGTACGGTACGGTACGGTACGGTACGGTACGGTACGGTACGGTACGGTACGGTACGGTACGGTACAGTTTAGTACAGAACAGTACAGCACAGCAAAGTACAACTCAAGAATGTATTGCCCAATTCTATTTATTTAAAAACCTCTGTGATATGATTTTGAACTACTAAACACTCGATACATACTGTTATTGACCGCGGTTAAAGTAAAGTTAAATACTTATTTTTATAACCATTAGTTCTCCAGGGTTTTCACTTTTTTACATAATAATTAAATACTATTTTAATTTAGAGGTCTACAAAAATGTAATATGTAATGAAATTTTTCTTTCTTCATTTTTAAATGAGATTTTTGTAGTAAGTTGATTGTTTATCTCAGTGCTAGATCCTAAAGCTGATTGTTAAGGTGAAAGAGATCCGTTGTATTGTCCTGGCTCCTCAATGGGGAACTCATCAGACAGTTCATCTTCCCGGTTCCCTCCCGTCTCACGAGTATCTTGGAGAAATGGAACCTCTAGGATGGATTCATACACAACCAAACGAACTCCCTCAACTGTCTCCACAGGTTTCTATTTATCCGTTTATTTTTTACCTTGGCTAACCCCTTCATAGTACAGGATAAACTTGCAAACTCATCGGGTGCATTTTTAAACAAATAAAGAAAGAACAATACTTAGAACTTGAAAATAAATGTCGAACACAATATACATAATTATCTATCACAAGCTTGATTTAGTCAATAAACTTTTGGTCTGAGATGCGGGAAGAAGGGCGTACCTAAAACTCAGATTAGATTTGTCTTGATTTGGTAAAAGTATATATGCTATGTTCTTAAATTAATTGTGTACAGTGCAATGGTTTTGAGTATTTTTCTCTTTAACCACGGAATGTATCCAGCATATGATGATATGTTGGGTTTTAAATGCACTTATTCGTTGAAAAAATACCTATGTAAAATGATGAAATGATTTCTGTTTCCAGGATATTTGCACTCACGCGCACGTGATGGCGGAGCACTCTGTCTGGGACGGAGAGAAGACTGTCATCATCACCTGCAGTTTTACTCCGGGTTCATGCTCACTCACAGCATACAAACTCACTCCGTCAGGTTGGTTTTAATCATAGTATTTGATGGTAGTTCTAGACCTAATTTTACAGCGTTCGAATTTAACATTTAAGCCGATAATTTTTGTTTGCTATTATTATGTTTCAGAACTAAGAATGAAATTCAACGATTTTCCTATAAAACTTATATTTATTTATTCATTATCTTATGTTTTGTTATATTCTTGATTATTAAGTTTATTTTTGTTTAGAAAATGTCGAGATATTTATTTAAGTCATTTGCATCATGTTAAGTTTTCTTAGAACTTTTCCTTGTAACACTTTTTCTAGTTTTCAGATATGAAATATAAAAAATATGTATGCAATCTGTATGTGATTTTAATGCTGGATAAACAATTGAGTAAAAAATAAGAAAAACTATTACTAAAAGTTAATATTGTATTTTGTGTCCAAACGTATGTTTCTCACATCATTTTTCAGATCTTTTGTACACCCTAATGTACGGTACATGCTCCTACTAGTTTGATTATGTTTGAACCAGGGATGACCCGTCCTACTCCATGGACTGAGATCAGTACAGATTTTGATCCGGACGAGGAGACGGCAAACTTCGGGACCAGGCATGCTCTAGAGGCAGATGGGAGCATATACGAGGTTAGGGGGGCTTTTATTTTTCATCTTTATATCCTTTCACCCTTTAATTTCTCACCCCTTTCTTTAATCCCTACATTCTTTCATTTTCTCAGCCTTTTCGTAAAGGGATTGCAAGCGTAAATATAAGTTATCTACCTTTTAAAGAGAGATAACCCCGATTGTCTAGGTTTACACACAGAGCTCTCCCTACTCTAGGAAAATTTTATTATTATTATTGTAAACTAATTACTCTATTATATACTGATCTAGACCCCCACGATCACAAAATTGTTAACTGGTTTCGGAATAAATATTCCGAATTTATATTTGGATTCAGTAAAGTAACGTAATAAAGATGGTCCCATAGAAAACCACGGTTCTGAATTGAATAAAAGGGTTTGTGTTGTTGCTAACCTAAATCTTATCCAGCTTATCTTTTCCCGCCAGATATTTAATATTTGATGCATGTGTATCTGGTCACTGTTATTTGGGTAAATTTTGTGACTCCAGCGAAAAATGCGTTAAAATAAATTATCAGTTGCTGTATCCATGGAAATTTTATATGTTAAAGTCTTTAAGAGGATTATGTTTAATCAGCGGCCGAATTTAATGAATTTGAACCGCGTCGCAGAACCGCCACTTACCGGTTCAAATAACGCGATGAATCGAAACACTGATAACAATTTTAAATTGAACCAACCATGTTAAAACGGTGTCTCGTGTTTGAACTATGTCTAGACGCGGTTCAAATCCTTTAAATTCGGCCTTTGATAAACCTTGATCGCGTTGATATATTTACTGTACAAACTCTTAAATTGGGGTTAATGTCCGTGAAAAGTAGCCCATCTGTGACGCTAATGAAGTGTCCAAAGTCTAAGAATGATTGATTAAGATAACAGTTTCTCCCACAGAGTGATTTAGCAATACATTTTAAGTAGAAGGTCTGACAATAAAAAGTGTTTACAACTGTTAACAAATAAAGTTAACACGTATCTATAACTTCATAACTTTAGGGACCTGTTTGAAAACAACTGTTGACAAATAAAGTTAACACGTATCTTTAACTTCATAACTTGTGGAACCTATTTGAAAAGGGACTTGATTTTTTTCTTCTTTTACTCAAATCTGTTCATTTTCACCATTCCCCTTTACTCATATTTCTTTTTCTAATCTTGCAGTTCTCTGTTTAAGTTTTAATTAGAATTCTCGGAACCAGTGAAATACAGTTACGAAACGTACAACTACCCATATTCGGTATCTTCTGATGATATGAAGCTTATTAAAACCGGTTCTAATATGATTTAACACAACTCACCATTGCTCGAGCTCGAATGTTTGATTGATAAAAATAAGAGGATGATTTTAAACTTATTTGAAATAAAGACTAAACATGTATACAATGTATATTTAAGAAAATACGTATTCAACACATCATTTGAATTTTCATTGTACCAACATTATGTTTCATGCTATGCCATCTTTAAGATACTCTATAAAAAAAATATACATATGTGTGTATAATCAAGATTGTGTTTTTCTAATTCACATAATTCTGCACTTGCAAAGCTCCTTTTACTAACTCATAAAAAGGGTAGTTGGATCAGGCCCCCCGTTAAGAAAACTACATTTAACCCCATAAATGAAACATTCATTCTAGTTATATTCATGATATTAAACATTGTGAGTAAAACTAAGGTGTGGGCAAAGGTTTGTGTACACATTTTACTGTGACTCATTATGAATTAATTATAATCAAAACAATTAAAAAATATATATATATATATAAACAAAGGTCGTTATTTTATTTACTGTTGACTATCTGCTGTTTCTAAACAGTCATAATATGCCACAGTTAATATGAACAAACCCTTTCACACCACTTAAGTTCTATAGTCTTCAGTCTACAGTCTACAGTGTGTACATTAACAGGGTTACCCACAAAGGATGAGACTACAGAGACGACTGTATGGACAATTTTCAGTCTTTACTGTCACACTCCTGGTTCTTTGCAATTGCAAACGTATGGTTTTCTTGGTCAAATCTTCTAATATACCATCAAAAGACAGTATTTTAGAAAAACCCCTAAATTCCACATTAAAATGAATTTGTTCAGGGTTTGAGTGGGGTAGAACTAATACAGACAAGTCCAACAATCCCAAGGGATATCTACCCTCTCACTACGAGAAGGTGCAGATGCTTCTCTCAGACAGGTTCCTCGGGTTCTTCATGGTTCCAACACAGGTATACAGTACACTATAAACTTCAAATATTCTTCCTTAACAACTTTTCAAATTCTTAAATGCTAAAAATGTAGTGATTTTTTTATCGCTCAATTCTTACGTCTTAATAATTTTCTCGCTTTAAAATAAAATAAAAAACGTGTTACAAAAATGTTTCTTAAATTGGCATAGGACTCGGTCCTTGTTTGCATTTTAACTGAAGCCAATTGTTTAATGATTTACTAAACACTTTGTTTCCTTGCCTTTTTAATTGTTTGGTTGTGGCGTGGGGGCATTGTTTTGCTTTATCATGCCTACTTAGATTTATCAGATTAATTTACACAATTTACTTCAGTTTAATTTTACATTTGATTCTCAATATTACCCAAAATAGATTATTTTGATTGATAATATTTTTATTCTAACAAATCCTCAGGATAGTTTAAAATTAGATAATTTCCATTCGTTTTTGTTTTTAGATTATCTCAACTTATAGCTTGTTAATTACAATTGATGATAAAAATGCTCATCGGAATTTCTTTGATTTTAAGTCATGAATCGGCATGGAAGTAAGAAAGTAAGACTAATTCACAAGTTCTACTCAGGGGTGTGTCCATAAATTTTACCCCGGGGGGGGGGGGGGGGGGGGGTCTGAAACTAAACTGGGAAACATAGTTATCTTTTCCAAGTCCCCAAAGCATATGTTCACGACCTGGTCTCATGGAATATTTTAAAACTTTTACTTTCTGTGGTGTCGCTAACAATCTATTATTTAGGGATCTTGGAACTATAATTTCATGGGAGTCCGTCACGACCCTAACATGAGATATGAGCTAGCTCTCTCCAATCCTAAGGAGTTCTATCACGAGGTGCACAGACCTTCTCACTTCATGAACTTCGCAAGTATTGAGGAGGGAGCAGAGGCTGCTGGAGGAGCGGATAGAGAGGACATGTTCGCGTAACGAGGTCATTGAGGACAATTGAACGAGTTTTTTTTCTAGATTTTCACCGCCGGAACTAAAACTTAGTTACCGAATCCCAATATTGTAAACAAATATTATTTTTTTCCATTATTATACTGAGCAAGGTAAACTATGTGAGTGCATTTGAATAAACAAGTTGTAACCAAGTAATTTTTTATCTGATGTCAGAGATTATGAAAAGATTTTTTCTTTCATTCTTCATTCTCGAAAATTCTGAAGTAGAATAATTACAGACAAAAGCGATTCAGAAATATGGATGTTAGAGATGGTTGCTATAATTACTGGACGATTTTCCTTGTTGAAGAGAAGAAAATAATTTTAACTTGCTAGTTTTGAGTAAAGCTAAAGGTTTATGTTTTTGTTGGCGGGGGCGGGATAAAATAATAGCAGCCAAGCGGGGGGAGAGGGGGGTGGGGTTAAAACAATAGTACTCAAGTGATTATAAATTTTTCCCTTAAGGACATAAAAATACTTCTGTGGAGCTTGGATTAATCTTTAACTAACCCCTGCAAATGATTTGTATTTTTCCTGTTTACGCCTAATCTAGTATTTATGTTGGGAGGATGCTGAACATAATTAATAAATATACATTGTCCGTATTTATACCAGTGTATGAACACTGAACAGTATACACTTTACATTATACAATATACAACCATCAAAAAAGAATGAAAAAATTAAACTAGGTTTAAGAAAGTTATTTTTCTGTACCCCTGAGATGTTAGAAGAAGATAATTTTGCGATGGTTCGTTTTCGGTCTTCATAAACATCTTTATCGATGTTATCGATGAACCCAATCGGAAAATAATATTGACAATTGATAAAAATCTTGCATAAAATCGTGGTAAAATAAAATATAGAAAAGTTGACTCATTAAAATGTGTAGAAGAGGTATTGATGAAGCAAACTATTGACCTTAAATGAGTCAAGTATGCAGTAGAACTATTTTTTTTGGAAATGCTTAAAACTTGAATGGAATTTATCTGTCTAAATACAAATTTGCTTGTCTGTTTCTTGTTTGTTTTGGTGTTTGTCTGTCTGTTTGTATCCAATAAACGGCTAAACTGATCGGGCCCAATGTGTGGGATTCCACGTATCCCCATGGAAATTTTACAGATGATCAAAAACTTTGGCCCTAACAAAATTTGATATTAATAAAATTTTGAAAATCCACGAAATTTTTTTTTATGATATCCGCGAACATTTTTGTTTTCGTTTTTGTTTTACAATGTTTACAAAGAGAAAATGTTCACTACTGAAATATAAGATGGGCCTAAACGCCTAGTGTAAGAATATTTCTCAAATAAGAAGAAAAAGTTCTTTGAGAGCTATCTGATTTTCTCATAGAACTTCAGCCGTAGTAAAAAATATCAGCTAAATCGGAGACGGTCGGTCATATCTGCACTCTGCAGGCTGTCCCACATATTTGAAAACAACCTTGTTTGGTGCAGAGTAATCAAGTATATATATTTGTCTTTAACCCTATTCCTGCATTGGTCTGAGGCTGTTGAAATCTTCTGACTTTTCTTACGTACCCAAAGCCCTCCCTTTAGGCCTAAAACCGGGCTTTAATACTAACTGCCTGAGTCCTCAGGCACACTGCCTGAATGACTGCTTTTGCCTGTAACAAACTAAATCTTTGTTTTGACCCACTTTCACTTGTCAGATTTTGATAAAATTTGGCTTTTTGGAAAGCCTATGACATAAGGAAACGGATTGCACAAGTTTTGCGAAAAGAAAATTGCAAATTTTTGCAAACAACCTGTCAAAGGAAATTTGCACATTTTTAGTTTTTCTTGATTAAAAATCAGGTTATTTAAAATTTTGCAAAAATTCTTGCATATTTGAAATGGCATGGTCAAGGGCTTTTCAAAAATGTATAATTTTTCATTTTTTGGACAAATTTTTTTTGCAAACATTTTTACTTTATAACTGGATTTTGCGATAAAAAATTCAATTTTTGCAAATTTGCAATTTTTTTGCAGATTCTAAAAGTAGAGCACAAGAGCTTTCTAATGATGTATCATTTGTCATATTTGGACATTTAACATGGGATTTAGAGGGGGGAGGGGTCAAATTGACCCCCCCCCAGCATATCCTGGTTTTTTAAACACGCAGCCCCCCACTGGAGAGTCAGTTCTAGCAATGATGCTGACGAAGTGGTTGATGCTGGAGATCATGCTGCTTATGGGTTGGAGGGAGCTGGAGTTACTGGAGAGGTTACAGTTCATTAACGTACAGGAATCCGTCAAGGAGAGGTCGAGTACCTTCTTTCTCAGGATAGAACACATAAAATTAAATAAGTGTATAAGGGAGGAGCAAGAATTACATAACAGTTTTTCACATTGAAAATCTTTAAGATTATCAAGAAATTTGGCTATAAAAGATTGTTCAAAAATAGTTTTTGAGCTCTTTCTTTAAGTTCAGATGAAAGCAAATTCCAAGCAGCGGCAGCGGGAAATGAGTAAAAAGGAAATTTTTCTTATTCTCAGCACATATTAAATCATTTATTCGTTTCAACATTTCAACATTTTTTTTGTCGATAATTGAAACAAAGGTTTTAAGGTGTGTACAAAAATGGTGCACAATTTCTATTACACTCAACCTTTATGAAAATAAAGTTAGTGTTTTCTGAAGTGTCCCTCCGGCCTCTAAGATGGCAATGCCGTATTTACAATGCTATCCTTAAAAGCTTCGTCTGTCTGACCAAGTATGAATAAGATACAATGTAATTATACTTTTAAATACTTATTTTTTTAAATTTTGATTTCTCTAAAAAACTGACTTGCGCAGGATAACATAGGAATTAGTAGAATTGAACACATTCAAACCTAGAGAAACGACACTGTTTTCCACATTATTGATCAGATAAGCTGATCTCAAGGGAACTGTTGTGAGGCTCATGAAATTACGCTTACAGTCCCTTTAAGAAGCTGTTATTGGGGTAAAATACACTTACATAGATATTATTTTCGTCTTGTATTCCTGTCCTAATGGACATCTTCGAGAAAAATATGCATAGAGATTAAAGATCGTACTATATATTATACATTTTATCATTAACCGTAGTAAAAAGGAAAGCGGGAGAAAGCAAGTGTACAGCGTAAACCGTTTACATTTAAACATCTGTTCAGTCTTAACTATTCTATACATTAACTAACAATGTGAATCTTAACATCATAGACAAATCAAATTAGAATACAATACTTGCCCTATATTTTCACTAAAAACCACTATAATAACAGAAAACATCTATTCAGTCTCAACTATTCTATACATTAACTAACAATGTGAATCTTAACATCATAGAAAAATCAAATTACAATACAAAACTTGCCTTATATTTTCACTAAAAACCACCTAAAAAAGAAAACAACTATTTAGTCTTAACTACTCTATACAATATACATTACCTAATAATGTGACGAATGTGTTTTCTATATTTTACATATCTTATTTTTACTCCTTGGGGGCAGCAGAAGCAATTTGTTTTCTATATTTTACATATCTTATTTTACTCCTTAGGGACAGGTTAGGCAATTTGTTTTCTATATTTTACTTATCTTATTTTTACTCCAGGGACAGGATAGGCAGTTCGTTTTCTATATTTTACATATCTTATTTTTAACTCTTAGGGATAGGAAAGGCAATTTGTTTTCTATATTTTACATATCTTATTTTTACTCCAATTAGGGACAGGATAGGCAGTTCGTTTTCTATATTTTACATATCTTATTTTTAACCCTTAGGGGCAGCATAGGCAATTTGTTTTCTGTATTTTACTTATCTTATTTTTTACTTCAGGGACAGGATAGGCAGTTCGTTTTTAAATTTTTCATTTTTTATTTTTACTCCCTTCTATATATATTAAAAGATAAGAAAAACCCTAACATCTGATATCTGGGAAAAGGGGCTGAGTATTCAGTAGGGGGGGGGGTGCTCCTCCCCCCCCCTTTGCCAGTGAAATCGTTAGTTTTCAGGGGGTTACGAGGGCCCAACGGATATTGAGCCCCCCTGAACAAATTCCTGAAAATGCCCTTGGTTTATTTTGCTCTGAACCAAGACTATTATGAGGTTAGCTTTAAATCTTCTTACTGCTTATGTCTTTGTTAATTTTTTTGTAAAAATTAATAATTGATTTTAGATCTACTTTCGTAGTCAGCCCTAGAAATAATTTTCATCATCGGCCTGTAGACGAGTGAATACTATGCATATACATCCTAGCTCTAATTTGAATTAAGAAACTAGTAAGTTTAGGATCAAAAGACTCAGGCAGAGAAACTTCTTCTCAAACAGTTTAAAAGTACTAAAATGATCATCCTAGGTTTTAAATCATTTATTGTTTTACACACGAAGCACCAATTTAGGTAGAATCAGGGGCGTGGTTAGGAATTTGTCCAGGGGGGGCTTAAATTTATTTTTCATTCCATGGGGGGAGGGGACTAAGCACCCGTTGGGGCCTAAACCCCCCTGAAATCAATAGATTTCATTGGTCCAGCACCAAGACAGAATTTGAGATATATTCCTTGAATTTATATGATTTCTGATAAATATTTGAAGTTATAAAAACATGTTTTTACAAATATTTTAATATTATGATAAGCATCCAATCTCATTCCCACGAGAGAAGTAATCAATTTTCGAAGCCATTGTGGAAAATTATAAATTGGATCTTTGTTACTTTTTTATGTATTACCACAAAAGATCATTTATTTCAAGTAAAACTAATTTTTTGTTTGAAATATTGATGAATAAAAATAAAATATCACGAAATAATCTGCAAGTTGTCTTAATACGTTTTTTCTACTCATTCGGAATGCTCACAGATTTTGTCCATTAAGCAATTATTTTGTTAGTTGAGACTGTTAAAGTTAATAACGAGTTGCCATTGTTAAAATTTATGCTGTGTTCTTGGTTTTTGAGTGCCATGCAATACCATAATAGCGTAAGAAGTCGTGCAATATTGCGCAGTGCGGAGCGTTTTCGCACACCATTTTTAAATACGTTTTGTCAGTACAAATGATGTCACTGTATACTTTAAACAGAAAAAATACTTAACTTCTAATTGTCTACTCTTCCTTTATTTTGTCTAGACTGTAAACACAACATTAAAATTAAAATTGATAATTAATAATTTAGTTTCTTATCTTGAGAATTAAAATTTATCCATTTTAGAAAATTGGTTACCATGTTAAATTTCTTCAATATAGTCTAAACATATTTTTTTTATATATTCTTTGATTTCGGTGTCGCGTTTCCGAAAGTTTGAATGGTGCGTTAGTAAAGTTTTCTTTGGAAACAACATATTCGGTTAAGTGTATAGGAGAGAGAGAGAGAGAGAGAGAGAGAGAGAGGTAGTTGTATCATAGCACTGGAACAGTCAACTCCTCCGGGTACCCGGGTACTATAGGCTATATCCTGGAGAATTAAACCAACCGTATACCATACTCCTGTGACAGTTCATTGACCCTACTCATAATATCATAATGTTTTTATTTTGACAAATTCAAAAGGGTTTTCAAAAAACGGTTTTTGCGAATAAATAGTTTTCCAAAATTAATTCGATTTCTATTGGTGATTATGATTATTTTCTTTTATTATTTAAATTATGTATCTCTCAGTTATTGTTAAAGGTTCCATAAATATTTTTCCAATGGGTCCGAAATAGAAACGTCGGTTGTATATTGTTTTATTTCATTTAACGTATTTATTCTTCCGGAAATTTTCTTGTTATTTTTCATTTTAACAACGTTTTAAACTATCAGTGGAATTGGTGTTGCCGCTGGTTTTGGCTCCTGTCAATTTACGGTAAAGCCATTTAGCTATACAAGCTCTTTATTCGTTCATTAAGCTCATGTACCTCATTTATTAACATACATAGCTACTTAAACTCCTACATCTAACCTAAAGCTCCTCTAAGCTTTTCTAGCTCATCTAGATCCTTCAGAATCTCTATCATCTCTAGTATCTTTAGCTCCTTTGACATCAGCATCTCATCTAGCTCTTCTAGCTTCTTTAGCGCTTCTAGCTTCTTTAGCTCTTCTAGCTTCTTTAGACCTTCTAGCTTCTTTAGCTCTTCTAGCTTCTTTAGCGTTTCTAGCTTCTTTAGATCTTCTAGCTTCTTTAGCTCTTTTAGCTTCTTTAGCTCTTCTAGCTTACTTAGCTGTTCTAGCTCAATTAGCTCTTTTAAGTCCAGCTATTCTAACTCACCTATCTCTTCTAGCTTACCTAGCTTTTCTCACTTCTCTATTGTGCTTATAGCTTACATGGCTCTTCTAACTCTAATAGCATAGTTATATCATGTTTATCTCTTGAAATTCAATATCTAAATAGTCTCAGTTTAGAACAGATTTAAAAAAAATCTATTTTATGCATCGCAGTCTGGATTTGTAAAGAGCATGACAGATATTAGAAGAAGTAACTTTTGTTCACAACCTTTTATTATGTGAAATATCAATGGCTTTCGCCATTAGGTTCTAAAGATATATGTATTATAAATTTTGAATTTGTGACATGTACTCAGTTTCTTTTACCTATTTCGACTTGGTGAAGTCTGTAGACAGAGGCGTGTGTACTCAAATGGGGGGGGGGGGCTTTTGGTGCAGATCCCCTCACCCTTAATCAGTAAAATCTATGGTTTCCAGTTTTTTTAAGGCCTAATGTGTATTGAGAACCCCCCCCCCTTGGACAAATTTCTGTGCACGCCTCTGTCTGTAGATCATGTTAAGATTTAGCTTAACCCTCAGCTTTTAAACTAGATTACCCCCAATTATAGGACTTTCCAAATATCATTAAAAATAAAAGATTAATGAACCTTAAAACCCTTTTGGCCTGGGGTTGGGTAAAACCTTTATTAGGATAAAAACGCATTTTTACAGCAACTAAAGATTAAAGTCTAAAGAGCAAATATTTAAAGCGATTTACTCCAGAACTAAGATCTCATTCTTCCCTTCAGAAAATATTTACTTTCTTACTTAGTGCCGTCAGGCTCCAAAGGAACATAGGCTATCAACAAACATTCTCCAGTTTCTCAGATACGGGGTCTTTCGGGCTATTCCGCCTTCTTCATTCCAGCACCTTGATTCCAGGTTTAGTTTCTGTTTTATATTTCAATCAGTGTCTGTCTTCTCCAAGTGAGTTTTGGTCTTTCTCTCTTTCTCCTTCCTTGAGGATTTCATTTAAGGACTTGTCTGGTTATTTTATCTCTTGGTTTTCTTAGTATGTGTTAAATCCATCTCCATTTTGTTTGTTTTTTAATTGAAAATAAATAGGATTTTCGTCTTTTGTAGTCCACAGGTTTACATTCGAGGAAAATATAGAGGATAGATGTTATGAAGTACAGCAAAAAATGGTTTTTTCCCTAATAACGAAGGAATTGAGTCTTTGACACCAACTTGAATGTTCTAATCCGTGATGGTGTAAACCTTTAATTTTTCAAACGTTGAATATTTGATCTAACAATGGCCGAATTTAAAGAATTTGAACCACGGTTTAAATCCGCCAAAACCCGGTTTAAATTAAGCGCCGGCTTAAATCTTGTAACATTTGATACAATTTTAAGTGGAACCAACCATATTTAAGCCGCGGCTTAAATTTAAGCCGCCGCTCAAATTCTTTAAATTCGGCCTCTGGATTCATAGTTTGAAATATTTAAGGTACGACATTGTGTTGCAAGAATAAATGGATGAGAAAATGAATATCGTTGAACAAAAACTCTAAAGATTCCTTTTTGGGGTCTAAACATTTGTGTAGATTTTTAATTAAGAAATTGGAAAACAAACAGTAGTATAAAGAAATAAAATAAAGTAAGAGTTCATAACAAAAAGATTGGTATCTACAAATTTTTCTAACCCCATTCATGAAACCGGATTTCCGATACTAGGTTTCATGGCGATATCCTGTTTTAAGTTTCGGGCTCTGGCCACTATTGTTTTTGTAATCCAGACAAACCCACCCTTCACCCCGTTCACCTTCTTGATGCTTCATTCCCTTTCTCTTCAACTATACAATATAGATATATATCCAGGAACTTAATTTACATATTTAACTCTATCATATATGTTAAACCATACAATGCACAATGTTTCTAAACATGATACTTTCACACTTTCTCTGTACTTTATTATTTGCTCCATGTTAAAAAATAATAGTATTCTTGTTATACTATGTCTCAAAATTTCAACCATAGAGAATAGAATATATAGAGAGGAATTAAAAGAATCTCTCGGTATGAATTTTTTCAGTCCCTTTCAGCCTGAAAGGGAGTTCAAAGTGTACAAATCATGTAAATGTTCACAAATTATATGAAGTAGAGTACATTAATATACAGTATGTTCCCTAGACTATTCATTTTAATTTCGAATTTTTTAAACTGTTAAATAAACTTTATAATGAATTAGGTGAATAAAAACATCATTTGATTTATAGTTATAACGGCTAATCATCGTTTGTAAAGTGGAAGGCATAGAGTCTATGTGAAATGATCATTGGTCAATTATGAAACCAGCCTATTTCATAATTTGGTTTTCTTTTAACAATAATTTTAGATTTTCTATAAAATGATTTTCCAGGGCCCAACAGGTTATATAGCATAAATATGTGAAGTACACCTGCAGTATGGAAACAGTACAACAAAATGGCCGTTTTACACTTTTTTCTAGTTAATTCCTCTCTATCTATTCTATTCTCTATGATTAAAACCTAAAGGCGTTGAAAGGATGCTAAGTTTTACTGTTAACTGGCCACGCATGACAAATGTATTATCTTCTTTTGTTAATTAACCTAAATTTTGAAAACGCCCCGCCGCCCCCTATACAGTTTAATTTTACAATATTTTAGACTTTTATTTCTTTTCAGCGTTATTCGGGGACAGTGTTGACTTGGGGTTTTATTTAAATAAACTGATTGACTTCCTAAGGAGTATCTCTGATTTAAAAGGCAGTGGCAGTCCTATTTCTGATTTGTTTCTCTATAAGAAGTTTAGCGTATGTTTACATACAGTACACGATATACTGCATCAAGTATGGTGGTTTACAATCTTAAAAAGGGAAGCAACGGTTCTGTTCTAAGTTAGTAGGGTCATTTTACAGTATATCGTGAATTCACTGTAAAATTATTATTATTATTATATTATTATTATTATTATTATTAAGTATCATCATGAATTCATTTTCATTCTGTTATTTGTTGCATTTTCATAATATTTTTTCAGAAAATATATATGTAAAAAATGAGCTTGAACGGGATCAAACCACCAGACAGGAAAAAAAACATGATAAATAGATCGCTAGAGTGTTAAAGGTCAATCAAACTGATTGATCGATTGCTAGGTTAAAAATCAATGATATATTGTTCCTCTCAAAAATATGTGTTTTTGATACAATTTACAGATTATTTATCTAAGAAAGGTACTTTCGTTCAAGCAATATTCACTAAATACAAATTTTTAATTTCTCGTGTAAACATGCATAAAGCTTACTGCTTGAGGCAATTTTGTATTTTGCTGTATGTATTGACCTTCGAAATTTTCAAATATGCGTCCTTATATAACCGCACGTGGTCGTAGCTTTGTCTTATTTACGATATTACCTCTTATCTCGGGGCATGAACGAGGGGAGGAGGGCAAACCACCATAACCCTTTGTCTGAGCCATATTTTCATTAATCACGCGTCCGAGCCTCTAAGCTTGAAATTATTTCAATATTGTATTGTTATTATTGTTTTTTTTTTAACTTAACAAAACCTTTTTTAATTCTTAACTACAATTCCATATTACATTGCATCAAAACCTAAGCATCTGAATTCAGGCCCGTACCCGTATTGTAAAATTTGGTACCCGTATTGTAAAATTTGCACTAAAAACTAAATTAAGAAAATTTTCCTTGTACTACAAAAGATATCAAATTCAGGGAAAATCGAATTTTCATTAAGTTAAAGCTTAAATTACTAATGTTGTATTGTTGACAAATTTGAAAATAACCTACAAACATAAAATTCAAGCTAAAATTACTCGGTTTTTATACCAAAATTTTAAAAATTTTCTATGCAGGGGGCTCTGCCTCCCGCAACTCACCACATCGTTCACTACGTTTCACTCGGTAATCATGGCCTTTGCACTCCCCTTAATGCAAATCCTGGTTACGGGCCTGTCTGAATTCCCTTTATTATTACCATTAAAAAAACGTTAGAGCAGGCTCGGATTTGAGAATGGGTTGAATGTGGCTCGGAGGTAAAATTGTATAGGGGTTTACTATTAAGACTCGCTAAAACGAATTAATTATGAGGGTAAAGAGTACCAAGCTGTCAGTGCTTTAAGATTTAGACATCTCCTAGATGTAACAATTAACTGGTTTGCTTCGGTTTAAATTTAGACTCAATTTGTACAAGAATTTGTCAAGAGGGGTTTTAAATTTTTAGACATTCCCAGGGTAAGGCAATGCATAACCCATGAAAAAAAAAACATCTTAGAAATCAAAGTTTTTAATATTAACCCCCCCCTCCTCCCCGAGAAAAAAACATTGTCTACTGAATTTGAAAAAAAAACCATGAAATAATGTGATTTTTAAATTTGGGGATTTTGAAAAGAAATGGCTGACGGAGCTGACGTCAAACTAACATAAATTGCACGTAATATTGAAACCTTATGTTTTTAATCCAAACTTCTCTAATTAAAAAGCAATATTGAGAAGAAAAAAATGTTTTAATTTTTTATTTGTAACTGGATAAAGGAATTGAATCTTTGAAACAAACTCTGATTTTCTAATACCTATACTTTTTCCCAGTGCTTAGGATCCGGATCCGGATCCGTTGGATCCGCAAGATTTTGGCTTCCTGGATCTGGATCCGCAAAAATATGCGGATCCACGGATTCGGATCCAAGGGGTAAAATATCAACCAAAAACTGCAAAAAAAAACTAAAATCAAAATCTGAACTTTTGAAAAAAAGAGGGATTATAAAAATTTCCTCATTTCTGAATGGTTCATCGAGTTTTAGGATTAAAATATGCGAAATTTTTTTTTTCCAGTGCGGATTCATTTTTTTCCAGTGCGGATCCAGGATCCGGATCCGGATCCGCATCAAAATTAAATGGATCCTAAGCACTGCTTTCCCACTTGATGGTGTAAACATTTGATATTTCAAACTTACATTCTTTCATCTAACAGAATTCATAGTTTGAAATATTTAAGGTCTATGGCATTGGGTTGCAAAGATATGGAGATTAGAAAATCATAGTTTGTGACAAAGACTCAATTCCTTTGCTTTTTATTCCCATAATTGTGCGCTAAATGAAACTAGAGGAGGTACGAGGTCACAAAGTATTACCAGCGATGTCGCATACAGTTTTCCTTCTCATTCCGTCTAGTGTTTACATTGGGATTGATTTACTTAATATTCATCAAGCGGGAAATTCGTATTGACATGATCGGATTAAGTCTGATCTTTTTAAAGGGATTATGTCGATGGAATAAATCAGATTAAAATGATGAAAACTTTAGATTACAATATGGGCATGTGTAGATTATTATTTCAAGTAACCCTTTATTTAAACTGTGCCATTAACGATTCACATCCGTAGCTTACAAACATTGATCTAAAGTGATAAAAACAAGAAAAAGTGTGCTAACATTTGTGACAACTTTGAGTATGCATGTTGTACTTTTTATAAAATTTGAATTAAGTATCTTGTTGCTGGGGGGGNGGGGGGGTGAGTATGGGTAAGAAATATTATAGGAAACAAACTTGTTCTTGAGAAAACTTCGTAAGTTTTTCAAACAATTCAAAATATCGACGACGGCAAATATATTTCTGATTTAATCGTAGCTTAGAAGCTCATACATGTAGCTATACAATGTAAAGATAGTTTTTAAGATAGAAGATTTTAGTTTTCATGTTTTGTAAAATATTATGCAGGGATTTTATAGCTAAAGAAATTAAAAAAAATAAAAAATTACAAATTTACAAAATCATGTTTTTGTTTAGCCAAGAAGAAGCATTTTCATTCACTGTTCAACAGTTGCCCGAGAAAGGAAAACATCTATGATTTTTAAATTTGATTTTGTCAGAAGATAAATCCCATTCCATTCTTTAGATTTTTATTCAGTAGGCCCTATGCTCAATGTTTGTGGTTCCGTCTCCACCCCCCTCTCCTCCTCCTCCCCATCTGAACCCTATCTGAAATCTTCGTGATGCCTATCATCCGTTTTTCCTCTCAGACCTTTCCAAAATTTGATTTCTTAATTCCTACCTATCCCCCAATTTAGTCCCATATACTCATTTTGACAATCCCCCCCCCCCCCTCTGCAAGATCCTGGTTTACCTTGATGTTTGGTGTAGAGTATGCTGAACCAACGACAACAAGAACAGGACGATTTAATCCCTTCAAATGGATTTTATCCATCAGTAGTTCTAACTATCTAGTCAAATCATTCGAGGATTTCTTCAGATGGTTAGTTTAGTTATTTATACATTAGTGAAAATATTCATTTTATTATTTATTTCATTTCATCGTTTTCATATTTTTAAGATAATCTATTTAAATCATTTAAATATTGGTTAGATCATTTATTTAATCATTAAACATTGCTTAGATTATTTATTAGATCAATCATTTGGTCATTTATACATTGGTTAGATCATTTAATTATTCATTTATACATTGGTTAGATCATTTAATTATTCGTTTATACATTGGTCATTGGTCATTGGTCATTGATCATTCATTTAATCATTTATACAAGGGTTGGATCATTTTTTTGTCATTTATATTTTGGTTAGATCATTTATTTAATCATTTATACATTGGCTAGATTATTTATTTAGCCATTTATATATTGGTTAAATCATTCATTTTGTCATTGATATATTGGCTAGATTAATTATTTAAGCCATTTATATATTGGTTAGATCATTCATTTTGTCATTCATACATTGTCTAGATTGTTTATTTAGTCATTTATATATTGGTTAGATCATTCATTTTGTCATTTATATATTGGTTAGATCATTTTTTAAGTCATTTATATATTGGCTAGTTCATTCAGTTAGTCATTTGTATATTGGCAAGATCTTTCAGTTAGTCATTTATATATTGGCTAGATCATTCATTTAGTCATTTATATATTGGCTAGATAATTCAGTTAGTCATTTATATATTTGTTAGATCATTCATTTAGTCATTTATATATTGACTAGTTCATTCACTTAGTCATTTATATATTGGCTAAATCTTTCAGTTAGTCATTTATATATTGGTTATATAATTCAGTTAGTCATTTATATATTTGCTAGATCATTCATTTAGTCATTTATGCATTAGTTAGATCATTTATTTATTCATTTATATATTGGTTAGATCATTCAGTTTATCATTTATATATTCGGTTATTCATTTATATATTGGTTAGATCATTCATTTAGTCATTGATATATTGGTTAGATCATTCATTTAGTCATTGATATATTGGTTAGATCATTCATTTAGTCATTTATATATTGGTTAGATCGTTCATTTAGTCATTGATATATTGGTTAGATCATTCATTTAGTCATTGATATAATGGTTAGATCATTCATTTAGTCATTTATATATTGGTTAGATCATTCATTTAGTCATTGATATATTGGTGAGATTATTCATTAAGTCATTAATATATTGGTTAGATTATTCAGTTAGTCATTTATATATTGGCTAGATCATTCAGTTAGTCATTTATGCATTAGTTAGATCATTCATTTATTCATTTATATATTGGTTAGATCATTCAGTTTATCATTTATATATTCGGTTATTCATTTATATATTGGTTAGATCATTCAATTAGTCATTGATATATTGGTTAGATCATTCATTTAGTCATTGATATATTGGTTAGATAATTCATTTAGTCATTTTTATATTGGTTGGATCATTCATTTAGTCATTGATATGTTGGTTAGATCATTCATTTAGTCATTTATATATTGGCGAGATTATTCATTTAGTCATTAATATATTAGTTAGATTATTCAGTTAGTCATTTATATATTGGCTAGATTATTCAGTTAGTCATTTATGCATTAGTTAGATCATTCATTTATTCATTTATATATTGGTTAGATTATTTAGTGAGGCATTCATACATTGGCTTGATTGTTCATGTAATCATTTATATATTGTTTATATCATTCATTTAGTCATTTATACATTGGTTAGATTATTTAGTGAGGCATTCATACATTGGCTAGATTGTTCATGTAGTCATTTATATATGGGTAAGATCATCCATTTATTCATTTATATATTGGTTAGATCATTCATTTAGTCATTGATATATTGGATATATCATTCATTTAGTCATTTATATATTGGTTAGATCATTCATTTAGTCATTTATATATTGGTTAGATCATTTTTTAAGTCATTTATATATTGGCTAGTTCATTCAGTTAGTCATTTGTATATTGGCAAGATCTTTCAGTTAGTCATTTATATATTGGTTAGATCATTTTTTAAGTCATTTATATATTGGCTAGTTCATTCAGTTAGTCATTTGTATATTGGCAAGATCTTTCAGTTAGTCATTTATATATTGGCTAGATCATTCAATAAGTCATTTATTTATTGTTTAGATCACTCATTTAATCATTTATACATTAGCTAGATCATAAAAAAATGGTTTATATGTTGATTAATTTTATAAAAACTAAATTTTCAAATTATATTGTTCAGGGAGGGAGAGACTGTAAGTAAGAATAGTATCCCTGTGATACTGATCAGCTTACTACTTGGAGGACTGGGCTGTGCCGGGTTACCATTCCTTGAACAGGAGAATAATATGATTAGGCTCTGGATACCCCAGGTATACATTAGAGCTAGGTTTTAAGTCAGACCATAGAACGAATAATATCTTTTGTTAAATGCATAGGGATGAATAGTTGCATAGTTTTTATCAATCTATATACTCTACTTGTCTGTCTGTCTCTTTGATTGTTTGTAACCAATAAACGTCTAAACGGCTGACCCAATCGGGTCCAAATGTTATGTGGGGCCTCACATGACACCAGGAAAGGTTAATGTAAGATCTAAATTGAAGAAAAAAATCCTAGAAAAAATATTTCTATTTTTTTGTTAAAAATGCGCCCATTCGAAAAGAAAACTTCGCCAAAATTTGAAAATGATTTTAAATGGCCGACTTTCATAACACAACAGTTATATACGGCTGCATGCATAGCATAGATGCATCGACTTAAAGAAGATATATACAAGTTTATATTGGCTCTCATTCTACCATTATTGGAACGTATACTCACTGAAAAAATATCAGGATTTTAAAAATAAATCCTAATAAATTAAAGATAGAAACACGCCTGTAATAGTTCTAATAGCGAAGGCTACAAAACAGTATAAGTAAGTTCGTAATGTATATAAAAGCAAAGACCACCAAAGACGTTGCAAAGTCGTACTGTCATGATCTCTATATATGGGAATACCTTCTCCATAATGTTTTATTAGACTATAAAATAATAGAAAGCCACTAAAGTTTCACAACGATACACAATGAATGTATCGCTGATTAATAACTCTTTAAATTGATAATTTATCTTCATCTCATGGTTAGTGGTTCTCATTGTAAGTACAATTCAAGTGAAAACGTTTATTTTTTATCTTGAAATATGTTTGAGATTAAACATGTACAATTTAATTGCTTTGTATTACGGCTAGGCCATAAATCAAAGTTAAGGAAGACGGAATTGTGTCTAGAAAGCAATAAAAAACTACAATAACCGTCTTGCGATCCATCGATCTGTCTTTCTATCCATCGATCTGTCTTTCTATCCATCGATCTGTCTTTCTATCCATCGATCTGTCTTTCTGTCCATCGATCTGTCTTTCTATCCATCGATCTGTCTTTCTATTCATCGATATGTCTTTCTATTAATCTATCTGTATTTCTGTCCATCGATCTGTCCTTCTATTCATCGATCTGTATTTCTATCCATCAAATCTATATCAATCTGTATCTATCTACGTTTATATATGTGTATATGTATATATATATATATATATTTCTTAAAATAAGTTCAGAACATTTTCTACTGTTTAATTAATATAGTTATATATAATCATATACCTTTTTTTCTATTCTATTTTATTTTTGTTGAAGTGTAATAATTTAATTCCGAACAAAATTATTTGATATATTAGCCATCTAATTAAAGTTTTATTGATAATCACAAGATATTTATGAATTCAGTCTGGTGTTAATTAATTTGTTAATATCATGTTTATTTAAGAAAGAGAATTAATATCTTGTTAATAATTTTCTTAATTTTATAATAAATTAATCTTTGTCTAATACTACAGCGAGCCTACCAGAGGACAGAGTTGTGTTACACCTTGGACTTTAGTCTTTTTAATAATTGTTGTTTTATCTAAAATGTAAGGAAGGGAAGTGGGAGCAGGATGGGAAGTATGCAAGGAAGGGAAGTGGGAGCAGGATTGGAAGTATGTAAAAAAGGGTGGAAATGTAGAAAGGAGAGAAAAAGAGAGAATCAGGAGAAAAGAGGGAAAAGGAGTGAAAGGAAGGATAAGGAGGGGGAGAAGGGGATTGAAAGATATAGAGGGGAAGGAAGTGATGGAAGGGGATAGGAAGTTGTGTTTGGGTTTGCTGGGAGTAGGATTTAGGAAAGATGAAAAAAATAAAGTATTTATTTTTATTCTTAGAACAGTGACACTGCCCTGAACTATGCCTGGTTGTGGTCCAACTACCCCCCGGAGTTTCGAGAACATTCGATAATTCTGCACGGAGATAACGTACTCACCCCACCGGCGATACAGAAGGTATTGTCTTTACGGCTGAACCGAGTAAATCCAATGTTTATGAGTTGGTTGAGGCCTGGCTAAAGATAAACTCAAATTCAAAACCTTTCACAACGATTATTATTATTAATTATTCACACAAAAAAAGATTAAAAATATGCGCGTATCTCTCTGGTTTCTAGTATTCTGATTATTATACTAAAAAATGTCCAAAGATGCGCATGATAGAAAACAAATCGTGGTATAGCACTTGATCCGACTAAAAGATGTATTTCTTAATATATTATAGGTTATAGGATGCGAAAAAAAATTTATGAAAACCCGATGTTTTTAGGATTTTAAGTACAAAACAGCATTTTTCAACTGTTGAAGGGTTGGCTATGTGCTCATTGATATACTAAATTCTTACAATATCTGCATGGCTTGTTCTTGTGTTTAAAAAATATACTTCCAACAGCTTTTCAATGAACTATATGTGTAAATTAATTATACACGTGGGCTAGCGGCAAAGGATTTCTGTTCTTTTAGTGTTTTCCATGTATTTCTTAGCGTCTGGTAGTCCCTGGCTTAGTCATGTTCACTATGCATATAAAGTCCCCTATTACAGTCTACACCAGTTTTTTTGAAATTCATCCACTATTCATATTTGTCCACTATATAGTCGTCAATCGCAGTCCTAAGTAGTGAGTAGTTCCTGGCAGTACTTGACTATATTTCGTCTGTCCGTAATCCATAATAGTCTTTCTGATCTATGTCCCTCTGTCCTTGTTTGCCAGTAAGGGGCTTATCCCTGTTTTTCTCCTATAGTCTGCAAAAGTTCTAATCCTTACTAAATTTCTTGTTATTTAGGTTGTCAGGTTTTGTGTAACCTTAAATGGTATATATATTGTAATACTCATAAGAAGTAACATATATATATATATATATATACAGGTCGTTTTGAGAGGATAAATTAAGAATGACTTACTTTCTTTTAGTCAAAACGAGAAAATAGTTAGAAATTCAATTAGAAATTAAGCGCCAAAGAAAAATTTTGGTATTTTTTTCTTAATTGACAAAATTTGATAAAAGATGGTCCACAATCATGATCATGCTGTAGCCATGAGTGAGGGGGGGGGGGGAGGGGCTGAGAAGCAAAACTCGCTTCGCCCCCCCCCCTAGTTGCGCCACTGATTTTCACTATATTTTATATTTCTTCATAAACTTAATTTTTAGTTGTACGCAATTTACAAGAGCGTCTACAGTATAAAAACAGAGAAGTTTAATAAAACTTGGGAGAATTCATGCTTCAGGTTTGTACTTTGTAATTCTTATATATTTCCTCCCCCCCCCCCCCTGGACCCAAAATCCAATTTTTGTTTCTACTCTTTGTATCTTTTCTTTTTCTAGGAAAATGTTTATTTTCGGTGATAAAGGAGTTGAGTTTTTGCCACAAACTCCGATTTTCTAAACCCTGTTTTAACCTAATGTCGAAGACCTTAGATATTTCAAACTATGAATTCTGGTAGATCAAATAATCTAAGTTTGAAATATTAAAGGCTTAAACCATCTAGTAGCAAAGATATTAAGATTCGAAAAATTGACTTTGTGGCAAAGACTCAATTCCTTTTGTTTCATAAATGAAAATGTTTTTAATTAAAAGTAAGATTTAAAAAATCAGAATTTCAATTGTTGTAATTGACAGTTTAATTCATTTTAGATATATCTTCAATCCTTGCAATAAAAATTTAAATGTTATTATAATTGATAAAACACCCACATCACGCAAATTCATTTATGTAATGAACTTCAATTGGGTAAGGATAGTAAGGGGGGGGGGAGGGGTTTAACTGCAGAAATACATTTTAACGACAAATTTTGAAATGTTTTTTAACAAATCTTGAATTGAATTTTTTCTGATCAATATTCTTAAATTTACGGATATAGATCGAGATCCTATTCTAGACCCTAATGGTTTAACAAGACAATACAATAGTATACTATTAAATGATTGATGAGATTGCACGGGGCAGACGTTGTGACCGGGGTTTCTTTTCTATTATACAAACTTGGTTTTATAAATAGGGGTAACCCAGGGAGTAAAGAATAGAAGGGAGATACAACTGACGCGGTTCGCCCTACCATATGATCATCCATGCTTTGCAAACGGGTACTCCATTTGTATAAGAAATATTCAGAGTAGGTCATTGTATACGCGGTAATTGTACATCAGACAAATATTTCTTATTCAAATGAAGTACCGTCTGCAAAGCATGTATAATCATATGGTAACGCGAACCGCGTCAGTTGTATCTCCGCTCTATTCTTTACTCCCTATTATACAAACTTGGTTTTATCATTATTAGTTACCCGTTGAATGCGGTGACCGTTGTGACCTATGTGACCACTGACCGGGGTTTATTTTCTATTATACAACTAGAAGTACCCCTTGATCCCGTGTTAAAAGGACTGTAAGCGTAATTTTAAGTGACTATGCAAGATGGCAATGCCCGACTCACAACGGTACCCTTGAACGGTCCCTTATGTTGAAGATATGATGATATTTTCGTTTTTCTAGGGTCAACAGTGTTTTTTTTTCTAATACTTTCTGTATTTTTTTCTGCAGCAAAAATGCGCAATTGCCTTTTGTAGTGAAACCACGATTGTAAATAACCAGATTTCAAAATCATAAACATCCAATTCATACTTGATTAGACAAAGCTTTAAGCGTAACCGTCGTATATCGGGCATTGTGGAGGGTCACTAAAATTACGCGTACAGTCTCTTTAACCGAATTGTTTTATTTCAGGCGCCCGGTCGTTAAACTCACCGGGGAAATACTTAGCTCTAGGAGGAAACGCGATCTGTGGGGAGAAGAGGTACGGTTTAGAATTCACAAATATAGAGATATTGTTCGTTAACAATATCTAGAAGATTGAGTAGTGACCTACAGACCGACAAGACCATAACGATAACTCTGGAACTCATCGTAGCTGACTTATTCTGGAAAAAAATATATCAGAAAGTCAGAATTCCGGAATTTGCTTTAAAACCGACACTCTCCGCCCTGTTTAGACTGTGGAGCTTCCAAAGATTTAAAATTAACCTGTCTAAGGAGAACTACATTCATATATTTTCCGGACTTTTCCCCTCCGGAATTTGTCTACTCGGAAACTGTCCTTTCGCTACTTTAGAAGAGCTTGTCAAGGTTTATAAAAAGCAAAAAATATTTATTAGGAATTGTCTAATCAATCAATTCATAGAAATGATTATCAAATTTTAACTTTAATAATTTATTTTAATTAAGTTTTACAGTATCTTTAAATATTTATACGAGATCAGATGAAAATATTTTGAGAATTCTATATTTCTTGTTTGAGATTTCTATATTTCTTGTTTGAGATTTCTATATTTCTTGTTTGAAAATTCTATATTTCTTGTTTGAGATTTCTATATTTCTTGTTTGAGATTTCTATATTTCTTGTTTGAGATTTTTATATTTCTTGTTCTTCATTTTCTTTTAATTTTTAGACCTGAGATCGGATTTCGTGCAACTGTATTTTCAGATAAGTTTCCTCGCCTGATTATCTTGTGCAAAATTTGGTTGGATTATCCGCAAATATTTTGCAAGTTGTGATTTCATCATTATTAATTGAAATTATATTATAGAGTGCAGAGGATGAGTTTGGATTCAACAATTTTGACGAAAATTTCAATACTCCGGCCGATTTTTCGATTAATAACTATCCTCAACCCTACTGTGGAATGGTTGAATCTCTTCCTACTGCTTGTTTTGAGGTAAAGGAATTGAAGTTTTGCTTCAAATTCAAATTTTATTATCACAATATTTTTAAACGATTTGATCTATTAGAATTTATAATTTCAAAAATTAAAAGTCTACGACATCAATGACATTAATTGACATTGATTGACAATAAATACTGTTTATTTTTAGCTTTTCATATCCTTAAGGGTAAAGATTTTATTTTGGGATTCCACGAAAATTCTAATCTGTGATTAAGTTTGTCCAGAGATACACGAAAAGGATTATTAAAGCACTTCACCTTTTTGCAATGATAGCTGTCATGATAAGCATGCAACATTCACAATCCATAAACAAAATTTCAAGAATCAAAATTGTTCTCTTTAAACCATGAGTCTCCCTTCTCGTGCTTCTCCTTCTCCTTTTTCTCTTCTCCTCCACTCAACCTAGAACCACTTCCCTCCTACCATCTAGCAGCCCCTTTTCCTGCTCCTTCTCCTACTCTAATTTCTCCTTCTCCTTTCCCCCTTCTTCTCTTCTCCTCTACCTTCTCCTCATTCTCCTCCTCCTTCTTCCCTTTCATCCACCTTTTCCTGCTCCCTCTCCTACTCTACTTCTTTTTCTCTGCTCCTCTATCTTCTCCTGCTCCTTCTCCGCACTCTCCTTCTCCTTCTTCTCATCTGCTCCACCTTCTCCTGTTCCCTCTCCTCCATTTTCTCCTTCTTCTCCTTATCTTCTTTTCCCCCTTCTCCTGCTCCTTCTTCTCTTCTCCTCCACCTTCTCCTTCTCCTCCTGAGTTGAAAACTAAATCTATTCTATTCTAGGATAGTTTACTGGAGCTCTGGGCATTTGAAGGAGAGTTCAATCATATGTAAGGTTTCATTTTATTGGAAATAGATAAACTTAACCAAAACTAGAAGAAAATCAAACTAGATTTTTTCTTCTATATATGTAATATATATTAATAAAATATAATATAGTATAGTATAATTTATTTCTATATATAAATTTGGCTTGTCTGTCTGTCTGTTTGTTTGTATCCAATAAAAGTCAAAACGGCTGAACCGATCGGGCCCAATTTTTTTGTGTGACATCTAGGGACCCCAGGGAAGGTTTATGAATGATCAAAATTTCAAATATTTGTCTCCATCAAAATTCGATAAAACAGATTATATTGTATTTAAAATAGATATATAGTTTTCTATATATTTAGATCAGATGAAACAGATTATATTGTATTTAAAATAGATATATAGTTTTCTATATCTAGATCAGATAAAATAAATTATATTGTATTAATAATAGATATATAGTTTTCTTTATATTTAGATCAGATGAAACAGATTATATTGTATTTATAACAGATATATAGTTTTCCATATATAGGTTTCTATATTTAGATCAGATAAAATAGATTATATTGTATTTGTAGCAGATATATAGTTTTCTATATTTAGATCAGATGAAATAGATTATATTGTATTTGTAGCAGATATATAGTTTTCTATATCTAGATCAGATGAAATAGATTATATTGTATTTATAATAGATATATAGGTTTCTATATTTAGATCAGATGAAATAGATTATATTGTACATGTAGCAGATATATAGTTTTCTATATTTAGATCAGATGAAAAAATCGCTGGACTTACAACGAAGGAGATCCTGGATAAAGTGAACAATTGGGGTTACAGCGAGCGCTTTCTGAACGGTAAATATTTTTGATTTTAAATATCTTTATGTTTTTTTTTGATGCAAAAAGTTCTAAATCTGTTTCTGATCGTAAACACCATATGGTTATAGTTTATACAATAAAAGTCTTATCAATTTCCATATAGCTCAAGCACAAAGAGTTAAGTTTTTAACGGAGAGAGGGCCCTCATTCAAAATTCTGAACGTGGATTTTCTAATCTCTACATATATCATTGCAATTAGATGATGTAAACCTTTGAAAGTTCATGCTTAGTTTTTTTTATCCTACAGAGTTCACAGTTTGAAATATCTAAGGTCTACGACATTGGGTTGCAAAGATATAGAGATTGTGACGAAGACTCAATTTTTTAGACATTAAGAAATCATATTTAATGACGGATTTTGAAATGGATGGCAAAAATTGGATTTTTTCTCATGCGTGAAAGACTTTACATTGAAAGAAACTGATTACTCGTCTTAAATTCTCATCTTTGCTACACGGTGTTGCATCAAACATGAAAGTTGAAAAACGACCTTTGAGTCATCTCTTTTTACTGTCTAAATTTGCTTATAGGTCAAATATTTAAAGTTTGAAATATAAAGGGGTTGCAAAGATATAGAGATTACAAAATTAGAGTTTAAGACGAGTATTTAATTTCTTTAACGATTTTGTTTCTAGTTTTTAAAGAAATAAAAAAGTTTTTACTCATAAACTTAATTTTCGATAAACTATGTTTTATTTGACGCTAATTGGTCGAAATCTTACACTTCAATATCATTATGCTTAATCAATTTATCTAGAATCTTCTGTTTTGATTAGTGTAAATTACAGTGGCTAATTAATCCTAAGTGAAGATATACATTTTATTACTATTATACAATTTGTATGTAAAGATACACTTACTTACACTAAAGTAATCAACTAAAACTTCTGTTTAATTAAGACGATATACCCTATAGCTTTATTTATTTTGTATATACAGTGAGACCCATAAAATTTGTAGAATATAAAGCCGGCATTGAATCAATCTTATTTGTATTTGATGTTATTATACAGAAAATAGTTTTAACAGTAGATTAAAAATAAATTTATTAAGTGTCGATATGGTTCTCTGTACACTCATCTAACCATCATTTTTCCGCCTTTTGACTAACATTACCGACCCATCATTCTCCAAAAGAGGGAGGTTACACGCACCTCTGACCCTTCAGTAAAAGTAAATTCAACCTAAAATCTGACCGCGTCAACCTTTCTGCACTGGATAGTCCTAATAAGTGCCTGCTTTATTTAACCAATGTCCGGGCGATACAAACTGGGAGCGGAAAGGTTGACCCGGCTCGGAAATTCAAATGTACTACGGCTGCCCGTGGTTAGGCTTAGGTTTCTTATGGTCCCTTGGGTCAATTTAGTAAAACAACGACCCACTAAAAGAATTCGAGCATTTTCCCTGAAAGTAGTTGTAAACAATAAACTTCTGGAGAAAATATACACCACTGAACAGTCCTAAAGTAACTAATTTTTAAGCGAAAGAATAGCGTTATAAAAAAATCGATTTTGTGTAGCCCAGTAGTTTACTGCTAACACTAAACCCAATTCTGATGACATTTGATATTTCAAACTACTATTTAAGCTAGTTCAAATAGTTTATAGAAATATCAAAAGGTTACACAAACAGGTTGCAAAATATAAGGATAAAAAAACTAGGGTATTTATTATATTTGCCAATTGTGTTCTTCAGTTCCATTTCCCATTTCACACGGTTTTTTTCTCGTTTTTACTATGTCGGTGGTTGCGCTTTAATAAAAACAGTTGTGTTGCCCCCAGGAAATAGCAATAACGGGAAAGGAAAACGCGCTGGTCTGGCATGAGAAAGCCAGTCGCACTGCTTTGCAGACGAGTTCGGTATTACACACGCATACTCTTTTGGTACAGACACACAACATGACTACAGTCAAGGAAATTGCAGAAAAATGTTGTTAATTATAATTTTGCTTGAATAACGAGTAGTTTATTGTAAACTTTAATCAAATTATATTCTTTGCATGAAAATTTGGCTTATTGTGTTGACTTAAATGGATAAATAATATACTACATGTATATTAAACTTATTTTTAAGTAAACAATTAACAATAAACAAATGTACTCTCCTAGACTGTAACCGAGATTCTTATGCATTGTAAATACCTACAGTACACACCTTCGGTTCGGTATTACTTACACTCACTCTTTTGGTACAGACACACTTACATAACGTTTCCGCCCCCTGGTTGCCCCTTCTTGGAGACATAATTGATTGGTTTTTACAACAATGAGAGGGGGTAGGATTACTGTCATAATTCTTTGATTTGAGTTTGTTGATTGTGATCTTTGGAAATATTTGAGACTTCCAAGCATTCCTGTTCAAACTCATCTCAAGACAAAGGAATTCAGTCTTTTCTACAAACTCAAATTTTTGAATCCCCATATCTGTGCATCCTGATGGCGTAAACCTTTCATATTTTAAGCTGAGATTATTCGATCTAACATAATTCATGATATTGAAATATCTAATGTAGGCGACATTGGTTGCAAAGATATTGGAATTAGAAAATCAGAGTTTGTGGCAAAGACTCAATTCTCTAGCGATTGCTTAGGAATATTTTAGCTTTTTGAAGCATAAAATCTATCTATTCTAAAAAAACATTTTGTTCATTCCTTTAATCTATTTTATTGAAAATCTTTAATCGATCCGAAGTCTGAAATGGATCAAAATGTTCAACTTTATTTGTCTAATTATGCAAAGGGGTCAGTTCTAAGAAAAATAACTGTAGAAAGTAAATTTTTTTACTTTAAAAGATGTTTTGAATTCTTGAGAGTACTTTCTTAAATGTTCCATTTCATAGCTCCATTTACTACAGGGTTTTAATTTCTATATAAATTCTTACTTAGAGTAAAAGTTACACGGTATTTAATTAAGTTTTAAATTGAGCTTAAATGTGCTTTTAGCAATTTTTTTTTACAATGTTTACTTTCGTCTTAAAGGAACTGAGTTCTTGCCATGAATGTTTGAATATAATATGACTTCTAAAACAATGCCTGTTAAGAAAGTTGATCATAAATAAGAAAAAATTCATTAAAAACAAAATGAGCTGCACTTTTTTCCTTTATAACTTGGTTTTGAAACCTAATCGTCAAAGTTCAAAGTAAAGCCATAATTTCTTAGTTCATGAAAGACAAGATTACTTTTTCTCCAGGTGGATGCAGAGACTGAAGAGTTCGAATCCGCTCTTGCCACCCTACTCCTCAATACCAGGGATATAGTATCTAAGGAGTTCAAAGTCGAGGTGACTGACTGACTGACTGACTGACTGACTGACTGACTGACTGACTGACTGACTGACTGACTGACTGACTGACTGACTGACTGACTGACTGACTGAATGACTGACTGACTGACTGACTTACTTATTGACTGACTGACTGAGCTAGTGATATTTATAGTTTAATTACAACAAGTTATTGTATTTTTGTTTGCTAGTGAAGCGTTTCAAATGCAAAGAAACCCCCGCACTGATCAATTTACAAATATATCACATTTCTTCTGAAGAATGTTTTTGTTTAATTAATTCGGTTTTATTTTATCAAAACAAATTATTGTTAATTAATTGCTTTCCTGAATTAGCATGACACAAATTTTATTTAAAGTTTATGGAGTTTTATAGTTTTCATATTTTCACAGATCCTGTTTTGTTGTTTTGCAATCATAAGATCATGAGAGTTTACATAAACTACATGACAAGAATTTTGATATATTAAGTTCACATATTTCTACAAGCTTGGCAATGTATTGTGTAATACATGGAAACAATTTTATTTAAAAGTAAAAAATAATCATTAATATTATTTACACTGAAGATTGTGATAATGATTATAGTTCAAAAAAGGAGAAGTGCAAAAACTTCGTTGATGATTGGTTTATTTGTAGGTGAACGTTGCCAGCAGTTTTGCACAGATCGCCTCCTCAACCATCCTAGGAGACGTGACAAACTTTGTGGTTGGGTTCTTCATAGTCTTCATATACGTTAACATCATGCTCGGCAGATTGAACTTTGTAGAGCAGAGGGTGAGTGTATTGAGTGTATTGAGTGTATTGAGTGCATTGAGTGTATTGAGTGTATTGAGTGTATTGAGTGTATTGAGTGTATTGAGTGCATTGAGTGTATTGAGTGTATTGAGTGTATTGAGTGTATTGAGTGTATTGAGTGTATTGAGTGTATTGAGTGTAATGAGTGTAATGAGTGTATTGAGTGTATTGCGTGTATTGAGTGTATTGAGTGTATTGAGTGTATTGAGTGTATTGAGTAGGGGGAGGAAAGGCCGGATGGTTAAAAGCTAGGAGAATTAAGATGTAATTTTGCTACGGTGTTGTTCTAAATTATTGCGTGAATACATGAGGAAAAAATGAATGCTGGGTTGTAAAATGAAATTTGAAAAGTGGACTTTTTACTGGTTTTCAAATGATTGCAAGGACTGTGCTGGTTTTGGTTGATAAGTTGTGAATGAATAAAAATAGGCAATGCTTGATTAAATACAATCTAGCTGTTTATTAATCCATTTTCAATAAATTTTACGGTTTATGAAGAGGATCGAATACGATATACAATATACATTACACAATATATAAACATTAAGGGAGCCGGGGTAAACAGATTATACGATATAAAATATACATTACACAATATATAAACATTGAGAGAGCCGCGGTTTCTGGCCCGAGAGAAACGCTAAAAGTACATCGTGAACGTACTTTTAAATGACGCTATTAGTGCCTTATATTTTTATTATTTATAGAAGAATTTTCATGAAGTATATCACTGTACTGCATGTAAACTTCTATATAGAGAAATAAATCATTCCACAATGAAGTTAAACTGCCTTTTTAAATAAGAAATACATTCAAAGAAGGATGGTTTTGGAAGGCGGAAATACAGTGTATTAGGTCACGCACATATGAGTCTGCTGTTATATTACAGATTCACAACTAAAAACTTAATAGCTTAGAACTAGAAGATTCCGGTATAGATATTGAGTTTAAACTTGGAAGTTTTTCACTTCCTTGGAAAAGTTTGATCCCGGGATTTCATTTAAAAAATCTGCTTCTTCTTATCAATTTTATTAGGAACTAGCTTGGAAATTCAGCGTTCTTCAGAGTACTCATAGTTACTCTCGCCGTTTACCTGCGCTTGGTAGAAAATTACGATATTCCCCAGTCTAATCTCAAAACATTCCCGTGATTCTACCGAGCTCCCCAATCAAAATTTTAGGCATAATGGTCAAGTGGTTCATGAGTTATGATCGGACATACAAACAAAGATTTATAAGTTACGTAAATAAGATTAACAATATATCAAAAAAATGTATCATATTGAACGATAATATTATAAAACTATATGATTGAAAAAACGCAGAAAATACAGAACGGGGGAATGTACAATAACGTGATAAGAACAAAACTGGTTTTTAGTTTTTATTTTATTTAGTTTGTGTGTGTGCACAAGGGAGGAATTGTCATTGTTTATTTTGGTCTTTCATACTTTTTTAATAGTTTTAAAATTTTGAGCCATCTCTTTGAATAAAAAAGGAATATGAAAATGAAGGGGGGCGGGGTTTAACAGAGTTTATTCGCCTCTGCTACTCATGGGCATCGTTTTGAGTTTCGTTTTTAAACATTTATGTTTTTTACGAATCTAAGATTTACAATCTATTTCAAAATTGTATGCTTGATTAGTTTGCTTTTCATACATCGTATAAATTTTTTCTCCGACCAAAGATATCAAATAAAAACGATCAGCAAAAGCGATAAGTTAAACCGTTTTAATACATCGTTTTCAAGAATCATTTATTATCTTAAAGCAGAGAAAAAAAATTGCAAAATGTAAAAAAGCAACTTGTCTAAAATATAAATTTTGCAATGTGAAAAATGCCTTACATCATTTACTAAATCTTGCCAGGCTGTATTTGTCGATTCTACTCTGGTAAGTCTGACTGATTGCTAAACACAATACGTGTTGTACCGGCACAGATCATACAACTTTTAGACTGGAGTGCCTTGTAGATATAAAAGTAAAAAATATTTAAAAATGGATCTCAAAACGATGTTTATCCCTAGTCTCCAGCAACAATAAATTAAAGTTCTATAGTTACGCCTCCATCCCTACATTACTTAAATACAGGACCCGCCCAACAGATGTCACGACATAATCGTAAATAAACAAAACATTGTGTTTGTAAACAAATATCTAATTAAAAGGTTTGATCTTGCTCAAGTTTAACTTTTAAGTTCTTTATTACATGAATTTGTTCTACAATTCCCCAGTCAACAATTTTTTATGCCAAATAAATTTACTGTAAGAGAAAAATATGAAAAATTATATTTTGTACAAATTTATTTTGATTATCTTGGGAAACCATCTTTGCCTGGATTTTTTCCTATAAAATTCAACCGGCTCAACTTAGACTTTTAAAATCAAGCTTATAACATTACAGTGGTTTTCCGTAGTTTCCCAATCAAGATTTTAGGCATATCTGGCAAGAGATTCATGAGTTATGATCGGACATACAAGCAGTCAAACAGAGATTACTACTTTATATATAAAGATTAGATAGATATTTATTGCACGAAAATAGTTGAACATAATAAAATGTTTGGTATTCTTTAGAATTTAGGGATTGCAAATGCTCTTATATCTTTATAAGTGAAACCCAATGGTTTAAACCTTGGTTATTTCAAACTTGGACTTCATAATCTAACAGAAATTATATTTGGAAATCTCAAAAGCCTACGGCCTTATGTTGCAAAAATATTAGAATTAGAATATATAGCATAAGGAGAGTAATAAGTTCCTCTAGAAATTTGTGGCCCCCCTTTAAAAAATGCTTTGGACCTTATCTAATTTCAAAATGACTGAAGATCTGGTATACGTTGACAAATTTTTATCACGTACTCTTCTTTTGATAGAGGTTTGCAATTTGAGCATTTTTGCTGAATTTTTAAAATCAATTTTTTTTCAAATGCGATAAAATTTGATTTGTCAGAAATGCATTTTACAAAAGCTCAGAGCTATCCCTCTAAAATATAGTTCTATATGTACTTATTGTATTTGCATTATTAATTGCGCATTAGTAAGCATGCCAGGAAATGTTTTTCTGTTTGTAAAATTTGGACGAATTTGGACATTTTTCACGGGAAAAATCGAGCGAATTAAAAAGAGACCTCTGAGCTGGGAACTTTTGAATGGTGGATATCGGGATTAAGGCTTAATCCACTCTTTTTCTTAATCTCCAGATAAACATAATCTTGCCAGATTATCTTAAAAGTGTATGAAAAACGATAAAATTCAAATTAATATTTAATCATCTGAGAAACTGTAGCAGCCAATCAGAGAAAAGCGGGCAACCAATGAGAGAACAGAAATATTCTCATTGGAGAAAACAATTAACGGATATCCAAGGAAAGAGAAAAAGAGTGGATTAAGGACTAAAATGAAAATTTTCCACAGTGGATATTCGGATCAAGAAGTCAGGATTAAAGTTTATCCATTCTAAAGTTTTCAGCTCTGGACTCACTGTCAATGATTTACACACACTTTTCCAGGTTAGGGTAGGTTAGGTTAAAACTGAGAGATATTTACTAAGGTTAATAAGGTTAAAACCAATATCTAGTTGTTTATAAATGAAACTTGATCACCAATTTTAAATCTTCAATTTTAAAAAACATTCGGCCGATCTTACGGGAATCGCTGAACTTTTATTTCACAGAAGAAAATTGCGAACAATTAACATTTCATTCAATTAGATGTTTCTATCGCTGATGGGACTGATGAGTGTCGGAATCTCAATATTTTTCTCCTACGGTGTATGTTCTCTAATGGGTTTACAGTTTGGTCCTCTACATAATATCATTCCGTTCCTTATTCTTGGTATAGGTAAGCGCACTAACCTAGAAAATCAGATATTTTAGAGAAGGCATGTTTTTTGGTTATTTTATAGTTATAACCAAGAAATACACACCAGAGCTTGGAACTCTTGTATTGATCTCATTTAAGGAAATCCAGATCAATTAAAAAAAAATAATTTTCAACATTTTTTCTCATTTGTATTAAACTTCTTAGATTGTAAGAAAAAGAAACTGTATGAAACCGTACAATTTTGATATTAAACATTTTATTGGAAACCCTGTTGAAAGCTCACAAACATCTAATGTTTAATAGCAAAACGAAAATAGATACCCTTCTCTAATTATTAATGTACAGAGCTTTAGTTTTTAATTAATTGGGGGAATCATTAATTTTCAAGACAATATTTTGTTATAAATCTTTTTTAAGTTTTTACTTATTATCAGAATTTCTTCGCATTCCTCTTTTTGTATCAGTATTATTTTTACAAAATTAATTTCTATCATGTGATAATATTGAGAAAAACCTTGCCGCCGTGCTTTTCTATTAATGTTTATAGATATGAAATCTATTCTTTTTTTAATCTCATATATCCAATGTATGTATATTTTGTAGGAATTGATGATATGTTTGTAACAACACAATGCTTCAGCAATCTACCAAAGGATGGAAAGGTAACTAAGTCCTAATTTTTTAATTGTATAAGTCAGTCAACTAATTAATCTATCTGTCAATCAGCCAATTCAAATAAATTAATTAGGAAAAATTACTCTTTAAATGATTGAAACCAAACTAATGAATTCATTAGCAGAGGTTAGAACTTAGAACTTTTGTGTTATAAATATCGGGACCAAGCTTTAATCTTCATCTTATGCAGACTCACGGATTATTTTAATCCCTCTTCGATATCGTATGATAGCCATACCCTACAGGGATAACTTTAATTGAGGGATCAAGCTCAAGCCTTGATCCTCAAATTTGAAAGTGCCCACATTAGATATCGAGATCAAGCGTTCCAGATTAACGACACTTAACACAGAAAAGTTCCGACCTGAGATCAACTTGCAAGATAAGCTAAATCAACTTGCAAGATAAGCTAAATCAACTTGCAAGATAAGCTAAATCAATTTGTAAATGTAAAAAACTTCACAAACTACGTGACAATTAACAAACATATTTACAGGGTGTCTTAAAAAAGAAGAATAATGGTCTACAGACTCGTTTGTGACCGGATTATCAAAACTGAGACCATTTTTAAACTTTAAATTTGGTAAAAATAAAGATAATTCCCAATATGGGCCCATTGAATTGGAAATTTTTTGAAAATCCGATTACAAACGAGTCTGTTTTTTGAGACACCTTGTATATTTTCATTAAAAATCCACGAAGTTTTTAAACGAATTTTCCTGATGCATTAAAAAGAAATTTATTTGAATTTGTCTGCTCAGGAGAGAAGTTTGCACGAAAGAATGGGCTGTGCAATGAAAAATGCCGGCTGTGCGATCACCATCACTTCAATTACAGATTTTATCGCATTTATAATTGGTAATCTTTAATTGAAAATTCCTTTATCTTAAAACAAAATTTTAACATAAGATTTAAAACGTTTGAACTTTACTGCGGTGGTAGACGATTATATCAATATAAGACTACTTTTAATTTCAATTTTGATTTATATCAAGCTTTTAAACAGCATGGATAAACAACAACATGGAAGCAAAGAGAAGCTGTCAATCAAAAAAGGTTCTCTTTAATTTGAAGAATTAGAATAACAAATGTTAAGCGAAATGCATGTCTCGTAAATATTCACTGTTAATTTAATTTTCAGAATATTTTTAACATATGAAATATTTATAAATTAGAAAAGACAATGTTCAGGTGGTACAACTGTGCTTCCGGCGTTGCGCTCATTTTGTATTTTCTGCGCCATTGGAATTTTAGCAGTGTACTTTCTCCAGGTAAAAAGGTCGTCTTCGTGTTTTTCTTGACTTAAGGCAATTTGTCGACCATACGAATTACATCTTCCATTCCACCCTTTTTGTATATGTCCTCGACATTATACAGTAAAAGCAAAATATATAATATACATATATGCCAGTAATTAATTTATCTAAATAAACAAAAGAAAATGTTCTAGACTTATTTTAAGAAGATATATAATATATATATATATGATAAGAAAAACACAGATAATTTTCCATTTAATTGCTGTACAAATTGTTTTGTGTTTTAAACTCTCCTTGGCAGCTTATGAGCACAGATTTAAAAAGATATATATTTAATATAACATACATACAGGGTTACTCACAAAGAATGAGACTTTAATAACGACTTAAAGCTATTAAAACCTAACTATCTATAGGTGGAACTCGGGCTAGATAATGATAATACTAATGATAATTAAAATAATTCGATAAAAAAAACAGCTGTAGGGAATCAGGAATTCAAGAAAAAAGATTGAATGAATTCTGTACAGTCGTCTCTGAAGTCTCATCCTTTGTGGGTAACCCTATATAATATATTCAATATTCATATTAATATTTGTATAGACTCACCTAGAACAATATATTCTATTTCGGAGACATTTTTAGCATACAAATTACAAAAATGTAACATCAGACAACACTTAAAACAAAGACTTCAAGACAAAAACTTAAACAAAGAGTTAAAAATATTATTATTTTTGTTATCTCAGCACTCAGCTGAATTAAAACTGACAAGATGAATAGGAATAAGATTAAAGTTGTTTCGGATTAAATATTTGCATGGGTGGCCCTAACATTAGATTAAGATTGCACATTGCACCATGCACGGGACAAGATTCTAGGGGGATCTTATGTTAAATGTCGATGGGGGCTGAATACTCTCCTTAAAAACCACATTTTTTAACTTCAACTAAACTCTCATGCGGGTTTGAAATATATATATTAAATCTTTAACTTTTTATTAAATCTTTTCCACCTCCTAAGACGTGGGGGGGGGGGGGGGAAATTAAAAAAAATGACCTAATAACTAAAAATCTTGGGCCTTAGGCAATTACTGGTGCTGATCTAATCTTGGGAGTGAACTAGGCATACTTATCAATTTAAAGCCGATCTTTACGCTCTGTTCATTTCAATCTGTGTCAACGTCCATCACTTTCAAGCTCCTTAAGTAGGAATGTGAAAATTGTTTTTAAATATACTAATTTATACTAATCTAATATACTAATCTAATTTTAAATATACTATTTCTAATTTTAAAATTGCTTTTGAAAAATTAAAAAGATACTTTGATAAAATTAAAAATAAAAACCTCAAAATTTATGTTTTTAAAGAAAACAAAAACATTTCTTGAATTAAAATAAATTTTACCCTTTTTCACAAATTTTTCTATTATTTAAATATTTTGAAAATTTAAGGCAACCTGGTTTATTGCCTGGTTCTCCCTGGACCAGAGAAGGATTGAAGAAAAGAGAAATGGATCAATTCCTTGCTACGTTCATGTCAACTACACACCAAACAAGTAAGATTTTTATCTCAAACGAGAAAGCTATTTATACCAAACAACAAAGATTGCAACACCAAACAAGTTATGTAGTTAGACCAAACAAATATTATATCAAACAAGAAATATTTTTTACCAAACCATTAGATTTTTTTGATTAAAAAATAATATTTTATACCACACAGTTAAGAGTTTTACACAAAAAGGTACAATTTTTTATCAAACAAGTAAGTTACTTATACCAAACAAGTAAGATTTGTTTACCAAACAAGTAAGATTCTTATATATCAAACAAGTAAAATTTTTTACATTTACCAAGTAAGCTTTGTTGCTGGTTACTGAATGATTTTTATGATGATTTTATACTTTTTTCTCTTTCTTATTCTAACTTAACAATAATCCGCTCATTCCTTTCAAAATGTCGTCTTCATCCCTATTTAATATTTTTATTCACTAAATCACTTATTCTCTTATAGTTTTTTTACACTAACACACGTATTTTATTCTATCTGTATCTTTATACTAAACTTCAATATTTTGCCTATTCTCTTCCAATACAGTGGTTTCCAAAAAACATCTATTCAGTACTCAATCTTCCCAATTACCCTATCTCCCAATTTACCAACCCTTTTTATCACCTAACATTCATTGAATCCCAATCCCAACTTCCTCTTTAGTTGATATCCATTCCAATTCCCAACATATTTTACCTACTCCCAATTGGTCCTTGTCTAATTCATTCCAACTTCCTAATCCTCATCTTAATCCCAACTCTTCCAATCCCAACTTCTTCCACAGTCGATTTTTATCCCAATTCCCAACCTATTTTTCCTGTTATCCCAACTGTTTCTTATCTCACGTATACATTGTTCCTAAACCAAGTTCAATCCCAACATTGTGAACATTGGTTAATAGTCGTTTGGGATTCCTATAGTTTGGGATTCCTATAGTTTGGGATTCCACATATATAAAATAAGAAAGAAATGTTGATATTAGTACGTTGGCCTCTTAAATGACAAATGACAATTAGTAAACAGAAAAAAATGATGATTTATAGATATATTATTTTTTCATTAACACTTTTCATAACACTTTTACATCTAGTGTTTGAAATTGAATATAGTTGCAACCATGTTCCAGCATCTAGAGGATATTATATACTCTGTGTATAGGTTAAGTCAGCAGAATATAGTTGCAACCATGTTCCAGCATCTAGAGGATATTATATACTCTGTGTATAGGTTAAGTCAGCAGAATATAGTTGCAACCATGTTCCAGCATCTAGCAGATATTATACTCAGAAAACCAGCAAAGGAAACCAATCAACACAGATTTAATTCAAAACTTGACAAAACCCTTAGAACAAAACAATTAATGTAAGTTCAACGGTCCCTCCATTGATAGAATAGTCTGTTCGATTCACAATGGTAACCTGAAAAGCTTTTTTATTCAATCATACTCTTTTTACATTTCTACAAGCTGACACAGATAATCTTTGATATCCTAGAAAAGTTAGATTTTCTTATTCTAAAAAAATGTAAAGCGATATGGTTTGGTTCAGATTATGCTTCTATTCCTTACGGCAGCGCTTTTTGGAATATCTATCTATGGAAATGTTGAGCTCAGACAGGAATATATCAAATATCATAAGTTTTACGTATTTTTTTGTTGTTGAAAATTTATGCATTGAAATCCACATTTTTTCTTTAACTTTATTTTTGAAAGATGAAATTTTTTTTATAACTTTATAAATATAACGATATTTGGTGATTTTAGGAATTCAACCCAATCTGGTTTCTACCCTCGGACTCGTATATTGCACAATGGCACCATTTCAACTCCATTTATTATCCGTCTAGGGGGGAGCAGGTGAGAAGGAGGGGAAGGGCCAGGGGGGGTGCTTATGGCAACTATCCCAAAAGTGCATTTTACACATAGTGACAGACGTGTATAGTGTACAGAAGGGGTGGCTAAGTCCCCTTAGCCACCTCCTTTCCTGAATTAGTGAAATTTATGATTTCTAAGGGATTTAAGGCCCGCCTGAAAAAAAAACAGTTTTAAATCCCCTCCCAGACAAATTCCTGTCTACGCCCTTACATATTGAATATTAGTTTTTAACCTGTACATTTTTATCTTAAAAATTGTATCCAATTGTATTGTCTCGAAGAAATAAAAAAAAAAAAAGAATATTACTGTGGTATAACGGTCTACCCTTGAATTCCTGGGGTAAGGCTGTAAGTACAAATTTAAAACAATATTTCTTTTATATAATTCTAAAGTTACGCAAGCAAGAAGTGAAGCACAAAGTACACATAGTATAAACTTTTCATAGAGCCCGTAACTTAAAACTGAGTATCGTGATGAAACCCAAAGAGCTTTGTAATATAAAGAGAAGGCATTGAGATTTATAAGCAAAACCAGACGCCTCAATTGGGTTCAATAAGAAGCCATAGAATGTCGTCGTTTCTATAATCTAAAAAGATTTTAGGACTTTTAAAGCATTTCCATCACCAAAAACTTGCGTTTTTACGTAATTTTCCGTTAGAAATGCATAACTTTATTATCTTTTTAGATAAACTTTATCTTAAAACAGATTGCAATGTAATTGGTTAAAAAAAATTTGACAACTTTAAATCAAGGTTTTTTCGGGCCTTGCTCATGTTACTGACCAAAAATTTTGCTTAGACTTTTTACAAAACTATACTGAATGACAGCTAACAAATTTTGTTTTAAAATATGTGGTATTTTTCATACAAATGAGATGGTAACAAGATCACAATTTTAGCTTTTATTTTAGCAGGAGAGCATCCTATCCTATAACTGATAAAAACAAATTTAGAAGTTTAGAACCGTGTCGTTATTTTCCCACCATATTTAGCAACTACAATGATTAAATTATTTAGTAACTGACGTTTTAATGTTCATTGTTTGAATTTAAAACCAATACTGCAGCCAATGACGTCATACGTATTACTCAAACATCTGCAACATTACTAGATCACATATTTAGTAATTCAGATCCTGAGTCAAAAGAATGTGGAATCATCTACTCAAGTTTATCTGACCATTTACCCGTTTTTTCATTGTCTAAATGTACACAACATGAAGATAATATTGGTAGCAAACCAGTTCTAATTAGAAACACTTCAATCGAAAATCCAAAAATCGTTCTCTAGGAATATACCCGAATACATTCCTAATGCCCTATCTTCTACTATTCTACCGTCTTTGATGAAACACAGTTTCAACGATATTCTCTTAAATTTCAGGCTCTGTATATGTATAAGATCGAGTGAGCTTATCTTTGCAAAATCTAAATAATTCAAGTTTTATTATCAATCCACACGGGAGTGTTCTTATTGGGCGCAGGAGGAAAATCATGATTTTAAAAGTGTAGACAAGTAATATTTCAATTCATATTTTGAAATGTTTGGACTAAAGAACATGAAATTAAAATAAACATTTAACGGTTGCCAAAAATTTGCAAAGAATCCCAAAGAGGATCCTGGACAAATTTCTACTGTTTTGAAATTTTTGCACGTAAAAAGTTAGCTTGAAAGCTTTTGCACAAAATGTTGCAATTTTCGTATTTTTCTTACCTAATATTTTGCTCTCAAATACAATGCAAATATGTCGGCAAAAGAATTCTAACTAATTAATGAATTTTCAAGGAATAGTAACTGCACACTTTATAGTAAAAGAATTGAGACTCAAATCTTTGCAACCTTGATATTTCAAAAATAGAGCTTTTGATCTAAAATGATTCATATTTTAAATATTAGAGGTCTACGAAATGAGTTTGCAAAATATAAGAATTTAGAAATCAAAGTTTGTAATTAAGACTCAATTACTTCATTAGTTAAAAAGCAATCGTCAATGCCAAACGACAATATTTATTTGAAACAATAGTTGTGTAACCAAAAAACATTGGAATTTGATGAAATGAAGTTAAATTTGTCACTTAAAAATTAAAATTTTTAATTAATTGATATCTAAAAAATGTGACCTGAACATTTTCATGAACAAATCTAGCTAGCTCAATATAAACTATATACATGTTTGCAACCTAATGACGTTGACCTTAAATATTCTGACTTTTTATAACGTAGAATTCCATAGTTTGACTTACAACATCAGGCCGCAAAGATCTAGTATGACAAAAATCCCTCAGATTTTGGTTACCACATATATACGTGCTAATTATAATATATCATTCATTAGTATCGTGTATTTTATCTTCGTTTGTTTCTGGTTTCCAGCTATTCAGCTGATATTTATCTTGCATAAGGAGGAGGGTACAGGGCCGCCTCGAGCCCCGCAAAATGACCTCCGGAGCCTCCTTATACGTAAAGTGACCTCCAAGCCCCGGGAAACCGTCTCCAAACCTTAAGTTTTATATAATATATTATTTTACAGGTGTTTCATGTACGAATCAAACTTGAGCACTAATTCACAAAACACAAAAGTTTTGTGAAATACTTGATTTTGTGCCTTTATTGTATGCGTTGTGTAATCTTTTCACAAGAAAACAAGTTGTTCTGAATTGAATGAATTATCATTTGAAATTTGTGGATGAAACGATTCTATTGTGGATTCTACTATGCAGAGATATATTTTGATTTATAAAATACAGCAAGTAGAGATCAACATTTGCAGAGCTACGAGACAGAGATTGTTTTGGGGGGTTTGAGGTCATTCTGCGTATCAGGAGGCTCCGGAGGCCATTTCACTGGGCTCATGGTGGCTCTGTACTCCTGCTCCCTCGCATCAACTTGTATAATTATCATGGGATCGTATTTACTTAACAGTTTACATGGGAAAACAATAGGAGGAGGAGGGGGCCTGGGGGAGGGATCCAAAAATCGTTCCCTAGGACAGACCTACTAGCCCCAACCTAGAAGTACAAAACTCAATGTCATCAATCTACTTCTTAACATTATACAAACTATTGGTATTTTAAGAATAGACCAATAACTTAGCAAAAGACAATAGCTTGGGTTTTAGTGGTTAAGTTGAAACATCTAGCTGTCCTATGTAACCCAACCCAGGAGAAGAAATTATGTATTTAAGTTAACATTAAAAAAAAAAAATATTTGTTTTACCGATGAGAAAAAGCTGAAAGATTGAGCAACTATTAAAAGTTGCAATAGAAGATGCTGCCCTGATAGTCTAGTCATATATATTTAGTTACACTTCTTTTACTCGATTTACATATTTATAGTAAAATAATCGTTTCGTTAAAGAAAAAATCAAAAAATGGTTAAACCGATGTGACCGAGCTTCCTAAGAAAGTATCTCGTAGATTTCTACGATTCCTAAGATGTTATTCGTATTTCAGATAAAAGACGAAAAAACTCTTCCATCGATAGAATATCTTAAAGGGTATTGATCTCAAACCATGATAGTACTTTTTAGTGGCAGCTTCGAATATGATCCCTTTAAGTAAACCAATATTTTATCCCTTTAAGTAAACCAATATTTTATCTAATAATATTTTCATCATATTTTTCTTAGGTGACAGTTTTTATTGGAAACCTTGACCTTCCGAGGGAACTAGTAAACCTCGAACATATGCATAGGTAACATTTAGATTCTACGCAGGACAGGTAACATTTAGAATCTACGCAGGACAGGTAACATTTAGATTCTACGCAGGACAGGTAACATTTAGATTCTACGCAGGACAGGTAACATTTAGATTCTACACAGGTCAGGTAACATTTAGATTCTACGCAGGTCAGGTAACATTTAGAATCTACGCAGGACAGGTAACATTTAGATTCTATGCAGGACAGGTAACATTTAGATTCTACGCAGGACAGGTAACATTTAGATTCTACGCAGGTCAGGTAACATTTAGATTCTACGCAGGACAGGTTACATTTAGATTCTACGCAGGACAGGTTACATTAAGATTCTACGCCGGTCAGGTAACATTTAGATTCTACGCAGGACAGGTAACATTTAGATTCTACGCAGGTCAGGTAACATTTAGATTCTACGCAGGACAGGGAACATTTAGATTCTACGCAGGACATGTAGCATTTAGATTCTACGCAGGACAGGTAACATTTAGATTCCACGCAGGACAGGTAACATTTAGATTCTACGCAGGTCAGGTAACATTTAGATTCTACGCAGGTCAGGTAACATTTAGATTCTACGCAGGTCAGGTAACATTTAGATTTTTACGTAGGACAGGTAACATTTAGATTTTTACGTAGGACAGGTAACATTTAGATTCTACGAAGGATTAACATTTAGATTCTACGAAGGACAGGTTACATTTAGATTCTACGCAGGACAGGTTACATTAAGATTCTACGCCGGTCAGGTAACATTTAGATTCTACGCAGGACAGGTCACATTTAGATTTTTACGTAGGACAGGTAACATTTAGATTCTGCGAAGGACAATTAACATTTAGATTCTACGAAGGACAGGTAACATTTAGATTCTACGCAGGACAGGTAACATTTAGATTCTACGCAGGTCAGGTAACATTTAGATTCTACGCAGGACAGGTAACATTGAGATTCTACGCAGGACAGGTAACATTTAGATTCTACGCAGGACAGGTAGCATTTAGATTCTACGCAGGGCAGGTAACAGGACAGTCATCATTTCACAGGGATGAAATCTTTTGAATACGTTCAGTGGTTCATTTAGGTACGGCTGATTAATCCGCTTGTCAGATATTTTGACGCAAAGTATGATGGTTCAAAATTTAATGACTCTTTAGATGAAAGAGTGAGAAAACATATTGGTTATACTGAACTGACAAGGGTCAACTCAGACCAAAATAAATTTTCAACAAAATGTTGAATTTATATCTACTTTTTTTACTCCACAGAGGATTGGTCCATCACCATCACCGAATTTAAATATATAGATAGATATGTATTTCGGTTAGAATCTGTTAAACAATACAAACATTATAAAGGAATTGAGTCTTTGCCACAAACTCTGATTTTCTAATCCCAATATTCTTGCAACCCAATGTCGTGGACCCTTGACATTTCAAACTATGAATTCTGTTAGACCAAATAATCTAAGTTTGAAATATCAAAGGTGTACGCCATAAGGTTGCAAAGATATAGAGATAAGAAAATTTGAGCTTGTGGCAAAAACTCAATTCCTTTATTTTAATTTTAGAAATTATCAAATATCAATTTGTAATACATAATAAAGCATAAAGTAATTTTTGTAAAAAGAGGGATTAAAAAGAGATAAAAGGTATAACACGGGGAGCAGTAGAGGAAAAAAAGAAGGAACACGGATGCAACTGTTCGAAATGCATTTTAAATTAATTAATTTAATTTTTTAGTGAATTGTTGGAGCAGAAAGACATAATTGCTGAAATAGACAGCTGGTATCTTGGGTTTAAGAACTACATGGAAACAAACTTTTTAAACGGTAAAATACTTTAATTTCTAATGCTCATGTTCCTGGCTTTTATACTGTTCTTTTTAGGAAAAAGTTTGTTTGAATTGGAGAAAGATGAGTTTGACCGGAGGCTGACGCAGTATCTTTTCAGTCCAGGAGGAAGTCAACATAGATTCCTTTTCCAGTTCAATCATCACTTAGCCTGCGGTGAACCTTCCCCTACTCCTCAGGTACCTTGGTTAACCTATACCTTCTCCTACTCCTCAGGTACCTTGAGTTAACCTATACCTTCTCCTACTCCTCAGGTACCTTGGGTTAACCTATACCTTCTCCTACTCCTCAGGTACCTTGAGTTAACCTATATTTTCTCCTACTCCTCAGGTACCTTGAGTTTTCCTTTACCTTCTAGTTTCCAGCTCCTCAGGTACCTTGAGTTAACCTATAATACTTTCTAATCTCCTCAGGTACCTTGAGTTAACCTGTACCTTCTAATCTCCAGCTCCTGAGGTACCTTGAGTTATATTATACCGTCTATCTCCAGCTCCTGAGGTACCTTGAGTTAACCTATGCCCTCTAATCTCCAGCTCCTGAGGTACCTCGAGTTAACTTATACTTTCTAATCTACAGCTCCTGAGGTACCTTGAGTTAACCTATACCCTCTAATCTCCAGCTCCTGAGGTACCTTGAGTTAACCTATACCCTCTAATCTCCGGCTCCTGAGGTACCTTGAGTTAACCTATACCTTCTAATCTCCAGCTCCTGAGGTACCTTGAGTTAGCCTATACTTTCTAATCTTCAGCTCCTGAGGTACTTTGAGCTAATCTATACCCTCTAATCTCCAGCGCCCGAGGTACATTGAGTTAACCTTTACCCTTTAATCTCCAGCTCCTGAGGTACCTTAAGTTAACCTATACCCTCTAATCTCCTGCTCCTGAGGTACCTTGAGTTAACCTATAGCCTCTAATCTCCAGCTCCTGAGGTACCTTGAGATAAACTATACACTCTAATCTCCAGCTCCTGAGGTACCTTGAGTTAACCTACACCCTATCCAGCTCCTTATGTACCTTTAGCTTACATATGCTTTCTTCTGCTCCTCAGGTTCAAGATTCGGAGCGTATTTTGTGATATGACACTCTCAGTCTCTGATCTAATCTTGTTTATAATAGGTAATAATAAACATCTGTATTTTAGCTCTCTATACTCAGCTTCAAGCACAGACTAATGTCTGGACCAGAGGAACAGATCCCTGCTATGAACCGTGTTAAGACGATTATCAGAAACTCAAACTTCTCCTCCAGGGTGTTCCCAATGGCTCAAGGATATGCATCCTGGGAAACAGATGAGGTAGGACTTGGATTAGGAAGCTAAAAAACAGTTCTAGATGATTTACGAGTACATGTGCACTGGATAGTCCCAAGGTACTAATGCAAGGAAAGTTAATTGTGGTCGCGTATACTCTGCGTACATACAGGGTGTCCCAATAAACATGGGAATTCAGTGACGAATTCGATATCGTCTTTTTAAATAATTCTTTGATTTAGTATAGTGCTACCTACTGAGAAAGCTGTAATCTGTAAGAGTTTCGTCTGCAATGTTCACATTTTGATTGTTTATGTTTTGACTGCATACAGTTGTACTAAGTAAAACAAGAAAATTACAGTATACAAACAGAGTAAACTTGTCAGTATTCACTGTTCATCTTGCGGAGATAATATAGACACATCTTTACAGTCATTTACCCTTTTCATAAAATAAACTCTAGCAGACTTAATAATATTATGGCTTTTGAAATTAGGTATTACAATGCTAATTCATAACAAAGACGATATCGAATTCGTCACTGAATTCCCATGTTTATTGGGACACCCTGTGTTGAAACCAGGTCTATCTGGGCGGTTTTTGTAAACAAGAATAGGTGCATCAGTGTTCTTTTAGTATCCGAGGAGGTTAAAAGCATTTAATTTTGATAATTTTGAAAATTCACATAATAGTTTCCTATGACCAAAATATTTCATAGATTATTGTTGTTAAAGTGGACTCTATGTCAGGCTGTGACATCTTTGTTGTGTTTACTTTTCCGCCCAAAAACAGTACACTGCAGTACAAAACATGCGTACACCTCTGAAATAACTTTCCTTGCCTTAGTACATTGGAAAGTCCACTCCACGTCCCACTTATAGATATGCTTCAATCTATCGATCTACACTATTCTGGGCCAGCGACCAGCATACATATGTAATTTTGCAGATGTGCTTCACAGATGTTATAGCTCATTAGACCCTAGATTTTTGGGAAAATTTTTTAAATCTCTATATTTTGTACTTAAGTTTTCACTCTAACACTGACTGAGATACTGAGAAATTTGTCGAAATTTAAAATATTTAGTGTCTCCGGCAAATTTATGATACAAAGAAGGAGGATAAATTTTACCCAAGTTTTAAATACTTACACCAAAGATTAATAACAACACATATAGAACACTAGATGACGTCTTTTCAATATTTAGGAGGTTCTTCGTTCACAATAACCCTGTGGTAGACGCCCAAAGGAGTTACGCGCATTTTGCGCAGAATGACAAGGCAAGAGGAGCCTGTTCTGCGTTGCATCCGCGTAATTTCTTTGGGCTTCTGCCTTAGGGTTATTGTGAACGAAAAACTCTTAATTCTAGAAAAGACGACATATAGTTTTCTTTCTGTGTTATTATTAATCTATGACTTACGTTGTTTTTCTATACTCCTTTGACAACTATTAACTTGACAAAAACTCCGAGACAAATTGCAAGTACAGGGTCTAATGTACTGCATTACACTCCCCCCCCCCGTGAAAAATACTTCAAAACTTGTCAAGATATCAAAAAAAAGTTTCGATCTCAGAGCAGGGAGCAATAATGCATGCGTTAGAAAAGAAAGTTTCACTTAAAAAAACAAGGTTTTTATAATTTGAATAGTATTCCTTGGAAAAAAATTATTTGTTTGTTAATACTCATCTATGTATGTAGGGGTTTTAAGGAAAATAATATAATAGGCTAATAATTACCTTCATTTGTTCCATCGAAAAGAAATACGACATAATTAAAAAGGTGATAAAGATAATAACTTTTCTATATTACAAGGGATTTAATCAAAAATATTTTCAAGAATCAATAAACTGAGAGCAACACTTTTGTATTTTAAAAATCTGTGAATTTCAAGGGACCCTTCAGTTGTAAAGTCTAGCGCGGCTTGTCCTATTTATAACGGTATCCTATAAACCTTTAACTGATACAGGATGACGGGAGTTATTTATCCCCGGAATATATATATACTAGCCTTAGAGGGCGCTTCCCGCCCATCTTCTAAATTAATTGTGAACATGTTCTCTTTGTGTACATCGTAAAACAAAACAAAAATAATTCGCGGATTTTCACAAAAAAACACGAAATTTTTTGTGAAAATCCGCGAATTATTTTTGTTTTGTTTTACGATGTACACAAAGAGAACATGTTCACAATTAATTTAGAAGATGGGCGCGAAGCGCCCTCTAAGGCTAGTATATATATAAATAAATAAGAATTATGCAACATGTTATACTTGATATATATTTTTGTGTGCTGGAGTTACATCAGAAAATAGAAATTTTCATTCGATTACAAAAATTTTGTCTGTTTTTCTAGGTAATCTCTGTTGAGTTGTACAGAAACATGAGCTTGGCTCTTGGTTGTATATTCATTACAACCTGGATACTTCTATTTAACTTCTGGGCCTGTATCATGGTAGGTATTTTATCATATTCATCATATTCATCATATTCATCATATTCATCATATTCATCATATTCATTATATTCATTATATTCATCATATTCATCATATCCATCATATTCATCATATAAATCACTTTCATCATATTCGTCATATTCATCATATTCATCATTTTCATCATTTTCATCATATTTATGATATTCATTATATTTATCGTATTCATCATATTCATCATATTCATCATATTTATCATATTCATCATATTCATCATTTTCATCATATTCATCATATTCATCATATTCATCATATTCATCATATTCATCATATTCATCATATTCATCATTTTCATCATTTTCATCATTTTTATCATATTCATTATATTTATCGTATTCATCATATTTATCATATTCATCATACTCATTATATTTATCGTATTCATCATATGCATCATATTCATCATATTCGTCATACTCGTCATATTCATCAAATTCATCACATTCATCACATTCATCATATTCATCATATTCATCATATGCATTATATTTATCGTATTCATCATATTCATTATATTCATTATTTTTATCATATTCATCATATTCATCATATTTATCATATTCATCATATTCATCATATTTATCATATTCATCATTTTCATCATATTCATCATATTCATCATATTCATCATATTCATTATATTTATCGTATTCATCATATTCATCATATTCATCATATTCATTATATTTATCGTTTTCATCATATGCATCATATTCATCATATTCATCATATTCGTCATACTCATCTTATTTTTATATTTCGTATCTATATAATTGATACACTGAAAAAAATGTGTCTGATTTGTGGAATATTTAAAAACGAGAAATCATTTTTCATAATTTATTAAAAATACTCAATGATTTATTCCTTTAAATATGTTCTTAATTCTTGCATTTTGTCGAGTTTCTAATGAGCTAAATTAGATTTATAACAATATTTTCAGAGAGTTTTAAAATATTTTGGTCATATTTTTTATTCTACCTGTTTTTTGTCATTCTAATTATTTCTAAAATTATTTTTTTCAGGTTTTGATATCAGTAGTTGTGACACTGGTCAATGTCGCAGGATTTATGCATTTCTGGGGGCTCACCATTGATACAGTTTCATGTACAAACCTCATCATTGCCATTGGTTAGTTCATAAACATTATCATTGGTTTGTTAATAAACATTAGCATTGGTTAGTTCATAAACATTGTTATTGATTAGTTCATAAAAATTGTCATTGGTTAGTTCATAACCCTTGTACTTGGTTAGTTCATAAACATTATCATTGGTTAGTTCATAAACCTTGTTATTGTTTAGTTCATAAACACTATCATTGGTTAGTTCATAAACCTTGTTATTGTTTAGTTCATAAACATTATCATTGGTTAGTTCATAACCCTTGTCATTGGTTAGTTCATAACATTATCATTGGTTAGTTCATAACCCTTGTCATTGGTTAGTTCATAACATTATCATTGGTTAGTTCATAAACAGTGTTATTGTTTAGTTCATAAACATTATCGTTGGTTAGTTCATAAACCTTGTTATTGGTTAGTTCATAAACCTTGTTATTGTTTAGTTCATAAACATTATCATTTGTAAGTTTACGATTTGTTTTTATCTGATCAGGTTTGTGCGTTGATTACTCGGCTCACATCACGCACACCTTCATGGTAAACACCGGGTCGAGGGAGAGAAGGGTGAAGGACGCCTTGATAAATATAGGTCCTGCTGTTCTTAACGGAGGATTCAGCACATTCCTGGCATTTATTCTGCTCGCAACATCTAAATCTCATGTCTTCACTTCTTTCTTCAAGGTAAACCAAACCAAACCAAACCTAAGCAGACCGATCCAAACCAAACTAAAACAAACTATAACCAGTCCAACCCAAACTAAAGAAGATAATACCAAACTAAACTTTTTAAAACTTTAAAAGTTTTTATTAGTTTAAATATAGACGGAAAGGGTTTTCAGCTTCTCCCATAGTAGAAAACCTGCAGAGTATCATATTTGTTTCTATTATTTTCGTTGTTCATTCTTTCTCTTTTTATGCAAACAGACTGAGTTTAAGAGGTTTTCCTTCAATTACACCCTCTCAAAATTTCCGTTCAATTCTACTTTTTGTTAATATCAGATTTCATACTCCCCCCCCCCCTGCCCATTAATAACCAAACCTTAAAATACAAATATATACGAAACCAAACTAACAATATAAAACATAACAAACCAACTCAAACTAAATCAGATCACGCTTAATCAAAACAAACAAGATCATAACAAACCAACCCAAACTAAATGAGATCACGCTTAATCAAAACAAACAAGATCATAACAAACCAACCCAAACTACATGAGATCACGCTTAATCAAAACAAACAAGATCATAACAAACCAAACCAAACTAAATGAGATCACGCTTAATCAAAACAAACAAGATCATAACAAACCAGCCCAAACGAAATGAGATCGCGCTTGATAAAAACAAACAAGATCATAACAAACTAACTCAAACTAAATGAGATCACGCTAAATCAAAACAAACCAGATCCTAACAAACCAACCCAAATTAAGTGAGATCACGCTAAATCGAAACAAGCAAGATCATAACAAACCAACCCAAATTAAATGAGATCACGCTTAATCAAAACAAACAAGATCATAACAAACCAACCCAAACTAAATGAGATCACGCTTAATCAAAACAAACAAGATCATAACAAACCAACCCGAACTAAATGAGATCATGCTTAATCAAAACAAACAAGACCATAACAAACCAACTCAAACTAAGTGAGATCACGCTTAATCAAAACAGACAAGATCATAACAAACCAACCCAAACTAGATTACAACTAAAAAAATTATATATAAACCATCAAAATAACACCAGCCTAAACTAAACTAAGATCATTAAACATATAAAAGTAGAATTGAAAAAAGTTGTTGTAGATACTCTTTTCTTGTTTAGATATTCTTTCTTGTGGTTCTGTTTGGATTGTATAACGGTCTTATCCTTCTCCCTTTACTTCTCAGCATATTTGGCCCGAGGTAGGATAAACATATTTGTTTATAATCTTACCCAGACAAATTTCCAATTTACCAAGCATAAATCTGAAACAAAACATTACAAAAAAAGAGAAAATACGGTGGCAGGCAATTATATCAATATAATAAAGATGATTCTTGTGTTTAAGTTTTAATTATTAACAAGCTTTTTTCTAATTACAGGTTTACAAGTAATTAAAGAAAAGCTTTTTTTAAAGATAGCTTATCTTTGTTTCCATGTTATTGTGTATCCATGCTGTTTAAAAGCATGAAATAAATCAAAATTGAAATAGAAAGTCGTCTTCATTTTGTTGATAAAATCGCCTACCACCGTAGGAAAAAGCCGGAGAGTCAAATTCTGGAGAACAATTCTAGATAAGACGAAATAGCGGATTTCCGGTTCTGACAAACTCCGCAAAATATTTAAAGATATTTTCATCATCCTTGGTTAGATTAGGCCTTGCACAATGCACACCCAGAACTAACTTGGTCTAGATGTGTTCAGTTTTATTGAATTCAATCGTATTTTAATCCGTCATTAAACAATTTTTAAATTTACTAAGCTGTCTTTTTTATTTAAAACGCATCCGCCGAAAAAAAAGTATTGAAGAGAAAAGGCAAAAATAATCTTTGATAATGGATTAAATTGCTGGGATATAGACCAAACTATAAGTGCGACTCTACGAAAGGTGCCAAACACTGTGGCTAGGATGGCTTAATATTTCTTCTTCCATAATTTGTTATGTTGCTTGATACTTAAGAGAATAATGAAAATATTATATGGCAGACATAGTATAGTAAAATTAATTTAAAAGTAAAATATATTTTAGTAAAAGATTTTTTTTACGAAATAAACTGCAAAAAGTCTTAAATATCTAGTCTATATAATAAAACAAGACATAAGTATATATATATATATATTTATATATATATATATACATATATATATATATATAAGTATATATGTGTATATATGTATAGCCGGCCGAACGGCTGGACCGATTGGGCTGAATTTTTTTTTGACACTCATGGTTGACCGGGGGGTGATATAGGCTAAAAAATTCGAATTTTTTAAAAACTTTTTTTTTCAGAATTTTTTTTTCAATTTTTTTTTCCACGGGCAACGCCGGGCCCTTCAACTATTCATCAACTGTCATGTTTCGTGGGACTCCCTGTATATCCGTTCCATCACTACGAAAGGAAAAAATGATTAATTTAGTGTTTCTTTCAGATCGTATAATCACGATGTTAGCAGTACGAATACCTCTGATGAAATTGAACCCCTGAAACCGATGATAAAACAGTCCGTCGTTCAAAAAGAAAACCAAAGTTCTGAAACGCAGGTTGAAAGGAGTAACTCTAAACCATGATTGTGAACTAGTGAAATACCAAAGAAGTTTATTTTATAAAAGAATTTAAAAACTGATTTGTTACACAAATTATTCATCCTGTTCAACTAGTTATAATCGGATCCAAACAGCTAGCTCTGTGTTGACTGCATATTCATACAGAGAAAAATTGATGATATGTCGTCTTTGTACATTACTTGTTTTTAATGAATTAGCAACCTATTCCAAGTTTTAGAACTTGTATTTCAATATGTTTATTTTTTTGATCCACTCCTTATCTTTTCTATGCATTGAAATTAAGGGCTATTTAAGGGTGTCCCAATAAACATGGGAATTAAGAGACGTCTTGAAAGTCGTCTTTGATTTCTGATATTTTGAAATATCTCCGTCAATTTTGAAGATACAAAAATGGTAGAAAATCTCAAGACCAGGCGTTTTCGATATTAGATGTTTAAACTGGAATATTGTAATAATTGTGTTAATGAAATAATGCCGCATGGATCATAAAAAATATAAAAGATGTCACTGAATTCCCATGTTTTTTGTGACACTCTGTAGTATTTTTTATGAAATGTCATTGAACTGCGACAAGAACCACTACGACGTCAAAATTTGTCTGTTTTTTTTTGTAAAAAAAATCCTAAGGTTAAATTCACATCACTGAATTTTGTATATTTATATCTCTGTATTCATGTTTATTGTAGTTTGTAAAGTGTTAGTTATGTAAATTATCTCATGACCTTAAATTTTTGTGAATATACATCTAAATATTGTATATAAATAGTAATATATCTGTTTTTGATTGAATAATAAATTGATTATTTAAATATATATTTATATCAAGAAGTAATCTCTGTTTGTAAATCCGATCTTGACTCCTTGACAGGTTTGCCTCAAATTTTGATTGGGGAACTCGGTAGAACCAAGGGAATGTTCTTAGCTTAGCTTAACTCATTGTATTTCGGGTTACCTACAAAGAATTTAAATTTGATGAGGACTTGAAGGTTTAAAAGTTGTAATAACGTCATCATTCATAAAAGATTTAATGCCGTAAAATCTTGAAAACAACTTTTTTTAAAAAAAGTTCAACCTATTATGACCTACATTCTACATTCTACATTCTACATTCTACATGATTTGACTTATAATTCAAATGTTCCCTGCCCCCTGCTCATTTTATTCATTTATCATAGAACACTTTTTGAAAGTTTTGATAAGCCCTCAGAATATTTCAATAAAGAAGATTAAAAGTTTTATTTTTAATCTTTTACTTTGTTTCTCCATTAAGAAACCCTAATCTTCTCCTTTAATCTTCCTACTCAAATTTTGAGAATTCATAATTTTATTTTAAATCTTTTTACAGTTATGTTTGAATGTGTATTTTGTACCTAACAGTATACTTTCATATCTGACTTAGTACCTAAATAGGGTTAAGTTGTTTTTTAACTCAGAGTTTAAATTGACGTCTCAAATTTTTCTTTATTTGATTATCTTGACGTGGTACTAATTGTAATAGAGGTTAAAATCAATTTTTTTTCTTGTACTTTATTATTTAGCTTGGAATAGTACAAGTGACGTTTTTTATTATTTAGCTTGACGTGATACTAGTGAAGTTTACATTGTACTTTATTATTGAGCTTGACGTGATACTAGTGAAGTTTACATTGTACTTTAGTATTTAGCTTGAAGTAGTACTAGTGAAGTTTACAATGTACTTTATTATTTAGCTTAACGTGGTACAGTGAAGTTTATAATATACTTTATTATTTAGCTTGACGTGGTACTAGTGAAGTTTACAATATACTTTATTATTCAGCTTGACGTGATACTAGTGAAGTTTACATTGTACTTTATTATTTAGCTTGAAGTAGTACTAAGTGAAGTTTATAATATACTTTATTATTTAGCTTGACGTGGTACTAGTGAAGTTTACAATATACTTTATTATTCAGCTTGACGTGATACTAGTGAAGTTTACATTGTACTTTATTATTTAGCTTGAAGTAGTACTAGTGAAGTTTACAATGTACTTTATTATTTAGCTTGACGTGATACTACTGAAGTTTACATTGTACTTTAGTATTTAGCTTGACGTGGTACTAGGAAGATTACATTGTACTTTATTATTTAGCTTGACGTGATACTAGTGAAGTTTACATTGTACTTTATTACTTAGCTTGGCGTGATACTAGTGAAGTTTACATTGTACTTTAGTATTTAGCTTGACGTGGTACTAGGAAGATTACATTGTACTTAATTATTTAGCTTGACATGGTACTAGTGATGTTTACATTGTACTTTAGTATTTGGCTTGGAGTAGTACTAGTGAAGTTTACATTGTACTTTATTATTTAGCTTGACGTGATACTAGTGAAGTTTTATACATTGTTCTTAATTATTTAGCTTGACATGGTACTAATGAAGTTTACATCATACTTGATTATTTAGCTTGACGTGATACTAGTGAAGTTTACATTGTACTTTATTATTTAGCTTGACGTGGTACTAGTGAAGTTTACATTATACTTTATTATTTAGCTTGACGTGGTACTAGGGAAGTTTACATTGTACTTAATTATTTAGCTTGACGTGGTACTAGTGAAGTTTACATTGTACTTTATTATTTAGCTTGAAGTAGTACTAGTGAAGTTTACAATGTACTTTATTATTTAGCTTGACGTGATACTAGTGAAGTTTACATTGTACTTTATTATTGAGCTTGACGTGGTACTAGTGAAGTTTACATTGTACTTTATTATTGAGCTTGACGTGGTACAGTGAAGTTTACATTGTACTTTATTATTGAGCTTGACTTGATACTAGTGAAGTTTACATTGTACTTTATTGTTTAGCTTGACGTGGTACTAGTGAAGTTTATTATGTACTTTATTATTTAGCTTGACGTGGTACAGTGAAGTTTATAATATACTTTATTATTTAGCTAGACGTGGTACTTCGTATCTTACAGTTCTAATGTATCTAAGCTTGTAGTTTTACTTTGTACTTTATAAGTTAATTAGCGTAGTACGTAAATGTATAGCTTCATATTTCTAGGAACCTATTTCTTTGTTATTTTCACATCGTCAATTTCTTTTTTATGGAGATGTTTTTTATAGCTTGAAAGATCAAAGGTTTACAACGACATCAGGTTGCAAAGATATAACAATTAGAAAATTAGTGATTGAGGTGAGTAATCATGGTTCCTTTGTACTTGACAGAAAAGTAATATGATCCATCCCTGGCATGACGTGAGTGATTTGAAAATATTAGATCTTGCAGTATTTTTCATGATACGCTTGTGCTTCACTTGTTGATTTCATGTTTCTTAAGTCTTATCTTTGTTTATTTATTTTATCAATTGAGCAAACCACGTAACTGCATCTTCACTCTTCAGGTTATGCAATATTTAATTTTATGCATAAATTATTGTTTATATTGTGAAGGCCTAGTAGTAAGCAAAGTAAAAATCTTTGTTCATTAATTCTAAAATTATTTTTTAGAAGAATTTCTTTGAGTTTTTTCAATTCTTAGAACTTAAAAACAAGCAAACAAAGGTTACGAAGGAACTAGCCAGATTTCCTAATCTCTATTTTGCAATCTGATTCTTGATATTTTAAAGATATAGGGATCGAATTATTAGAGTATGTGACAAGAACTCAGTTCTTTTGTACAGACATGAATTAATAATCTTCTCTCCCTTTCTAAGTTTTAAATCTTTTGATTTTAAACTGTTCTGCTTGATTTTTTTAAAGATGAAAAAGACAATATTATTGCAAGGTGTAATTATTTAAAAGTTAGTAAATAATGAATACATAAGTATAAAGGTTTGTATACAGTATGAATGTGCATGGTATGAACATTTAGAAGCACTTGCGGTGAACAATGGAGGGTCCGCACTCATCATACTCCTGCTTGGAGATCCACATCTGCTGGAAGGTGGAGAGGGAGGCCAGGATGGATCCTCCGATCCATACGGAGTACTTTCTCTCAGGGGGAGCGATGATCTTGATCTTGATGGTGGAGGGAGCCAGGGCGGTGATCTCCTTCTGCATTCTGTCAGCGATACCGGGGTACATGGTGGTTCCTCCAGACATGACGGTATTGGCGTACAGGTCCTTACGGATATCAACATCGCACTTCATGATAGAGTTGAAGGTGGTTTCGTGGATGCCGCAGGCCTCCATTCCAAGGAAGGAAGGCTGGAAGAGAGCCTCAGGGCACCTGAACCTCTCATTACCGATTGTGATGACCTGACCGTCGGGAAGCTCATAGGACTTCTCGAGGGAGGTGGAGGCAGCAGCGGTGGACATCTCCTGCTCGAAGTCAAGGGCGACATAGCACAATTTCTCTTTGATGTCCCTGACGATTTCTCTCTCGGCTGTGGTGGTGAAGGAGTATCCTCTCTCAGTCAGGATCTTCATGAGGTAGTTTGTCAGTTCACGACCAGCCAGATCCAGACGAAGAATGGCGTGGGGGAGAGCATAACCTTCATAGATAGGAACAGTGTGGGAAACACCATCTCCGGAATCCATGACGATACCGGTGGTACGACCGGACGCATAGAGGGAGAGGACGGCCTGGATGGCGACGTACATGGCGGGCATGTTGAAGGTCTCGAACATGATCTGGGTCATCTTCTCTCTGTTGGCCTTAGGGTTGAGGGGAGCCTCAGTCAGGAGGACGGGCTGCTCCTCTGGAGCAACACGGAGCTCGTTGTAGAAGGTGTGATGCCAGATCTTCTCCATATCATCCCAGTTGGTGATGATTCCGTGCTCAACGGGGTACTTCAGGGTGAGGATACCTCTCTTGCTCTGAGCTTCATCTCCAACATAGGCATCCTTCTGTCCCATACCGACCATGACACCCTGGTGACGGGGACGGCCGACAATGGAAGGGAAGACAGCTCTGGGAGCATCATCTCCGGCGAATCCAGCTTTGCACATGCCGGAGCCATTGTCAACAACAAGAGCAGCAACGTCCTCGTCACACATGGTGATTTAGTGTTCTTACAGGAGTCTGAGATTGGAGCTAGACTGAGCTAAACCTTGTCAGAGCAATCTTTTATAGACTATTGTTTATTATTGGATCTTTGCCATGTTACTCCTATATTTCCTTATATGGAGATAATATTGTGTTATGACCCAACCTGACCTGACCGCCTGGCTAGCCCTGCTAGCCATGCCGGCCAAAGTAAGTGGGGAAAACTATTATTCGAGGACAAGTATATTTAAACAATTTTCTGACACACAGTGTCACTGACGCTAAACTAACATCTATTTATATATATATATAAATAAGTAATCTCTGTTTATATGTCCGATCATAACTCATGAACCGCTTGACCAAACATGTTGATTGCGGAACTCAGTTAAACCATGGAAATGTGTTAAGTTTAGTTTTAAAGTTCTAAATGGAGTTGGGTGATAACTTACAGGGAAAACTTAGTTTCCAAACAAAGTATATCAAACGTTTATTTTATGTAAAAAAACGCCATAAAAAGGTTAGAAAAGCAGTTTTTTTATATAGTTATATTTTATTTTATTATAAAAAAATCAAAAAAAGGTTCAAAATCATTAAAAGATTAAAAATACTTATCAATAAGTGTATAAACGAAATATCCAAAAGAATGAATATAAAAATTGATAAATAATCTAAGATGACTATATAAAACTGGGAATTTTCGTTAAACATTTTCTTTCAAAAAATTGGAACTTTTTCTAAATTTTTTACACATTACAAAATGTTTTTTTTTTCTGACAGGTTATTTTTCAAAGAATACTGATATTATGAAATACATAAGTATCAAAGTCAGGAGGAATTGATGAAATCATTATTTACTATTTATATATGCATATACGATATGCACTTTCGGTGTGATTTGTTAAAAAGTATCAGCGTCTGATATAATTTGATTTACTTATAAGATTAGCATGTCATGTGATATAATTAATTAAAAAGGATTAGCGTTTAAAATTAATGGATTCATCAATAAGGATCAATGTGTTATATAATGGTATTTATTCATAAAGGATTTACGCGTATCATATGATAGGATTTATTACAAATAATCTATATATATATATATAAGTTGAAATCCCTGTTTGTTTGGATGTCTGATCAAAGCTGATAAACCCATAGACCGATTTGCTTCAAATTTTAATTAAGGAGCTTGGTTTTGAGATTTTAAGTTGAATGGGTCTACATTAATAAGGAAAAACAGCTAAAATTACAATTTACGACCAAGCGCGGGTAAACGGCAGGAGTAGCTTCGAGTACCCTGGGCAACACTGGGTTCTCAAGCTCCAGTGATATGATTAATGAATAATGATCAGCGTCTCATATGATATGATTTTGTAAACTTTGTTTTATCTCTGACAGTACACTGTCTTTGTATCTCCTTCCTGTATTTCTCCGGTATGTCTAGATCCCTGAAACATTAAGGAATTAGATTTTTTTAAAACATTTATTTCCTATTACTATAAAAAATTAAGAAGAGTTTCAGGATTAAAGTTAGGATTAAAGTTTGCATGTTTAAAAGTTATAATCTATATATAAATTTGGCTTGTCTGTCTGTTTGTCTCTTTGTCTGTTTGTCTGTCTGTTTGTTTGTATCCAATAAACGTCAAAACGGCTGAACCGATCGGGCCCAAATTTGTTGTGGGACATCACGTGACCACAGGGAAGGTTTATGAATGATAAAAATTAAAAAAATGTGTTTTAAAGGTTTTTAATTTTGTAAAAAAATTTTAATTCTTGAAAATCCGCGAATTTTTTTTTAAAAATCCGCAAAAATTTGTTCTTCTTTGTTTTAAAATGTAAACAAAAAGAACATATTCACAATTTAAATAGAAGATGGGCGCGAAGCGCCCTAAAAGCCTAGTAGTTTTAAATATTGGCTCAATAATTTGGCCCTTATTTAGTACTTCCACGTACAAAATCACAAACTAGCTAAGATTGTTTTAGAATTTCAGCTCTTGTTATATGGCTATTTCTTTTAGATGACTATGACTTATGAAAACAATGAAAAAATGTCTGAGAAAAAGTTATTCCTCATTGTAAATTAAATATTCAAAACTCCGTAGAAAATTACTAATTGAAAAGGGGTTTTAAAATAAAGTTTTCAAAAACACTGATATTATGAAAAGAAATCAATCAAAACTGGATTATCAGCTTATATCTAAAAAACCTAAGTTTTCGTTGATTGAAATATATATAAATATTAATAGAATAGAATTTAAATACTTACTGGAGCTCCTGAAATTTCCTCTCCTTAACTCTATCCACAATCTCCTTCTCCTCCTTCCTTCTTCTCTCCTCTTCATCCAACCTTCTCCTCTCCTCCTCCTTCTCTCTCATCCCTTCCATCTCCCTCATCTCCATCTGATGTTTGAGGCTGGTTTGATACAACTTTCTGGCAGTATACTTCTCCTCCTCCCTTCTCCTCTCCTGTTCTACCTCAGACTTCCACCTGAAGAAAACAAAACTCTGATTAATAATTACCAAGTTGCATTTCAGGAATCATTATCCCTAGAAGGTTAGCTTTGTTTGTCCATTAACATTTTAGCATTAATAATCTTTTTTTTTCTTTGTTTGGTAAAGTTTATTTAACATTGCATAGTTCTGTATCCAATAATATCTACTTAACATTGCATAGTTCTGTATCCAATATGATCTATTTAACATTGCATAGTTCTGTATCCAATATGATCTACTTAACATTGCATAGTTCTGTATCCAATATGATCTACTTAACATTGCATAGTTCTGTATCCATTATGATCTACTCAACATTGCATAGTTCTGTATCCAATATGATCTACTTAACATTGCATAGTTCTGTATCCAATATGATCTACTTAACATTCCATAACTCTGTGTCCAATATGATCTACTTAACATTGTATAGTTCTGTATCCAATATGATCTACTTAACATTCCATAACTCTGTGTCCAATATGATCTATTTAACATTCCATAGTTCTGTATCAAATATGATATATTTAGCATTGCATAGTTCTGTATCTAATATGACCAATTTAACATTGCATAGCTCTGTATCTAATATGATCTATTTAACATTGCATAGTTCTGTATCCAATATGATCTATTTAACATTGCATAGTTCTGTATCCAATATGATCTACTTAACATTGCATAGTTCTGTATCTAATATGATCTATTTAAGATTGCATAGTTCTGTATCCAATATGATCTATCTAATCTTGCATGGTTCAGTATTCAATGTATGATTTATACAACCTTGCATGGTTCTGTATCCAATATATGATTTATCCAACCTTGCATGGTTCTGTATCCAATATATGATTTATCCAACCTTGCATGGTTCTGTACCCAATATATGATTTATACAACCTTGCATGGTTCTGTATCTAATATATGATTTATCCAACATTGCATGGTTATGTATCCAATATGATCTATCTAACCTTGCATGGTTCTGTATCCAATATTATCTACCAAACCTTGCATGGTTCTGTATCCAATATGATCTGTCTAACCTTGCATGGTTCAGTATCCAATATAATCTATCTAACCTTGCATGGTGCTGTGTCCTATATGATCTATCTAACCTTGCATGGTTCTGTATCCAATATGATCTATCTAACCTTGCATGGTTCTGTATCCAATATAATCTATCTGACCTTGCATGGTTCTGTATCCAATATAATCTATCTAACCTTGCATGGTTCTGTATCCAATATAATCTATCTAACCTTGCATGGTTCTGTATCCAATATTATCTATCTGACCTTGCATGGTTCTGTATCCAACATAATCTATCTAACCTTGCATGGTTCTGTATCCAATATAATCTATCTAACCTTGCATGGTTCTGTTTCCAATATGATCTATTTAACATTGCATGGTTCTGTATCCAAAATGATCTATCTAACCTTGCATGGTTCTGTATCCAATATAATCTATTTAACATTGCATAGTTCTGTATCCAATATGATCTATCTAACCTTGCATGGTTCTATATCCAATATGATCTATCTAACCTTGCATGGTTCTGTATCCAATATGATCTATCTAACCTTGCATGGTTCTGTATCCAATATTATCTATCTGACCTTGCATGGTTTTGTATCCAATATTATCTATCTAACCTTGCATGGTTCTGTATCCAATATGATCCATCTAACCTAGCATAGTTCTGTATCCTATATTATCTATCTAACCTTGCATGGTTCTGTGTCCAATATGATTTCTCCTGGTCCTGGGCTTCCATTTCTTTTCTCCGTCTTATTTCTAACTGCTCCCTTCTAGTCTCTTCGATCTAAATGAAAAGGAACTGATTCTTTGCAACCTGATTATGTTAATCTTTGATGATTTAAACTTTGCAACCTGATTATGTTAATCTTTGATAATTTAAACTTTGCAACCTGATTATGTTAATCTTCGATAATTTAAACTTTGCAACCTGATTATGTTAATCTTGCAGAATTCATTGTTTGAAATATCAAAGACATGCGACATCAGATTGGATACAGTAGTCCCCATAATAATGAGAGATACAACTAAACGTCAATATATATAGTCGGTTATTTTGTTGTTGGAATAACAGGTTTTACAAGTCAACCATATACGAGGCATATTTCCCTGATGCATCATTCATCTCATCTTATTTTTATTCTTTATACCTGATTAATTCTCTCTCTCCTGGTTCTCTCAGCATTTATTTGGTTTTCTCTCCACACCCTCTCCTTCTCTTCTCTCTGTCGAGCTAACCGAACCTCCTCCGCCCGGGATAGAAGACTTTTCTAAATAGAAAATCAAATAAATTACGGAGGATTCTATTCACCTTTACCATACTTATTCGGCGTGTTTTTTTTCTTGTTTTTTTTGGGGGGGTGTTCAAAAAAACACAAGACGGTTCAAGAGAATGGGCCCAAAGGAATTAAGTCTTTGTCACAAACTCTGATTTTTTTTTTGCAACCTTAGATATTTCCAAGATTTTTCTAAGATTAAATAATCAAAGTTTGAAATATTAAAGGTTTAAACTATCGAGTGGCTAAGATAAAGGGATTAGAAAAAGAGAAATTTTTTTTAAAATATGGAAAAATTGCCAGAAAAAAATTAACAATTCTAGCGAATTTCAATTCTTCAGATTGAATTTTAAAGGGCACGTTCAATAATAAAACGTTTCGTAAATTCTTCTAGAGGAGTTTAAAGTTGTTTTTGTAAATCTAGATTTATGCATTCTTAACATAAACCCGTTCATCTCTACAGATTTTAAGATTTATCTCGTGGCTTTTATTTCTTTTGAATTTATGAATAATTTTAGATTTTGCAACCTCATTCTTGCATTTTTGCTAATAAAGAATCCATAACATGATATTCGCACGTCAGACTAATGCAAACAAAAACAAGGACTGTCAGAAACAAAATCACTCATTTAATCTATAAGCAATCTTCAACTATTAATGATGTATCTAAGTATTTATTTGCAGGGGCGGATACAGGGGTGACCCATTGGAGCGACCGCTCACCCCTGGAAATATTCTCACCCCTGAAGCTAAATTGCTTACCCCTTCAGGGTGTAGCTTTGGGGATGAGCTACGTAAAATTGCGATAAAATTCTGAAATTCCAAAATTCAAATAGTTAAATACATTATACTTAGTCGACAATAAAAGACTGAAGATTATTTAGTAGTTTTATGTTTAGTTTGAATTTCGCGTTCAATTCGGTATTGCACATTGAAAGCTATGGCTTTATACAATTAGATGTATATGCGATATCACGTGATAATATTGTGATTGTAAGTCCATACAGCTAAAAAAATATTAGAAAAATGTAACACAGAAAACGGTTAAATTTTGAGCTAGTAAAATCTTGCTTACCTTCCAATGGTGTGAGCAAGAAATTTTTCGGGACGAGTAGGAAAAACTATTTTTTTTGCGCTACGCGCGTAAATAACTCGATTACCCCTGATACAGTCCTTTATATATCCGCCCCTGTTTACATACGCAGTGTTTTAGTTTGATGGTTTGCTTATGGTCCTGCCAATCAACGTCTAAGTGGCGGAACTGACATGGTCCAACATTTGTGGGGGGGGGGGGGGGTAAAAATACCCCAGAGGGAATTGAGGGTCAGAGGGGTTTACAGATTTACACACAGGTTAGGATTCAATATTAACCTTTGGGAAAAGAAGAAAGTATTAAACCAGTTATTGGAAAGACAGTTTATTGTTTCCGGTAATGTCCTAGTTGGTTCGGGGGTGGATAAAGGGGCGAACAAACTCAGAATTTTCTCTTTATTAAGTATTACTTGAAATCACGTTGGTTATTCCGTTAAAAATTCAAATTTTTAATCTACAAACCTCTTTCTCCTGGGTTTGAGACATTCTCATAATCTCCCGTTCTCGTTTAAACTTGACTTCTCTCTCAGCCCTTTCTCTCTCCTCCTCCGCCTCTCTCCGCCTTGTCTCTAGTTCGTGGATCTTAAATAAAAGAAAATATCGTTGATATTTAGAGTAGGTGAAACAACTTAAAATAACCCAGAAAAAAGTTCTAAAGTTTATATTCGTAATATTGTACTATAACGATCAAATTAGTTCATGCTACGATGAAAAATATCAACAATTTATATTTTTCCCCTCTCTATGCACCCCGTCATCTAATTAAACCTAAGAACTAGATTTGATTTCCATCTAAAGGGACTGTAACCATAATTTCAAGTGACCTTTCTTTATAAGAGGTCCATCCCCGATTCACAACGGTTTCCTTAAACTAATCATCGAGATCAGAGACCCCAGTGTATATATCTCTTAAATGCTGTGTAAAAAGCCGTAATATTAGAGTGTACGCTATAGCGTACTGTGTGAACTAAACTCAAATGTCGTCACATTTATTCTGGTAAAATCTATAATATTCTATATCCAACGCGGTTTTCAATGATTGGAGTAATTTGCCACTTCTAGAAAGTAAATATTAATATCCCTTAAATATTAAACAGCCTGCAAACAAAGTGTTCAACAATTACAAGTGTTTCTGCAGATTAATCAGGAAAAGTCTGTCATCCTTGATCAGACAAAGGTTTAGAAGAGTACCGCTTGAAATAAGGAATGCTTTTCTTACAAACTGCATTTTCAAATGTAAATTAAATTAATCCAAGTTAATAAATGGGATCCAAAAACGAGAGTGGTTGGAAATAAATTTTCTAAGAACAAAGTAAAATGGATAATTTAAAGCTACATTATGCATATTTCTCTCACACATTTAACATTAATCTTTTCAATGCAAAATTCAAATCCACTTATGTATGCATATGTATAGGGTTATCCACAAAGAATGAGACTTCAGTGACGACTGTACGGATTTTACACTGTCTATTTCCGTATTTATGATGCGCTGCTTCTGTAACCATGTTTCTTTTATGCCAACTCATTAAATAAGCCATTAAAAGACTATATTTCAGACAGCGGATTTAATTCAACCTTGGGATCGTCATATTTCTAAAGTTTTAAGTCGTTTTTACAGTCTCATCCTTTATGAATAACCCTGTATTTTGTTAGAAATCTTTTAAAATTAAAGAATAATATTGAATGAACTAAGTAACTAAACGAGGAAAATGAAAAAGTTAATAACATCTTTTTCTCTTTTCATCCAACATATTAATTTCATATTTTCAGTCCTGTGTATAATCCTAACAAATCTCCGTTCATTCATATTTGAGCATTGAACTATGATAGAAACCTGGTATCTACTTATTTTCTGCACTTTGATTTCATATCTTTGAGATTTTGTTTTGCTAAGTTTTTTTCTCTCTGTCTGCTTTTTCATTGTTTATTTTGTGAAGCAGTTTTGCACTTTTTTCTTAGCCCCCCCCCCCTTCTCCTTTTGGTGCATTGTCTATCTCATTTACCGACAGCTATCCAGGAAATGTCATTTTTTCATCAGTTTATAAAATTTATGGAAGCACCGCGCCGCGCCGGGGCAAATTTTAACTTAGATAACTCGATTCTTCAAATGCATGATGAAAGATAAATTTCATCTAACAAAATTTGACGAATGATATAACCAAGTTAAATTTGGCTCCGGTGCTCCAACAAACTTAGATAGATGAAAATTTGACATTTCTTAAATCCCCCCCCCACCCCAACATTCTCAAATTTCCTAAGAGGCAAAATTCCAAATGCATATTTTCCCAAATGTTTTTGACGTAAGATTCGGGATTCAATCTCTATCTTACGCTAACAAAAACCAACCTTAAACAAACCAAACCCAAACCCAAAACCTACCTTACCAAACCCAATATAAGTCTAACCAATCCCAAACCTGACCTTAAAAAACCAAATCTTACCCTAGCCAAACTAGCCTTATCCTAACCAAACCCAACCCTAAATTATCCTAATCCAAAATTAACCTTCCCAACCCAACCTTATCCTAACCAAACCCATCCTTATCCTAACAAACCATTACTTAAACATATCAAACCTAGCCTTATCCTGACTAAAGCCAACTTTAACCGTATCAGACCAACTTTTATCCTAACCAAACCCAAATTATCTTTAAAAAACCCAACTTACCTTAACCAAACCTTACCCTAAACAAACCAAATCCATCCCTGACCAAAGACAACCCTATACTAGTCAAACCCAACCTTATCCTAACCAAACCCAACCTCAATCTAACCAAAACTAGCTTGATCATAATCAAAACCAACCTTAACCAAACCAAACCCAATTTTATCCTTACCCAACCCAGCCTTATCCTTACCAAACACAACCTCATCTTAACCAAACACAATCTTAACCTAACAAAACCCAATCTTATTCTAACAAAACCCAATCTAATTCTTACCAAACCGAACCTTATTATAACCAAACCCAATCTTAACATAACCAAACCTTATCTTAAACAAACCAAACACAATCTTATCCTAACCAAATACAACCTTATCCTAATCAAACCCAGTCTTATGCCAACCAAACCCAGCCTTATCTTAACCAACCCCAATTTTATCCTAACCTAATCCAATCTTATCCTAACCAAACCCAACCTTAACCTTACCAAACCCAATTTTATCCTTACCAAACAAACTTAAGTTAGGAAAAATTGAAAATGTATTCTCCTCGATTTTAAGGTGAACTTTGAGATTTCTCTTGAAAACCAAATCTTTTCTCAACCTCCCTTTTAACATTTTATCTTGTTGTTGGTATGAAAAAAATCCCCCTGAGCCTCTTACCTACTCTTGTATAGAAAAGTACCAATTAAGGTCATAAACTGAAAATCACTAAATCTCGAAAGTACTGTAAAACTTAGTTTTATTCTTGCGATATTATAGAATAGCTTTTATATTTGCATAATCCATTCCCCCCCCCCCCCAACTTTTGTTTATATGCTTAGAGGTTTCCCCAGGGAGCATTTTCCCCCCCCCCCTCCCCCCCATACATCCACCATAGCTTTTCCATCTTCGGTCTCAAGTTTTTCCATTCCAACATGTCCCGTTCATTTTTATTCTCAACATTCTTCAACACTCTTAATCTTGTCTCAAAGGACTTACAGTGTTTATATACTCTAATTTTAGAGTCTCCTGTAATATTTGAAATATAATGATAGTTCTAGAGAAAAATCTAAAATACCAATTTTTTCATCTCTGTACAAAGTAGCTTGGTTGTTTATATTTTTTTAGGCTTTTTAATGTTACAGTAATATCTGGGAAGTTAAACAAAGTACAAAGGAATTGAGTTTTTGCCACAAAATCATATTTTCTAATCTCTATATGTATGCAATCTAATTGTGTAAACCTTTCATATTTTAAACTTAGGTTATTTTATCTGACAGAATTAATAGTTTGAAATATCTAAGGTCTACGACAATGGGTTGCATAGACAGAGATGAGAATATCAGAATTTGTGGCAAAGACTCCATTCCTTTGTTTATTCCTGACATTACTTTTTCTGATGCTATGACACTTTTTGAGCCTGGGAAGAATGAACCAAAAATGCTTGTTTCCGATTCGTTTTCTCTGCCTTTGCTCGAAAGATTAAGTTTTGGCATTGTTTGATAAAAACAAACTTTTACACAATACAGTTTTATAATGTTTTAACGCTATTAAAATTAAAATTAAAATTAAAAATTTAAAATTTTCAAAAGGGTCAACGTGATGAGCCCAAATGCGTGATTTTTTGCATTAAAATTATGCACTTTTTTAACCCGTTAAAAACTTTGCTGCACTTAACTCTGCAAAGTGGGTTTTTAAATCCTTAAAATTCCTTCATCTGATATCCATGAAGTTTATCAATATAAAATACGAAAACCTGAATTCATTCAAACCAAAACAAATGTCTAACTGTAAACTGAGCACATACTTGTAAAACTTTAAAAAATGTCAACATTTCTAAATATTTATTCAATCCTTTTTAGCTATAAAATCTAAATTGTTATTTGTTAAGGAACAGATTACTATATATCCCTATAAATTTGCAACCTGATTGTTCAAATCATCAATTCCTTTGATCTAATTCGCACTATGAATAAACGGACACGAAATAATCAGAATTTTACTATATTTCAACCCTAAAGAAGTTTATTGAAAGAAACTGGTGAAAGGAATGGAGTCTTTGCCACAATTTAAAAATTTTTGATTTGCAACTTAATGGTGTAAACCTTTGATATTTCAAACAAATTATAATTTATATTTTGGCATCAACTCACTTTCTAATACCTATATCTTTGCACCTGATGGTGATTCACTTTGATATTGTCAAACTTATATTATTTAGTAACACAGAATGCATTTCTTTTTCTGTGGTTTTGACAACTGTGTTTGGGTTTCTCCTTGTGATTCTAATGGATTCTGAGTAGATGGATTGTTCTTTCCAAAGTTTGGTTCTATTACAGTGTATATACCCTGAGTGGTGTGAACTAATCTTGGAATGAATGAACCGTGAATGCAAGGTCTGGTTGAGTAACGTTCTATATCTTGCTTTAAGATAGACCCAAACCTTTCAGAGCTTTTTATAATATTTTGGAAAATAATGATCTCTCAATAATATATTTAGGTCTCTTGGGTACCGGGAGTTCAGATCTCAATCTACGCCTGATCTATGAAGTACCTGGAGTAAATTTATTTATCTACTCCTGATCTAGGTAGTACCTTGAGTAATTATCTTTATCTACTCCTGATCTATGGAGTACCTGAAGAATATATCTCTATCTACTTCTGAAATATGAAGTACCTGGAGTATATATCTCTATATGATCTATGGAGTACCTGGAGTATGTACATATATATATCTCTAAATGATCCATGTAGTTCCTGGGGTATATATCACTGTATGATCTATGGAGTACCTTGTAGAATGCATCTCTATATGATCTATGGAGTACCTGAAGTATGTATATATCTCTAAATTATCCATGGAGTACCTGGGGTATATATCTCTAAATGATCTATGGAATACCTGGATTATATATATATATATCTAAATGATCCATGGAGTACCTGGGGTATATATCTCTAAATGATCTATGGAGTACCTGGAGTATATATATATCTCTAAATGATCCATGGAGTGCCTGGGGTATATATCTCTGTATGATCTATGGAGTACCTGGGGTATATATCTCTAAATGATCCATGGAGTACCTGGGGTATATATCTCTATATGATCTATGGAGTACCTGGAGTATGTACATATATATATATATATAAATGATCCATGTAGTTCCTGGGGTATATATCTCTGTATGATCTATGGAGTACCTTGTAGTATGCATCTCTATATGATCTATGGAGTTCCTGAAGTATGTATATATCTTTAAATTATCCATGGAGTACCTGGGGTATATATCTCTGTATGATCTATGGAGTACCTGGAGTATATATATATTTCTAAATGATCCATGGAGTACCTGGGGTATATATCTCTAAATGATCTATGGAGTACCTGGAGTATATATATATCTCTATCTACTTCTGAAATATGAAGTACCTGGGGTATATATCTCTGTATGATCTATGGAGTACCTTGTAGTATGCATCTCTATATGATCTATGGAGTACCTGAAGTATGTATATATCTCTAAATGATCCATGGAGTACCTGGGGCATATATCTCTAAATGATCTATAAAATTAATACCTGCTCCTGATGTATCCTCTCCTTCTCCTGTTCTAATCTCTGTCTCCTATTTAGCTCCTGCTGCTCTTGTTTAAACTGATCCTGTATTGCGAGCTTCTTAGCATATTGTTTCTCTCTAAAACATCCACATTTAATAAATTAAGAACATATAAAATAATTATAAAAAGTACATATATCAAACATCTAAAAATTCAACAAAAGAATTTATACAATGTTGCCTTGCACAATTATTCAGTGATTATTGCCGCTGAACAATAGATTGCGTACTGGAATCGATCATTAAAACAGATAATTTGCTTAATAAACAGCAATATGAAAATTCATTCATTGTTTTCTTTTATATGGAATATATTGAAGAAAACCAAATCTGCATTGGCCTGAATCCTTTTAAAGTTATCTTACATGTTAAAAATTTTTTAATGCTACAAAATTCACTTAACAAAGAAAATGAAGAGGTTTTAGTAAAGGATAAATTTTAGTATAGGAGTATTTTTTAGTGTTTTTCAAAATTAAGTTTACTTTTTGTTTGAATCAAATATGTCCTGGCGTCCTGATCTTATTTGACGGAAAAATCTTCAATATTTTTTCCACACAATACCTTTCCCCACTTATCCTGTATCTCGGTGTTTAATTGACTGAACTCAAACATTAAAAACGATTTAAAATTTTCAAAAAATATCTATTTTTATTCATGATCTACTTTTAGAAATCTTGGTCAAGTCAATATTTGGTGATTATACGTCAATTGTTGATAATTTTCACAGATTATTACAGATAGGACATGGAGATCGTCTTTGTTCCCCGATACAAAGAGGTTTGTATTGCCAAAGATTATTATGAATACAACTTACCAAAAGAAACACAAAGTGTAACTATCTCATTCGAAATTCTTCCCAGTTTATCATTGCAACCTTCCCAGTTTATCATTACGACCTATCATTCCGACCTTCCCAGTTTATCATTACAACCTTCCCAGTTTAACATTGCGACCTTCCCAGTTTATCATTGCAACCTTCCCAGTTTATCATTGCGACCTTCCTAGTTTATCATTGCAACCTTCCCAGATTATCATTGCGACCTTCCCAGTTTATCATTGCGACTTCTCTTAAACCTGGTCGTACTTCAAGATTGCATATATTATTCATATATTATTGTTACTTTACATGTAGTTTTCCCTGAAATATAACCCTACTTTTAAATTCGTGTATAGTTACTTTAAATTTAGCCGTATTTCTGAATACGTACATATATAGCTCCTTCAAATGTAGCTGTACTGCTAAAGGAATTGAGTCTTTGCCACAAACTCTGATTTTCTGTCCCTATATCTTTGGATTCCAACGTTGTAAACCTTTGACATTTCAAACTATGACTTTTGTTAGATCAAATAATATAAGTTTAAAATATCAAAGGTTTACGGCATTGGGTTCCAAAAATATTGGGATTAGAAAATCAGAGTTTGTGGCAAAGACTCAATTCCTTTGTATATTATTCCATTAGATCTAATCTTAATATTCTAATTTCGTAACTTGTTCCTTTGAATCTAACCGTACTTCTAAATTTATATCTAGTCATGCATTTAAATTTGTGTATTTTCCCTTTACATCTAGCCTTGCTTATGCATCGTAAACTTTTCCTTTAAATTTAGATTCTAAATTCGTACACTTCTCCTTTAAATCTAGATTCTAAATTCGTATACTTTTCCTTTAAATCTAGATTCTAAATTCGTATACTTTTCCTTTAAATCTAGATTCTAAATTCGTATACTTTTCCTTTAAATCTAGATTCTAAATTGGTATACTTTTCCTTTAAATCTAGATTCTAAATTCGTACACTTTTCCTTTAAATTTATATTCTAAATTCGTATACTTTTCCTTTAAATTTAGATTCTAAATTTGCACACTTTTCCTTTAAATCTAGATTCTAAATTCGTACACTTTTCCTATAAATCTAGATTCTAAATTCGTACACTTTTCATTTAGATTTAGATTCTAAATTCGTATACTTTTCCTTTAATTCTTGATTCTAAATTAGTACACTTTTCCTTTAAATCTAGATTCTAAATTCGTATACTTTTCATTTACATCTAGATTCTAAATTCGTACACTTTTCCTTTAAATCTAGGTTCTAAATTAGTACACTTCTCCTTTGAATATGTAACCTGGTTATTCTATCCTCTTCTCTGGCCGCTTCTTCTTCTTTTCTTCTTAATTCAGACTCATACTCCTGAATTATCACCATTTAACGGATACGCTTAAAGTAACTGATATTTTGCCTTAATTATCCCTATGTCTTTAAAACCCCGTGTCAAAACCCTTTGCTATTTCAAACTATGAATTCTGTTAGATCAAATAGTCGAAGTTTGAAACATCAAAGGTCTACACCATCAGGTTGAAAAGATATAGGAATTTGAACCCAAAAGCTCAATTCTTTAATTTTTAATAAAAGTAACTTAAATGTTCAAATTACAAAAAATATTATTATATATGAAAATCAGTTAATTGAAAAGATAAACATGCAAAGAGAAAGTAACTTATTACTTTTCTCTAACTCTGATTTTCTAATCCTGATGCTAGTCTAGTCTAGTCTAGTCTAGTCTAGTCTAGTCTAGTCTAGTCTAGTCTAGTCTAGTCTAGTCTAGTCTAGTCTAGTCTAGTCTATCCTAGTCTAGTCTAGTCTAGTCTAGTCTAGTCTAGTCTTGTCTAGTCTAGTCTAGTCTAGTCTAGTCTAGTCTAGTCTAGTCTAGTCTAGTCTAGTTTAGTCTAATCTAGTCTAGTCTAATATAGTCTAATCTAGCCTAGTCTAGTCTGGTCTAGTCTAGTCTAGTCTAGTCTAGTCTAGTCTAATCTAGTATAGTAATCTAGTCTAGTCTTGTCCAATCTAGTCTAGTCTAATCTAGTCTAATCTAGTCTAGTCTAGTCAAATCTCATGTTTATTGGAATTTTCTTTTTAGAAATGTTTATGAATTTGCATAATGCAAGGTTCCATAAAAACCTTGTTTTACAGTTTCTAAAAATGTTAAATGTTTTTTTCCCGTCACAATAGTTTTCAGTGTTCCAATATTCCAATTGAAATACCATTTGAAAAGTAAAAATAAATCATAAAACTTGTAATATCTGTCAGAACTACAAATATATTTAAACTTTTTTACAGTCACGACACAGAGTTTAAAGGTTCTTTCTCCTCCTTTCATTCCCCTTCCCTTCCCTCCTATACATTCCCTTCATACCCCAAATGTAGCTGTACTGCTAAAGGAATTGAGTCTTTGCCACAATTTAAAAATTATTGATTTGCTGCACTTTGATTTCATATCTTTGAGATTTTGTTTTGCTAAGTTTTTTTCTCTCTGTCTGCTTTTTCATTGTTTATTTTGTGAAGCAGTTTTGCACTTTTTTCTTAGCCCCTTCCCCCTTCTCCTTTTGGTGCATTGTCTATCTCATTTACCGAATCATCTTTACCCTTCATCCCCACCCTTACCCTCTCCACATCCATACTTTCTCTACTCCCCCACCCAACTCCTTTCCCTTTTCATTTACAGTTGCCACACTTTCCTTTTCTAATCTTAGCTCTGCTTTCTCCGCAACTCCCTTGGATCAATTCTTTCCCTTTGTCCACTTCATTTTTTAAATCCTTTGCCTTTATCATTCGTTTTCATTTTATTTCTATTCATCTTTAACAAAATGTTGTTAACTGTGTTTTTTTTTATTAAAAATTAACGTAAAAATCATTTTCTTTCTTATTCACATTCTCCTCTCCGATCCTTATGGTTCTTTTTCTGCCTTATTCTCTCCCATCATTCCTGTCCCTATGCCAACCTTCGTTTCTTAACATCCTCTCCTTCCCATCTATTAAGTTCCTCCACTGTTCCCTTCCTTCGGTACTTAATGTCCTCCTCCCTTCCCTCTCTTCCCTTCTTGTTCCTCGCTCTGTTCACACTTTATGTCCCTCTCCATCCCACCTATCTTCCTTTCCATTTTAATCAATGTCTCTTCTTCCAATCTTGCTTGTCCTCTCTCAAACCTGTACCTCCCCCTCCATCCCTCTCGATCCTGTATCTCGATCTCCGTCCTTTTCCATCCTTTACCTTCCCTTCAATCCCTCTCCATCCTGTACCTACAACACCGTCCCTCTCCATCCTTTACCTTTCTTCATTCCCTCACTATCCTTTACCTTCCCTTCATTCCATCTCCATCCTTCACCTCCCATTCAATCCCTCTCCATCTTTTACTTTCCCCTCAATCTCTCTCCATCCTTTACCTCCAATTCAATCCCTCTCCATCCTTTACCTTCCCTTCATTCCATCTCCATCCTTCACCTCCCATTCAATCCCTCTCCATCCTTTACCTCCTATTCAATCCCTCTCCATCCTTTACCTTCCCTTCATTCCATCTCCATCCTTCACCTCCCATTCAGTCCCTCTCCATTCTTTACCTTTCCCTTCATCCCTCTCCATTCTTTACCTCCACTTCCGTCCCTCTCCATCCTGTACCTTCTCCTCCATCCCTCTCCATCCTGTACCTTCCCCTTCATCCCTCTCCATCCTGTACCTCCCCCTTCAACCCTCAATATCCTGTACCTTCCCCTTCAACCCAGTCCATCCTGTACCTCCTCCCATCCATCTCCATGCATCTACATATACTATTCATACCTTTATCTGTAGTTGCCTGTATCTTTCTTCTTCGGCTTCCTTCAGCTGATCTTGTAACTGGAGTTTGTAATCTGAACAGATTTAGTCAATTTAGAATTCAGACATGTTTAGATCTAGATTCAGAAATATTCAGAATATAACCTTGGCTAAATATTTCATGCAAATTTACATTACGTAGACATAAAATAAATCAGAGGTATTAACAAAATTAAACACTCGACATCATATTTCAATAAGGTTTCTCAAAAAAACGACACGCGGGAAAATGTTTTGCATAACAAAAGAAAAAGGGGTAAAAATTGTAATATTTTTTAATTTAATCGTTGACATTGTTTTAAAGTTTCTACTTTAAAATATCTATTTTTGAATGGATTACCTGAATAAAACTTATTGATACTTTTATCTCTGAGGTTTGTCATAGATTCTCCTTTCTTTCTTTCTTCTTCAATTTCCTCCTCTCTATTATATTTTTTACTCCTTTGATTTTGGGTGATACCAATTTGATGATTCTAATCAACATCATTCATTTCAAATTTTTTTAAAAGTTAAAAGTATTTTAGATAATTTTCTAAACAAAAAATAGGCCTAGAAACTTATACCTATAAAGAACTTATTCTTAATCTTCTAAATATGGGTCAAATAAAAAAGTAAGACTTGTGCTCTATAATAAGTAAATTTTTTTTTTTTAATTCCGCGCCAAAAATATTTAAAAAATATTGGAATTCCTGTGTCGATCTGATTCTGCCATCTCAGCCAATCTTCGTTCTTTCTCCGCAACCTGTCCAAAAAAGAAAACTGAGTTTTTCACTTTGATTTTCTAATCCCTAAACCTTTGCTACCCGATGTTGTAGATAGATAGATAGATAGATATAGATATATTTCGGCTAACATTAAAAGAAATACATTTTACATTTTATAATTTTTTACAAAACAATTATTAGCCAGGGCTACAGCCTAACCATTTCTGGTTGTTTTGATTGGCTGGCCCTCCAAAGTTTTATAGATACATTTTATTTTTTAAAATTAACAAATAACGAATACATTACATAATTCACAAAGTAATTTTAAAAAAAAGGGGAAAAAAGGAGGAAGGGTGAATAGCAAAGGGAAAAAGGGAAGAGAAGGAAAAACCCCAGCACTAAAAAATCCAATTTTTGTAGATAATATGTTGCAGAGTGGTTTACAAGATTTCCAAATTACATGAGTAGCAGTTCCTGTTTTACATTTAAATTCCTTATATTTAGAAGCTAGATATATTTTCATATTCGTTTTGAAACTAAGTACTGATAATGAACATTTAATATTCATTGGAACACTATTCCAAATTCTCGTGAGAAATATTTTTGGAAAAGGTTTAAGATATTTGTTTCTTATTAATTCCAATTTAAAACTTTGTGTCCTATTAGGTTCTACAAATAGAGCAAACATTCCATTAAAAACCGAAGGAAGTTTTTCTTTTATATATTTATACATAAAAGTAGAAGCATTATGTTTGTGTATATCAGATAATTTAAGCATTCCAAGTTTAGAAAACAAAGGATCTGTATGCTGTCAATATCCTTTATCTATATCCGTATTGCTTTCTTTTGAAGTTTAAATAATTTTCCTATTTTATTTCTAAGAATTCTGTTTGACCAAATAATATAAGTTTGAAAAATCAAAGTTTAAGAACATTAAGTTGCAAAGATATAAGTTTAAGAAAGTTTAAGTTTGTTTCGAAACTAAGTTCCTATAAAAATCAGAAAAAAATATGATGGCTGATGGCAGAGAATAAACATGAAATAGGAATTAAATTCTCTTATTATCTGTATTATCTTGTAAAGTCTAACCTAATGAATGCATTGTGGTTGAATTAGTATGGAGGACGGATTAGCGGAATTTTACATTTAAATCATATATACCCTCTAAAGTCTAGACATGTTTTCAATGCAGAAAATCTCAATATAAGTATATTAAGTATAATAAGTATAAAGTAGGGTCCAGAAAATCTCAATATAAGTATATTAAGTATAATAAGTATATATTAGGTTCCAGAAAACGGTCGAATGACCGCCGTCTATAAATTTTGTAATTTGTGACTGATTTAGTTCCAAAAATGTGCCCTTAGCTGGAAACTCTTGTATTGTTTAAATATTTAAATTTAAAATCTAAAGAAGGAGACAACAATGAGTCCTAATATCTGAATTTTGTATTGATATTGTATTTATCTACCTGTTTATCAAGAACAGCATTACATTTAGCCGCCAATATCAGTTCGTTTAATCGTCTCACCTCCTCAAGGTTCTCCTCTCTACAATACTTTTTAATAGAATCAAATGTTGCAAAAGAATTGCGAATTATAAATCAGATAGAAAGGAAGGTTCTTGCCAAAAAAAATTCTATATCTTTGTAACCCAATGCTGTAGAACTGTTGATTATGTTAGATAAAATAGTCTAAGTTTGAAATATCAAAGGTTCGCACTATCTGGTTGCGAAGATATAGGAATTAGAATATTTTAGTTTGCGACAAAAACTTAGTTTGCTCTGAAACTGGAAAACACAAACTCTGTTTAATATCAAAATAAAAATAATAACTGATAACTCACCTCATGTAGGACGTTTTAATACCTAAATCTCTGTAATGTTATTCTAACCTTTGATATTTTAAACTTTGACTATTTGATTTTGCAGAATAATATCAAAGTTCTTCAAGGACTAGAAAATTCGAGTTTGAGGCGGGGAATGATTTTTTTAATTTATCGGATGAATTTATGTTAATCAATATTTAATAAAATCTAGATTATAGGTGTTAGCTCAAATACATAATTACAAATAGAGTTGAGAAATTATGCACGAGAAAGTCGAATGTATTAGAACTAATTACGGCTGGTTAAACTACTGGTTCAAGATAGTATGGAAGTATAACTAGATAAATTAACTGTAAAAATTTAATTAATTCTTGCCTATTAACTTTATTTACTTTACACGTAATTTAACTTGTTTTAATATAAGCTCTACTCTGATCTGATTGTTCTACTCTGATCTGATTGTTCTACTCTGATCTGATTGTTCTACTCTGATCTGATTGTTCTACTCTGAACTGATTCTTCTACCCTGATCTTATTGTTCTACTCTGATCTAATTGTTCTACTCTGATCTAATTGTTCTACTCTGATCTGATCTGATTGTTCTACTCTAATCTGATTGTTCTACTCTGATCTGATCTGATTGTTCTACTCTAATCTGATTGTTCTACTCTGATCTGATTGTTCCACTCTGATCTGATTATTCTACTCTGATCTGATTGTTCTACTCTGATCTGATCTGATTGTTCTACTCTGATCTGATTGTTCTACTCTGATCTGATTGTTCTACTCTGATCTGATTGTTCTACTCTGATCTGATTATTCTACTCTGATTGAACGTAGTAATATCAGACAAGATTAAACTTGAGACCCGGATTTCATTTAAAATATTAAAAATTAAGTGCACTGTACTTCCATCCACCAAAACCACACTTCCTGTTCCTCATAAGTATATCTGACTTATTTGTGATTTATTTCTCTTTAAGGAAGTTCAGCGAATGTCTACACACAGTTAACGCTATACTGCATGAAGTACGGCGGTTTAAACTGGTATGAAAGGAAGAAAGGTTCTGTTCTAGCCCTAGGGTAGTAGGAATATTTGATAGTATATCGAGAAGGTCGTCCAGTTTTGGCCGGTGAAAATACGTTGTGGTTTTTTGTTGATCTTTGATTCAGAAAGGAAGTTTAGAATCTGGAATTAATCAAATCTAAATAGAAGAAGTCTAACCAGGGGTGTCTAATTCCCAGCTCAGACAAAAACTTTTACCGTAGCCTGTTTGCCCTCTCTAGCGTAGCTCCATCACGTGGTGACGGTGTTCTTAGAGCTGGTGGTGAATAAACCGGTTCTGGAAGTTGTACAGCACGTCGTACTGCCCAGGGGGAGCTCATACTCCTTTCCCCGCCCAGTAACAACTCCCGTTCCTCCTTTTAAATGAAAAAACTTATTGTTAAGTGATTCCAGGGACCAGGATCACTTTTTATTGATTCCAGGGACCGGATCTCAGTTTCCAGTTCCAACCAAAATTACTGCGCATGCGTTTAGAAAAAACTCAGAGCATCTTCCGGGTCTTTGTCAGTTTTACTGCAGCGGAAAGTTCTAGAATCATTTTAAGATTGATATTTGTTCTGTGAGGATTCGTATAAAAAGTTCGTCACATATTTCAAGTTTTTACGATTTGAGTTTATATCTTTAAGCTAAAGAAGCTCGTTATTGAGTACTAGGTTTTTTCAGACTCAAGGAATAAGGAGGAAGTTTGGACGGATAAAAGTGGTTTTCTATCTTATAAATCGTCGGAGGCGAATTAAGGTACTTTTTAGATCAAATGTGAACATTTGGGGACAAGAATTATGTTTTTAGTATTGGTATAGTTTTTCTCAAAACCTGGATTAGTACAAGCAAGACGTGTTTTAGTTTTTGACAATATTAGAGTTTGAGGCGTCTTGCTGGTACTTTTAGATTATTGATGGAACTTTGTAAATATTTATACATGTGATATATATCTCTAGTTTTGAATCGAGATATGTGATGCTATGAGAGATGAATAAATGATGAGAAGTACTGTTTCTGTTCTTATCTGTCATTAGCAACCTAGATTCCAAGACTCGTTTTTCAACGATGATTTCGAGGTAGAGAAACACTTGATTTGATTATGCCTTATTTTGGGTTTTGTTACGAAACATTCAAAACTTAATTTTTCTCGATACCAGTCGGGAATTTAATGGCGGGGATTAGTGAGGGAAACAGGGAAGGCTCCCGCAAAAGGTCTTGTTCTGAATCAGATTCAGATAAAATTAGCGGATTATCCTTCGGCCCTGACTCCCCTACTAGTCGGAACCCGGACTTAGATATTCACCCTATTCATATTAATTATCGTTCTAACCCTAACCTGCACTCCCCGGAGGATTTATACATTGAAACCCCGGTGGGGGGGGGGAGGGGTACCCGACTTCAACTTAAGAGGTTGGGTGGATTTAACATAAAACATGAGAGGGCTTTAAAAGAATGCAACAGTCTGATTAATGAGGTTGAGAAATGGATTTCTGATACTAATGAAAATGATTCTTTATGTTTAGATACTATTTATGAAGGATTTTTGAAATTTAAAAAACGAATAGCTAGAGTCTCACAAGAAGCTTTAATAAGATTAGTAGATAGAAAAGTAGTAGATCAGCTTGCCGAATTACAAATTAGGATAGAATCTTTGAGAAAAAGGGCCGAGAAACAAGATAGGAGAAAAGATCAAAGGATTAGGAATTCAGATAATTTGATCCACGATACAGAATTAATTAGTTCCAATGATGAAGTCTTTACACATCCCATCCCCATCCAGGGTATTCAATCCCTTTCTGGTGGTCCCAATTCTATGGATAATAGTTCATTAGACCCCCCCCCTATATCATCTGAAATTCAAGTAGTAATTAATAAGGAATGGGAATCCGCTTTACTGAAAGATAAGGATGAGATTTTGAATCGGATTAAGTTAATAGAAGATAAACATCAGGATATAGTATCTGTCCAACTAAACCAAGAGAGACTTTTGTCCACTATAGAGCAGGAAATTATAGAACTTAACTCTTCTAGCTCTGTTAGGGATCAAAGATTAGATCACATGGAAAGGACAGTGGATCGAATAGACAAGAACGTGAAGAGATACATTGATACAAGAGTTAAGGAAATTAATATGTCGATAGATTCTGTCAAATCAGGATATGATAGTGACACGGTCACGGGTCAAATCAAAGAGAATGTAAGGGAGATACTCAATAATTCCATACCCGGAGCAGATTGGACACATTTAAGACAAGAGGTAGAGTCCATCAAACACAAGAATAAGCGAGATGAGATTGTAATTGACAACCTAAGAAGTGTAGTCACAGAAGTTAAGGATCAATTAGATAGAACTCTTGAATCTCCCCTCAACTTCTCTATGAGAACCGAGATCCCTCCCAGAGTAAGTTTAGAAAAGAAAGAGAAAGAGCGAGACTTAACTAAGAATGCAATTGATAGTTCTACCAAACTCTTGAGTCAATTAATAGAAACTAAAATATCAGAATCTTCTGATCTTGCCATCATCAAGAAATGCAATTCCGATGTGAAAAAAGTTACAGGTTACTCCAAAACCTGCCATGATCTTTTAATGAAGTACATTTCTTATGATGATATAGATTCAAATTATTATTCCCAGACAAAATCCTTATTAGACAGTGCAAACGATTGGATTATAAATGTTGAACATATTTATTCCTCATCTGAAGCTCACGCTTCTTGCTCTGTTAAGGGAGATCTTAGTGGGGTCGGAATCTTCTCTAATAATGCAAATAAGTCTATCTATGAGTTCTTTGAAGATCTAGAGATTGCTTTAGTGGGTTGGGGTTCAAATAAGCAAAGAGCTATGCTAGTATTCTCCAGACATTTGACTGAAGATATAAAAGCTAAATCCCTTAATATTTCTGATGATTACCAAAAACTTAAAGCTTGGTTATTCAAGGAATATGGGTCACCTCATACAATTGTTTCTGACATTATCTCAGGTTTGGCTGCTAAGCCTAAACCTGTTCAGAGTAGTGACAAACAAAGATATGAATTCTATGCAGATATCACCTTAGGAATAGCTAGACTAGACAGATTAGCAAGAGTACCATATGTAGATATAGATGAATTAGATAATATTCTATACTCTCGCAACACTCTTTCATCCCTATTTAAGATTCTCCCCCCCGAAGATTCAAAATCTTTCAATCATCATATGGAATTAAAGAGGTTAGATTGGAAAAATCCCCAAGGGGCTAGAACATTTGCCTTTTTTAAAGAATTATGTGAAGCTCAACGCAATATTCTGGAACCCTACAAGGGATCTAATCCCAAGTCAAACTCCCCCCCATTGCCCAAATCCAGGACAGTGTTCAATGTAAATCAAGGTCAACCAACACCCCCCCCCTTTCAGAGGGATTTATCTACACATGCTGCTGGATATTCTCCGGTTAAGAATTGGTTTCCTCCAGGTTCTTCATACCCTTGCCCCTTGAAAGGACACGCACATGAAATGTTTCAATGTAAGGAATTCTTCAGCATGAATCCTCATGTTAGATGGGAAGCTACCCCCAAGGGTAGGATATGTTACTGTTGTCTGAAACCAAAATCCACTTGCAAAGATAGGAAATGCTCATTTGAATCCTCTGTTCCAGAAGTCCTAATTTGTCAGGGTTGTCTTGAATATGCTAGAGAAAAGGGATTATCTCCTTTTAATATCATGTACTGCAGAAAGATAAGACACGGCCCAATGAGAGCTCCATACCAGGATATTAAGAATGCATTTGAGACCCATATGGGCAAGTTCCCTGAGAATCTCGAGGATGATTGTATCAGATATTCTGTTAATTTTACTCAACAAGTATTCTCCCTTGGTCCTTGTTCTGATAAGGTTGAGTGTAGCTGTTGTGAAAAGCCTTCAGAGCTGAGTATTGAGACCCCTACTATAAATACCCAATCTGGCATCAGTGTACCAACAAGGTTAGACAATACTGTCCCTGAGATCAATGAACACTCAGCTTATCTCATGCAAATCCTTAGAATTGGAACCGAAGATGTTTTGACCTTTTTTGATAGTGGTGCAAACACCAATTTAGTAAATGGAGACTTAGCAATCGAGCAAAAACTTCAAATTATTACTAAGAAACCAACTAAACTCACTGTTGTTGGGGGGGGTTCAATCACCACTGAGATGGGTAAGTTCAGATTCAATTTAGGACCCTCGGAGTCAGGGACATATCATGAACTTAAATGTCAAGGTATATCTAGTGTAACTTCAAAGTTTGAGAGATATGATTTATCAGAGATAAACGAGGAGTATAGATCGAATAAGATTCACCCTTATAATGGGGACCCACTACCAGAGTATGCTGCCGGAGATGAGGTCAAACTCTTGATAGGTATCAAGAATAATCATCTTAATCCCACACTAATAACCATCCTACCTTCTGGAGTAGGGGTTTATAAGAGTCCCTTTGTAGACATTTTTGGATCTAGAATAATTTACGCAGGTCCCCACTCTTCATTCTCTAGAGTAAACTCTAATCTGAGTAAAGATTTATCCCATGCAATTTTTCATTTGAGAGAAAAAACCCTTAATTATCAAGGACGGATTGAGGATCTATATCCTTCAATCCAAGTTGATAAAAGGTTTAATATATCTGTTAATCCCACACCCATCCCAGAGAGCACATTGTTAGAAATGGGAGGAGAAATAGAGGAGGGGGGGGGGGATTTTATGCACGAACCTAAACATAATTCAGAATCCTACCCGAAGGGACCTAGAGCTCACTTTTGTGAGGTTTTTAAAGTATCCATACCCATAGCTAGAATGAGAGAACTAGTCGGAGAAGATGATTCTGACAATCTGGTTACATATAGATGTGATAGTTGTGCAAAATGTATTAAGTGCATGAAATCCCCTAGACTCACTTCTATTTCTTTGCAAGAATCTTTAGAACAGTCCTACATTGAAAATAGCGTTACATTAGATCTTCATTCTAAAAAGGTAGTTGCAACTTTACCATTTATTAAAGATCCGGTAGAATTTCTTAGTAAAAAACATGGATCAGATAGCAATTATAGACAGGCAAAACGAATATATCTAGCTCAGTGTAAGAAACCTAGTATAGAGAGAGAGGGAATGAAAAAAGCTCATAAAGAACTAGTAGAAAAAGGTTTTATGATCAAGATCCAGGATTTACCTAGTGAAACCCAAAACATGATTAAAACCGCTAAATTTCGGCATTTCTACCCTTGGTTCATAGTTGCAAAGGAAGATTCTCTTAGCACTCCAGTTAGAATGGTAGTAGATCCTTCTCAAACTCATTTAAATGTCATTCTCCCTAAGGGAGAAAACAAATTAGGAAATATCTTGGATATAACTATAAGGAATAGAGGAACAAGGTTTAGTTATTCTAGCGATGTGAGCAAATTATACAACCAAATACATCTTCATGAATCAGCTTTCCCATACTCATTATTCTTGTATCATGATACCTTAGACCCAGATGTACAACCTGATATATATGTAATGGTAAGAGCGTGGTATGGAGTAGTAAGTACTGGAAACCAAGCAGGATACGCTCTGGATAGATTGGCAGAGGAAGGTAAGGATAAATTCCCTGCAGCAATGAATTCTCTCACTAAAGATAGGTACGTAGACGACATTTTATCAGGAGCAGACTCCCAGGAAGAGAGAGATGAGCAAATATCACAGGTTCAGGATCTCCTTTCAACAGCAGGTTTTAGTTTGAAATATGTGGTACTGAGCGGAAGAAAGCCAGATATTAAAGCTAGCTCTGATGGAAAGACTATTAAACTATTAGGATATAAGTGGAACACAGAATTGGATATATTATATCCTGGGGTCTCAGAGCTAAATTTGAACCGAAAAAAGAAAGGTATTAAAAAACCCAACCCTCATCCAGTAGTTACTGAGGAGGATGCTGATAATTTATTATCCCAGGTTAGTCTTTCTAGAAGGATGATTATTTCCAAAATAGCTGAAATTTTTGATCCTCTTGGACTATGGGAACCTATCAAACTACAGCTGAAACTGTCATCCTCTGAACTAAACTCAATTCCATGGGATAAAACCCTGGATCCAGCAACACAGGTGAAATGGAAGAAGATCCTATCAAAATTCACCTCTTATGGAGAACTCTCTGCAAAGAGGTTTCCTTTTTCTGAATATATAAATATCCAACAGCCCTTCAGATTGATTTGTCTCAGTGATGCAGGTAAACTAGCAGGAGGAGCTGCGATCTACATGAGTAAAAAATGTATTGATGGGTCATGGTCCACAGCTTTGCTCTGCTCTAAATCTAAGTTAATGAAGGGTACAGTACCAAGAAATGAATTATCTGCTATATTACTGATGACAGAATTAGCATACATAGTCAAGAGATCATTAGGATCAAAAGTGGGAGAAGTAATTTACCTAACTGATTCGACAATAGCTCTATCATGGATTCACAACACCAATATTAAGGTTAGGGCATATATTTTTTCTCGAGTTCAAGCAGCAAGGGGTATGATTGAATTAACCACTGGATCTAAAAAGATACCACTTTTTCATATAGATGGCAAACTAAACCTAGCTGATCTCCTGACCAAACCCCATGAGTTATCAGTTGAGGATTTAGGTATTGGTTCAATTTGGCAACACGGGGCTTCCTGGATGAATCATGACTCGCATTCTCTCCCGATATCCCAATATCAAGACTTGCTAATATCTAGTACTGACAAAGATAACATTATGGAGGAATGTTTCATTGAACCCTTTAGATTTGATCCAAATATTAGTGGTATTCACTCCATACACATAGGACAAGAATTCTTGAAGTTTAGGAAACCTGATGGTAGAAGTAATTTTAATTTACTTGTTGATCCAGTATCTTGGGGATGGTTGAGATCATTAAGGATCATGAGCTTCATTGTATCTTTCACACAGTACGTCATTCACACAACCCACAGCCAGTCATCCCACATGTCCTGTAAACTCTGCACATCGGAGAGGGATTTTGATCCTAGAGATTTTTTAGATATGGCTCGGGATGAGTTTTTTAGAGCTGAATCTAAAGTGGTAGGATCATCTTTGTCAAACAAGCAGTTGTCAAAATACAAGTTTAGGAACGGAATTTATTACTTTGTAGGAAGGATTACAAATAATAATCCATTCAAGCAAAAAGATTTAGACTCTGTCCCATTCTTGGACACTCACACGTTTGCAGGTCATCTTCCTGTTGTACTTATAGACTCCCCGATCTTATACTCTCTGGTCATGTACTTACATTGCAAGAAAATACCCCACGTAGGAGTTGAGAGAACAGTTAAAGAGGTCTTCAAGGAGGTCATGGTTCCAAGTGGTTTAAGGAGGATGATAAGAAAAATAAAGGCAGATTGTACAACGTGTAGATTATTAGAGCGCAAGGTTGTAGAGATAGAGATGAGTGAGCATCCATCATGTAGGACGATCATTTCACCTCCATTCAATAGTATGATGTGTGATATTGCCTTTGGATTTAAGGGATCAACCTTCAAAAATTCAAGATCAACATTAAAATTTTATGCATTAGTCTGTGTTTGTTTATTGACTGGAGCGGTAAACATTTTATTGATGGAAGGTCTAGAAACCCAGGATCTAGTTGCAGCCCTAGAAAGGCACTCAGCTCGCCATGGAGTCCCCTCTGATGTGTATGTAGACTGTGGTACTCAACTAATGGCTTTAAAGCATGTCAGATTCTCTATAAGAGATGCGGATGCTCAGCTTTATGACTCTCTAGGGATAAGAGTACATGTGAGCTATGCAAAGGCACACTCTGAAAGAGGAAGAGTGGAGAGAAAGATAAGATCTTTGAGAGAAATGTTAGAGAGGATGGGAATTAAAACTGCTAATCCTATGACTAGCATTCAATGGGAGACTTTATTTGCCAGATTATCCTCTGATTTAAATGATATTCCTATTGCCAGGGGTGACACCTCATCTGTATCTAATTTGGGGCTTGAGATTCTTACACCAAACAGGCTGCTTTTAGGCCGTAATAATGCTAGATCTCTCCAGGGACAGGGTTTCGATATAAATTCGTCAAAAATCCCTACAAGTATCCTGGAGAGAAATAGAAATGTATATAAGTTTTGGTTCCAACTTTTTATTGATAATATTCATATGTTTACATTGAAACCGGACAAATGGAACTCTAATGGTAGATTGCCAGTGATTGATGATGTTGTATTATTTACATTGAATGATTCTGGGTATGATAAATCCAGTGTAGAATGGAAATTGGGCATGGTTTCACAATGCCTGGAGCGCAAGGTTGAAATTACCTTTATCAGTAAAATATCTAAAACCGGAAATGTCACAAAGAGTAAATTAATAAGAAGTATTAGGGAAGTGAGCATAATTTTTTCTGTGGACGAACTTTTCATTAACACCAATCAACACCATGAAAGTCTACTGTGCTCTTTATTTGAACAGGAATAGGTGTGAAGGTGAAGAGTTTGTCCTAATGATTCATGTGCTCACTTCTATTTATTACTCATGTTATTTAATAAAATATTGTCCGGTATACACATCATCAATCATTGACAGAAAAGTTCCAATTTATAAATATCTATGTTTAACATTTGTTTTGTTCAGAGGAAAGAGGCAGGAGAGAAAACCTGAGCAAAACCCTTTAGTGGCCTTCAGTTGTCAAGAAATGATGACGAGGGCTGCAAGGAAAATGATGAGTGCTAGGTCTGGTCCTAGCTCAGATGAGATGCATGTCCTGGTCCGGAGAGATCAGATCAATCCTTGGAGATCATCAGGGGACCTGGAGAAGTCTAACCTTATGCGATCATATGTAGGACACCGTCCAGTCATGGGAAGAGGTTCGGATAGAAGCGTAATGTCAACTTATCTGAAGAATGTTAATCAGTCAGGAGTTCAGATACCAAGAGGAATAAAGTTTGATGATTTTTTACCTGCTGGAGCTCCAATACTGGATTTCCTCGCAGTGTCCATGGGGAAGATGGAGTGTTGGCAGTTCCCATCCAAGACTGAGATTAATAGTTATCAAAGAAACCGGGGTTTATCTCTTAACATGCTGCAGGAGGTTGAGGTCAAGGAGGTGATTATAGGAGAAACCACCCCGGAGCAATGCAATGAGATCTTCTCCTGGTTTTGGAGCAAGCATGAGAAGGATCAGAAGGCTTATCCTACAGCAGTCTGTTCTATGGATAATGAGGAAATTAAGATCAGCCTGCTGGATGTCTACAGAATGGCCGGAAAGATTGGGACAATTTTTCCTAGAAAGATTTCTGATGAGTTGCATGACCACAACCTAGAGTCAATCCCGGAGGATAGATGGATGCAACTCCCTGTGAGAGTCATGATCGGAAACGGCATCTCCTATGCTTTGATGATCACCATAGCGTTGGAGAGGAATTCCAGGAACGAGTATATGCTGAACAGGATTGTAATCCAGGACGAAGTTCTAAACTTCATAGAAAGCATTCCTGTGTGTACGGGTCTTGGGGTAAGAACTGATGTAGCTGATCTTGAACTTTTTTATTCTTTGTTCTCTGGTAGGGAAATATCATGCGCTGGTTTCCTGGATCTGAGCACATTATCTGTACTGGCTGGATATAATATGAGGGCCATGAGTATGACTCCGATGGGAGTTAACGTTGTGGGACATACTCTGAACAAGTGCGTATCAACGGGAGATGGGAAGTGGGCCTGGAAATGGGATGAGCTTCCAGATTCTCTGAAGGTATACTGTTTGGGTGATTTGAGGTTTGGATTCATGACGTATAATATATTGACAGCAGTACTGATCAGAGATGTGTTCCCAGACCCTGATATTGTCCTGAAATTCTTGGGGATCGTTGATCAGATCAAAGCAGTCAGATGGATCCTGGAGATGGTCTTGCTGTCCTTAGATGGTGTAGAGGTCCATAATGTGGACTTTGATGCAGCCAAGACTCGATATGAGATGATAAAATCCCTCAGGTTCAGGTATTCATATGATTCTCCTCTAATGGATGTGAGTCCTGCCAGGGTTCTAATTTGGTGTGAAATCATTGGAGAGTTAACCAACGGAGGATGCAGGTTCCTGAGTCATGCGAGAGAATGGTTTATTACTCAGGCAAGGATCTTAAAATCATCCGGGTTTAAATGGACATGTGGGGTCAAGATGAAGAATATAAATCCTTACTTTCTCTCCTATGCCAGATTTGGAATTTCTCCTCATGTTATCCACAATGCGGAGTATTTTGAGTCCGTACCAGCTTATTCTGGATTGTTCAGACCCTCATCCCTGAAGTCTGCTCTATGTCGGATGAACCCATCCACAGTAAAGCCTGCGACCTTGAGCAAGTTTGCAAGGAAGGAGGGGAAGGTGCTCAAGGCTGTGGTGTTTGAGTGGGCTAGATATTATCCTCTCCAAATCCAGGATTTTCTGCAGAGAATGAAGGATGATTTACCATTTAGACACTACATGCAAGGATTGTACAGAGGATTGAGGATTATCTTCAAGAGAATCCATGGTACCGATGCAATCAGGATCCCGGAGCTTGAGGAGAAGTTTGATAATAATCTGCAGATGCAGCTCAAAGAGGAAGAAGCTAGAAAGGAGAGGTCTTGGGAGTTATTCAGGGCCAGAGAGGCCAGATGCCAACATTTATCTGCAGTCTTAGAAAATAAGGATCAGGATGATCAGTCCCTGTGGTTGGATCGAATCCCTAAGCTTCCTGGCTGGATCCCTAGGAGGAAAGGCAGGAAGAGGGTAAGATCATCATCTCGTCCAAGATCTGCTTCCAAAAAGTCCAAGATTCAAGTTTCACTTCCTCAAGGTTCTAGTGGATCTGTGGATTGTGAAGATGAAGGATCGGAAGAAGTAGTTGTGATCAATGAAGATGATGAAGTGCAGGTGGAGATCATGGACGAGGATGAGTTCGAGACTCCTGGGATAAATGATCCAAAACCGACATGTAGGAAGAAGATTGATCAGAAGAGGAAGAAGAAGAAGGGAAAGAAGGGCAAGAAGGGTAAGCTGAAGAAGGATACAAGGACCTATGATGAACTGATAGAGGCGGAGAAGTATGTAGATTCAGACTCGGAGTTTGATCTACAATTTGACTTTACTGAGCATTTGGCCTGATCAGGTTTATGGTGCAGAGTGGAGTGTTTTCTCCAGGCTGTTGGAAGAATTGCTGCATATCGTTCAGTATATTTTTTTTTCATATATTGCATATTGTTTTTTTTCAGTTTAATTTTTTCATTAGTACAGGATACTTGAAACTTCAGTTTTTCTCATGGAGTTGTTAATGATCAAGCAATTTGCTCTTCCATATTATTTGTTTTTTGAGATTCAGTCAGATTATTGATTACCAAATGAACTTATAGGGTGTTTTATGTTTTTGTCGCCCTGGTGCAAACTGATCTCAATATATTACGGTAGTTATTGAATAAAGCTTTTTTGATAAATATGTGTTCCATTTTTTATGGTCCTGGAAGTGTTCACATGATCTGATCATTATGAAGAATGTTGGGAAGACTTGCAATGAAAAAATATATAGAAACCTTGTCGGGTTCTGAATCCTAGTACTCATAGAGCTCATGTTTGTTTTGCTTTGTGGTTGGTCTGGAAATTCTCCCCGGCCGGGGTATGTTAAGTGATTCCAGGGACCAGGATCACTTTTTATTGATTCCAGGGACCGGATCTCAGTTTCCAGTTCCAACCAAAATTACTGCGCATGCGTTTAGAAAAAACTCAGAGCATCTTCCGGGTCTTTGTCAGTTTTACTGCAGCGGAAAGTTCTAGAATCATTTTAAGATTGATATTTGTTCTGTGAGGATTCGTATAAAAAGTTCGTCACATATTTCAAGTTTTTACGATTTGAGTTTATATCTTTAAGCTAAAGAAGCTCGTTATTGAGTACTAGGTTTTTTCAGACTCAAGGAATAAGGAGGAAGTTTGGACGGATAAAAGTGGTTTTCTATCTTATAAATCGTCGGAGGCGAATTAAGGTACTTTTTAGATCAAATGTGAACATTTGGGGACAAGAATTATGTTTTTAGTATTGGTATAGTTTTTCTCAAAACCTGGATTAGTACAAGCAAGACGTGTTTTAGTTTTTGACAATATTAGAGTTTGAGGCGTCTTGCTGGTACTTTTAGATTATTGATGGAACTTTGTAAATATTTATACATGTGATATATATCTCTAGTTTTGAATCGAGATATGTGATGCTATGAGAGATGAATAAATGATGAGAAGTACTGTTTCTGTTCTTATCTGTCACTAGCAACCTAGATTCCAAGACTCGTTTTTCAACGATGATTTCGAGGTAGAGAAACACTTGATTTGATTATGCCTTATTTTGGGTTTTGTTACGAAACAAGGGGGGGCGGGGGGGCCAAAAATTGTTCTCTAGATCAGACCCGAAATGGGGCTCCAAGCGCTCTGAGGCCTAGTGACAAAAATACTGTTTAATCATTAATTCTTCTTCAGTCATAGGAATGTTGTAAATTGCTTAGAAGAATGAATGAGTTCTGGTATTTTAATATTTAATATTTGGAAATACCTTCGTCATCTCCTTAGAAGCTTCTCGGATTTTTCTGCAATGTAAGGTATATAAATTATATTACGAAATAAGTTATATATTACGAAAGTTAAACGTTCGAAAATAGATTTTAAAAATACCGAAAAATGAATGTGAAAAATTTGCGAAATAAATTGAAACACTTAACACTTAACAATTGTAATTAATCGGGTTTGAACTGGAAGAAAATAATGAATTAGTTAGAACATGAATGAGTATTTATTTTACAGTAAGCTCTCAAAACTATGGAATAGAAAGACGAATTTTTGATTCAAATTATAATTTTAAATAGTCCAATGAACATAAAACACCGAAATTGTTTATTTTCACTTCAGATGTTGATTTTAAAGCTGCTGAGCGGGGAACTTTAGAATTGCATAACTTTAATCCTGATCGCTTAATCTGTATATCCAATGTGGACACTTTCAATTTCTTACTTAATCTGCTCTTTTGGGATATCCCTACTGTTTTAAAGTTAAGTTAGATAACAAATACAGATACGATGCTATATTGAATAGACTAATATCAGATTTAACAAACTGTTAATTGAACTCAAGTCAGCTGATGCGACATTTTATAAATTCTTACAATGTTTCCGGGTTAACCTATACCTGAACTCGAATGATGATATAACGAGTGAACCGACCATATCCTGGTTACTCCTGGATTCATCTCTAGGAGAAAACTCGAGATCTCTTGGAACCCTCATAGTAGCCAGAGCAGTTTTAGGACGCTGTTTTCCAGGGGTAAAGTGACCTCTGGGTCTAGATCCAAGAGGATCAAAACCTTTTTGCTCCTCTAGCTCCGGGTTCAGACGTCCTTCTCTTGAAATAGTTTCCATACTCTTACTTCTATAAAAGATAAACCAATGTTTCCTTGAGTTTTTTTAAAATTTAGATTTAAAATTAGAATATTTACCTTGACATCAGTCGTACACTGTTTAATCAGTATAAATCAATCAATAAATCGATTATTCAATCAATCAATATAAAAAAGCAATCAATTAATATAATAATCATCAGAAAACCTGATTTGGATCAACCTTAAAATGTTCTAAAAGGAGCAAATGTTTATGAATATTTGAACTACATATACTGACTATCCTGAGCGGATCTCCAAAAAGAGTCTCATCTACAATACTGCCTCTGGCCCGTGTCCTGAAATTAAAAGCTTTGTCATTTTTTTAAGAAGATTTTTTTTTTACTTTTTGAAAGAGAAAATCTTTTCCTAAAAATGTGCAGGATGAATTTGCGTTTCTTTATCTTTTCTATTTTTAAGGTTTCGCACACTTGAAAAAAGTTTTAAATTAAAATTCTTGGAAAAGTTTGAATACGTTTTTAAGGTTATTATATGAACAATGATCAAAGGTGAAAATTTGATTATTATAATTAATTTTTAAAATTTGAAAATTATGCAATTATATTTGTTTCGTATAGTTTACCTATATGTATCGTATTTGCAAGATTTAGGTCGCCCAGGTCTACAAAAAATTAAACAATTCAATGTAGCTTCAACATCCTTAACTAATTCATATTTTTGGATCTTTTATTTTAACAACTGTATAGCTATTAGCTATTCTTGCGAAAGAAAATTTTTCTTTTATCCTAAAAAATAAAAATGAGTTTTACAACTTTTAATTTGTTCTTTACAGGTTCTTTACCTACTTTTCCGGGTCATACTTATACATATAGGAATGTAAAGGAATGGAAAGTACTGTGACGAAAGAGCTAAAACTGCAGGATATCAGTAATTTAAGGAAGAAGACTTAATATGTTCTGTGCAGTCGTCACTGAAGTCTCATCCTTTGTGGATGTAAGGACTGCTCAGAAACTGGTTAAAAACAAATCATCAACAGTTAGTAAACAATCCCAGCAAACTAGTTTTTAGCAGTAGGATTTGTACGCAAACTCTCTACCCCATACCATAGTTTTAATGCCTTGCTTGTGAACAGTCGTGTACAGTTACAATGCTCAAGAATATAATATCCTGTACAGTGTAACCCGTACACTCTACAGGTATTCCCTCTACACTGTACAGGTTACAACGTAGAGTGTATATTGTACCTGTACAGTGTAGAGTGTATAATGTACCTGTACAGTGTAGAGTGTATAATGTACCTGTACAGTGTATAGTGTATATTGTACCTGTACAGTGTAGAGTGTATAGTGTACCTGTACAGTGGAGAGTGTATAGTGACCTGTAAAGTGTAGAGTGTATAATGTACATGTTCAGTGTAGAGTGTATAATGTACCTGTACAGTGTAGAGTGCATAATGTACCTGTACAATGTAGAGTGTATAATGTACCTGTACAGTGTAGAGTGTATAATGTACCTGTACATGTATCTGGATGATGAGTGGTATTTAGCAGGTATTTGAGAGGTAGAACAGGTCGGCTAAATAAAATAATAATTAATATAATAATAATTATNCCTCCATTTCCCAGACTATGGGTTGGTCTGGTCCTATTCTCTGTCTGTCATAGACCTATTGTTTGTCTGTCAGTCAGAATGAGTAATCTTTAAAGACTGCGGACATTTTCTTCAGATCATATTTTTTATTCATTGCTTTCTTTCATGCATTCATACTTTTCTTTTTATTCATCTTTCTTATTCATTGCTTTCTTTCCTGTATTCATACTTTTCTTTTTATTCATCTTTCTTATTTATTCTTTTCTTTCCTGTATTCATACTTGTATCCACTTTTTTTCTCAATCCCACTTTAAAAAAAATTCTCCTTCGAAAAAAATGTTGCTTCAAAATGCTTAAACATGACTTTTCTCTCGTTCATCTTACTTACACAAGAAGACTTCCTAAATAAATCTTATCTTAAAACATTATAAAACAAGACACAGAACTGACAGAACTGACAAAAAAAAATGTTAAACAATTTACGAACTAAAACACAAGACTTTTGCCCCTTTGACTTAATTGAATTTATTATCTCATTTCACATAAAAAAATAAACGAATCAAAGAAACCATACATTTACGTTGCATTTCAGGTTTATAGTAACAAGTCCGGCTTACTCCGATTATGGAAGCTAATCGAGCTTTTATAAAAAAAAATAAAGAGAATAAAAATCCTAATATTATCTGACAAAAATTTTTTTTTGCTTATGTCTGTAATATTATAGGACGAACTCCTGTATTTGGCGAAATATATTGAGAAGAAAATGATATAATTCTAGTACTCTCTAGGGTTGGGATTTGTTTAAAAACGATCTTAGGTTGCAAATATTTGCGCACCTTTTATACGATGAAAGGTTCTAAATTACATTTCCGGCTCACTGTCATTTTAATTTTTCAATGTCCTCTTGGTCAATTTAGTTTTCAAAACATCTTTCATTATTTTAGTCAATTAAGCTTTTAAAAAGTCCATCATTTATTGTGGTTTTGGCGAAATCAGTTTTTATAAATCCATTATTTTTTAATTGCTATTAGCTTTATTTTTATTGTTCTCTTTGCCATTTTTACTTTTAAAACATCTCTTATTTCATGTTCTCTTGGCCCATTAGGTATTTAAAACATCTCTTATTTCATGCTCTATTGGCCTATTTGGCATTTAAAACATCTCTTATTTCATGATCTCTTGGCCCATTTGGCATTTAAAACATCCCTTATTTCATGTTCTCTTGGCCCATATGGCATTTAAAACATCTCTTATTTCATGCTCTCTTGGCCCATATGGCAGTTAAAACATCTCTTATATCATGTTCTCTTGGCCCATATGGCATTTAAAACATCTCTTATTTCATGTTCTCTAGGCCCATTTGGCATTAAAAACATCTCTTATTTCATGCTCTCTTGGCCCATTTGGCATTTAAAACATCTCTTATTTCATGATCTCTTGGCCCATTAGGTATTTAAAACATCTCTTATTTCATGTTCTCTTGGTCCATTAGGTATTTAAAACATCTCTTATTTCATGTTCTCTTGGCCCATTAGGTATTTCAAACATCTCTTATTTCATATTCTCTTGGCTCATTAGGTATTTCAAACATCTCTTATTTCATGTTCTCTAGACCCATTAGGCATTAAAACATCTCTTATTTCATGATCTCTTGGTCCATTAGGTATTTAAAACATCCCTTATTTCATGATCTCTTGGTCCATTAGGTATTTAAAACATCCCTTATTTCATGTTCTCTGGGCCAATATACAAAACATTCATGGGGTTTTCCATGTATTGCCAATTTAGCCTGAAAACATCCCTCGCTAAAGCTTATACGTTCTGATTGAGTTAAGAAAAGGTTAAAAATTCGAGCCCCCTGGAAAAGTTTTGACATGTGTAGAGTAATTTTTCTAAATTGTATAATATACAATATGTGCTTGTACACAGATAATTAGTTAGAAAGTCGACTTGACACTTTAAAGATTGATGAGAGTTCACCATTGTAAATGTTCTTATAATTACTTTTATCAGAACTACAAAAATATAAAAAAATATAATATCAAATATTTGTGGTTTCTGTGAACATTAATAACTATATTATTTTCACATTTTAGAACATAAGAATTTGAATAAGAAATATTCAAACTATGTACTTTATTTCAGCTTAAATTTAATTTTTTTTCTTGAATCGGTAGGGGGGAGATGGTGGGGGGGGGGGGTTGTACATATATTTATCTATAATATGTTGTATTACACCCTGCAATCAGTTCTGATATGAATCCTGTCTACTCAACAGTATAGGGGATTTGTATTAGTAGTATCTATCTATCTTATAATCCCCACCCTCACCTCCTTCGATCCTAATTTTCCCCCTCCCATCGACTTACTGAAAAATCCTTCTTTTGTTTGACGGATTGCTGATTCATCAAAAATTGGAGATGTAATACCAATTACAAATGAGAAGTTCTGGAACGATGATGCGCAGAGTTTGAAAAACGGCTCTCTGCGCATGGTACAAAGGAATTGAGTTTTCGTCACAAACTCTGATTTTCTATCCCCTATATCTTTATAACCTAATATCATAGACCTTTGATATTTCAAACTATGAATTATGTTCGATCAAATAGTCTAAGTTTAAATATCAAAGTTGTATACCATCAGGTTTCAAAGATTTAAGAAAAAGAAAATTTGAGTTTGTGGAAAAGACTCAGTTCCTTTATCAGGAATGTAAGAAAGTGTCGTAGAAAACCCATTAATAAAAAAAACTAAAAAAACATAATTAAAATTGGTTTCTACGATCTTCAGATAGGGTTTCCACGAAATGGCTAAATCTTTTGCGCAAAATTTGCGCTATTTTCGCGCAAATTTTATTTTTGCGAACTTTTGCGCTATTTTTGCGCATGAAACGCAATGAGTTTTGCGCGGTTTTGCGCTATTTATTTTGCGCAATTTGCGCAAAACCGGAAATATTTTTTGCGAAAGTTACGCATGAAACGAAATTTTAGTTTTGCGCAATTTTTTTGCGCAATTTGCGCAAAACCGCAAGTTTTTGCGCAAAACCGCAAGTTTTACGCAAAATGTAACTTTTTAGGCACATTGTCAAAAATTGATATTCTAAGCTTAGAATTAAACAACTGAAGATTTATTCCTTATACAAAAAAAAATATTAACATACGAGTATGATAACGATTATACTACACTCAATTGGTTACTTCCAGTTACAAAAAGTTTAAATTAAGGGACCAAAATTAATAAAATAGAAATTAGAGAGTGTGAAACTTTGCAATATTTTAATCCTATTAAATAATTTCTAGTGACCCGGCCTTAAAAGCTTTGCTTAATCATGAGTATGAATTGTATTCTTAATTTTTTTTAATCAAATTTCTGAAATCGTTTTGATTTCATATAAAATAATGCAAGAAAGTAACCAATGCCTGAAGAATCTACTTTTAGGAAATATGCATGTCCAAAAGATTTGAACTCTTCTTAATTGTCATTGGTCAATTATGTAAAAGTGACCAATAGGAAGACATTCCAAAACAAGATTTTTCCAGAATTGAATTCTAAGAAACACACACCGTCACCAACCGTTTGATTTTTACGAAATTGCGGAATTGCGGATTTGCGCAAAACTCTTGTTGCGGAATTGCGCAAAACTTGAGTTTCGCAAAAGCGGAATAGGGCAATTTTGCGCGAAATGACTTTTGCGAATGATTGCGCAAATTGTTGTTTTTTCGCGCAAAATTGATGCGCAAAGAAAGAAAAATATTGCGTTTCGTTCCGCAAAAATTGCGCAAAAGTTTTGCGAATGGAAACCCTATCTTCAAATCAATTTAATAAAACTTTGAACCTACAAGTATTATATTCAATAACATTAAAAATGTTCTATTTCAAATATAAATTTCCCGGTATTTTTATTATCTCCTACGTAGAAATCCAATTTAACATTTCTTAAAAATTAATCTACAGAAAGATGATTAATTATTTTTAGTTTATTAAACCCTCAAATTAATCTATATTTACGGTAAGATTGATAACATATAATGATACTTTCAAACTTTCTCATATTTTTTATTAAAACAAGAAGAAAAGGGGTGTAAGGTTTAAAGGAGTAAAGCAAATTAATTTTCTCAAGAATTTTTAAGGCCAATTTGGCCACTCAAATATTCACAGCGCCGCGCACCGAGAGATGAAAATCTATGAATTTTGAAGGCAAAAGGATATTATTTTACTTAAATACTCCAAGAGACAGTCAAATAACGTAACATCCCACCCAATAATAAGGAAAAATTGGTCTTTATTGTTTGGTAAAAGGGAAAACAAAAAAATGTCAAATAGAAAAAAACTAGAAACTAAAAAAAAACAAATGTTATGAAGTGAGTAAGGGTTGAGATAATAAAATAAAAATTAAAACCCTAGATAACGTTTTTCATGAAAGAAACTGATAATGAAAATTAGCATAATGTGTGTTTGTTAATGCAGGGGGTAAACAGTAAACACTAATATCTCTTTGTGACTCATTTAAAGAATAAAAATTAATAGACATTTCATCATACTTAAAAATTCTATACCAGCTTCCAAGGACCATGACAGTACAAACCAAATTAAAATATTTAGTGGATTTTTCTGTGTTTTTTTTTTGGTGGATTTCTTAATTTTGTTTAAGCAATACTTTTTCATTTTATTAATTTTAAAAACGTCAAGATGTCGTGTGTGTTACCAGACAAAAGTGTGGATTTGATCAGTTGAGTCAAACAGACAAACAGACAAGAAAGATCTTTAGATGTCCATAAAGGAATTGAGTGTTTGCCACAAACTCTGATTTTTAAATCCCTTTATCTTAACAACCCAATGTTGTAAACCTTATTTATTTCAAACTATGACTTCTGTTACATAAAACAATTAAAGTTTGAAATTTCAAAAGTTTACATAATTTGGTTGTAGATATATAGGTATTAGAAAATTAGGATTTGTTGCAAAGACTCAATTCCTTTGTTTTTAAACACAATTATCTATTTATATAATTTAGTTTTTAGCTTAGTCTTTTAGTTTTCTCGGCATTAACCTATGCAGCAAAGATGAGAAATCAGAATAAATTATTTAAGATTGATTGTGTTTTGTTCCCTGAAGAAAACATACTAGAATATTAAGATAAAAACTGTGAAAACTACAACTTTTCAATATGTTTTAGAAATTTCTACAAAACCAAACATGCATGCGTCGAACATAAAAAGACTTAAAATATTAGACGAGGCTCGATAAACATTAGAACTTTATCACTTAGATATCTAAAATGAATCTTTTAATGTGAGACTTTCCAACCTTTCTCTAAGATCCGATTAACATGATATCATTTAACTAAAAATTGACAACCTGCGGTCAACCGCCATATTCTTTATCAAGTAATGAAGAATTTAAGTTTATTAATTACAAAAAATAAAAAAAGTGGAAGATAATTCTACAATTCAAGAGCAAGGTTGGGAAGATTCAATTTTACATCGTTATGACATTTTACAATCAAAGGGTAGATAAAAAACAAACAAATTTATTATACCCTCAAGTAAACAAATCTTATGTTTATTGACTCTGACTGTCAGCTACTGTGGAAAAGGACGACGACATCCCAGCAATCTTATTTGTTTTTGATGCAACTGTTATAAAGCAAATAGTATTGATATAAAAAATGGGTCTGTAGACACTGTACAATTGTTGTGTTTTATGTTCATTGAACTAACTTTAGCCTTACAGTAGTCCTCCTATTCCACAGATTTATGGGCCCCCCTGTAGATAAATAAATACTTACATAAACAGGTTCCGCAGGTTAAGAAGGACTCGTTGAAGTCCTCGTAGTTGATGGAGACGGTTTCCACCAGGGTACTCGACATCTTCATCATCTCCTCCTGACACCTTACCCTAGATATACATATCAATCAATCAATCAATCAATCAATCGACAAATAAACGATTTAACAATGAATACGATGAATCGACGAATCAATAAATTACTGAATTAATGAATCAATGAATCAATGCATCAATGAACCAGTTACTAGATGAATCAATGAATCAATGAATCAATGAATCAATGAACCAATGAACCAATGAACCAATGAACCAATGAACCGATGAATCAATGAATCAATGAATCAATGAATCAATGAATCAATGAATCAATGAATCAATGAATCAATGAATCAATGAATTAATGAATCAATGAATCTATGAATCAATAAGACAATGAAGGCAGGATGAATGAATTAATCAATCAATAATCAATCATTAAATAATCAATCATCAATCAATCAATCTTCGATCAATCACCGATCAATTATCGATCAATCAATCAATTGATATATAATGGATCAGTTCAAATTGTTTCCGTCACGAAATATTAAAACATTGAATAATTTAGTACAATTAAAGATTTTTTCAGATTTTTTTTAAAAACTTGATCTGAGTTTATATAAAGATCTGGAAGTTGTGCAGATTATATTTATTAGTTGTATAATTATATCATTTATTCAACCATATTCTGCAGTAATTTAAATACAAATTAAATAATTAAACATTTAATATGTAGATAAACCTATATACGTAATGTATTCCTATAGCTGTCATCAATTAGTACATTTACAGGGTAAATCAATTTTATTCTAGTTTTGTACCTTAAAGTTTATCCTCAATGAAAAATGTAAAACTTTTACAGATAATGCAATAAAAGCACATGCTGTATTGTATAGTTACTAAGATTTAGTGCAGTGCACTAAACTGTACTGTTCAGATCGCACTGTTCTGCACTGCACTGCACTGTTAAGTTCTGAACAGTACTGTCCTGTTCAGAACTGAACTGAACTGAACTGAACTGAACTGAACTGAACTGAACTGAACTGAACTGAACTGAACTGAACTGAACTGAACTGAACTGAACACCCCCCCTCCCTCCCTGTCAAAAAATTCAGTTCACCATGTCAACTTTGACAGGGACAAAGAAGAGATTGCTAACTAAACTGTTGGCTAATGGTAGAACTGGTTCCTTTAAAGGTAGATATTAAAGATATAGAAGAACCTAATCAAGGTTGAAATATATGTCAAGGAATGATATCAAGGACGTTAAAAAATAGAATAATAGATGAATAACAATGACATATTACTAAAAATACCATTTTTGTAAAAATAACTTGGAAACCAGAGAATTTAATGTGGAAAATATTCGATTGTGATTAGATTTACTCTTTTTTGTTTCTTTAAGAACAATAAATAGTAAACTTACTTTATTACGAAATAAAATTATTTTTAAATTAAAGTTGCAAGGTGGAAAGCCATTTTTACGCTAAATTAGATTGTGAAATGAATTTTCGACGCAGTATTTTACGGAATAAATTTAGGGAACATTTACGCAGTAAAAGAAATCAATACGCTGGTAAAACCAACCTCTAGCTTGTTCTGATAATAAAAATAATATACTTAATTGTTAACAATTTGTTTAGAATATAGTTTTACCAATCGTTTCTCAGTAGTTCAGCAATTGAACCCATTTTCCGAAGGCTCTACGTGGGTTCAAGCTCCCTGGTTCATTCTACGCAGTCACATCCATACTCGTTTTTTGAGTAATAGGGAAAGGGGGTGAGTTTGCATCTATAATTATCTGTAAGATAATTATAGATAATTTCTATCTAATTATTTTTTTGAGTCTTTCATGAGAGGGGTAGGGGCTTATATATTTCACTGAATTTTTCGTACCCTATCAGCTTCGCTTATATAAAATGTGTAGCACCAAAAAATTATTTTTATCTGTTAAAAATATTATCTCCATTCTCATTTTTTTGCATGATTATATTATTATTCCCCCCCCCCCATTAAAAAAGTTGTGTTTTTATGAAAAAGTTTAAGTATTGTGGTTGAGTGTATCAAGAACGGAGGATGGGTACATGTGGTGTAAGTGATAGAGTTCTATGATGTAACCAAGAAACCTTTAAATATATTTTCTTTAGCACCCACCTTCCTCCATTAGTTCATGAACCATACAATAAAAAAATAAAAAATTGTAAACCTTCAGGTTGCTAATACATGGGGATTTATTTTATGGCGACTATTCAGCTTATTTAACAAAAAGCTTTAAAAAAACACATTTAAAAAATTTTCTCATCTAGTAACAGTTGATGCAAAAAAGATAAAGTCTTAAATCCAAATTTCCTCTAATTCTTGAAAATTAAGAATCGTTAATGGCAAGGCAATTATATCTTTAGAGATCAAGAAGGTTATCATTAAAAATAAAAAACAAAATTGCTGAAAAAAATTGCTTTTCAGCTATCTCCTCATATTTTAATGTAACCTTATTAAAATTAACCTCATTCAAATGAAATGCTGTCTAACTAAATATCTTACAATTATTTAAAGATATCAAACATAAGATATGAATTTAATTATCTAATGTTATCTCTAGGTAGTACTAAACATGTATCCAACTATCCAAGGTTATCTGTAAGGTGGAGCAGGGTTCCTAATCTCATCATTAAAGGGACTGTAAGCGTATTTCAAGTGACCCTCTATGAAAAGAAGGCAATGCCTGATTCACAGCGGTACCTTTTAAAGATTTGTTTGATCGAATTTTAATTAGTGATCCATGTTTGAAAACTGATTGTGTTTCCTTGGTGGTTTCTCTACAGAAGTGATATTATCAGAATTAAACACTTTTAAACCTAGAAAAACGAAAATATCTGCCACATTACTAATCAGATAAAGGTTTAAAGGTTACCGTTGGAGATCGGACATTGCTATCTTTGCATAGAGGGTCACTTGAAATTGCCTTTACAGTCCCTTTAGTACCGGAGCATATATACACTATTCGATCAATTGAACACTTTGATAGCGGAGCATATATACACTATACGATCAATTGAACACTTTGATAGAATTCCATAAGTACTAAACATACACGGTTCTCTTATTCTGGGAATTATTGTTGTTGGTAGGTATTAGCAAATACAACCAATCAGAAGAGAGTTAGAATAATCTCAAACGTGTTTTATATAGTCTATAGAACTGTTCTATATATATATAAATTCAACACGCTTAGAAAAAACCTTTCCCACAGTTCGGGCACATTTATACTTTTCGAGGAAAATCAAATTCAATAGTTGAAGTGCATGAGAAAAAGAGAGAGAGAGAAAGAAATAGATAAAATATGTACAATTGAAGATAGAAACAAAAAAAGGAGAGGATGTTTAAAAAAAAAATGTTTTTTTTTATCTGACAATTCATTCAAAAAAGTTATGTTTGTTTAATTCTTGTGACATTTTAACATTTTTTAATATTGCTCTTTATTTATTGTTATTATATCGTTAGAATTGGAGAGAGTAAACCTTGACCGAAATATATTTTGAAAAATGTGGACCATCATAAACACTAAATTTTAGATAAAAAGTTTTAATTCTGTAAGAAAGTTTGTGTTATAGAGACTAAAACATGGAAAGAGTAGCAGAAATTATGCATCCATAAGCGTATCTTAGTTCCGTATGAAAGGATAGAATATCCAATGTCTACCCTTAATGTTTAATTACTGTGAATATCAAAGGAAGCTAAGGGGGGGGGGGGGTGTTTAACTATCCATGGATAATTAAATTAATTAACATAAGGATCTGATTTATCTGAAAAGGGTAAATAAGGAATGGACAAAATAGAATAAAAATTAAAATTTTTAAATCTAAAAGAATAAAAGATCGCAAAAAACGAATAAAATGATCTTTTTCGAAAACTATTTGTTTCCCCAAAACTTAAAACTCAAAACTACCCAAAATAAATTTGTGAAGGGAGTGAAGGGAAGGGGGGATGAAAAATAACCTCACAGGATTTTTTATGGCTTTTGTAGAGGGAGGAAGTAGAAGTTATGGAAAAGAAGTAATAATGAAATGTACATATATTATGTAGAACTGTATAATATCTCATGGGAAAGCTGAAAATATGAAAACATATTGAACATTTTCTCAGATTAACTTAAACTCTTCCTTGCACAACAAAAATACAGAGAAAATCTAAAATAATTATTTCAAATAAAGAGAAAAAACTGCAAAAATAATATTTCCTACAATTTACCGATATTTTCTGTAGATTCTTTAAACAATCAATAAATTCAAGGATTTAGAGATAATCTATGCGGTTTATGCAAATATAATTGCAAAATTCATTTCAGAGGAAAACAAACCAAACCTGGGGTTTTCTCAACATAATTAGTAATCATTTTTGCTAATTTTGCATGACCCCGAATGTATAAAATTCTTAATTATTTTTTTTTATCTTTTTTCCAGAGACTGTAAGAGCTTGTAAATATTTGCAGGGATTAAGTAAACCAATCTTTACCCAGACATTTTGAGAGCAAATACAGGGGGGACAACAAAGTTTATCCTACAGGGTGAGAGGAAATACAGGGGGGACAACAAAGTTTATCCTACAGGGTGAGAGCAAATACAGGGGGGACAACAAAGTTTATCCTACAGGGTGAGAGCAAATACAGGGTGGACAAAAAAGTTTATCCTACAGGGTGAGAGCAAATACAGGGGGAACAACAAAGTTTATTCTACAGGGTGAATCACATCTTAATCGTTGAAACTGTCCTCGTAATTTCAAGCGTTGCATTCACATGTTAAATTATGACAATATCCTTCTTTATCTCTGCCTTTATATATCCGCAGGTTAATTTTTGCTAATAGAAGGGTACACAGAATAGGGCATGTAACTGTTAATATAGGGTTACTTAAAATTTCTCTTTCAGAAAAAAAAATATTTGATTTTTTAAAACGTTTTTTTGGTGTTGAAGCATCGCAAAATTTGATAAAAATAGGAAAACTCGGTCCGTACGGAGTTAGATAGACTAAGGCGGNTAATGGAAAATAAATATTATATGACAAAAGGTCAATAAAAGTTGGGAAGTGGGGATACAGTTTTTTATATAAATGGGATTATAAAAGGAGTAAAACTAAAAAAATAAACAAGGAAAAGTAAAATAAAATGTTTTATAAATAAATAAAATAAAATTTATTGTAAAATATTTTTTACTAAAATATATTGACCAAAGCAAGTTTAAAGAAAAATCGTTAAAATGTTGTGCAATGTAATAATATAGTAAAGGAACTATAGTTCGAGTCTGATTTATTTTGGCATCTGCACAAATGGGTTTCATTTCCATACAAGATATTAATATTATTAAAATATTTAGATCAAATAATCTCAGTTAGAAATATCAAAGATTTATACTTTCAGAATACAAAGATATAGGGATTAGAAAAATAATTTGTGGCAAAGACACATTTTCTTTTTGTAATAAAAAAGACATTAAAAATTATTGTCGAGCCAAGTAAAAAAAAAACCTTGAACAAAACGAGCCATCTCTACCNAGAAGAACTGAAGTGATTTATGCGGAGACAGGTCTGAAGATATAAAGAGAGAGATGAAAATTCCTGGCAAACCCGTCCTCAGGCAGGAACCAGCCAACCTAGTAGGATCAGGCCAAAATATGATTAAACACAAGGAAATCTACAGAAAGAAAGTCTCCAAGATATTTGTCGCAAGTACTTACAAAGAAACTTGTAAAAGTTTGAGTAAGGAAAAACAGTGTAGCCATCAATTTTGGCTTTGATGAAAGATAGAAGAAACTAGAAAATAGATAATCCAAAGGACCCTGTGAGTGCGAGGTCACCCAGTGGTTTAGGATTCAAATAAGAAGTTAAACACTAAACTAATAAAGTAATCATTACTTCGCATGATTTTGGCTTTATAAAAGATTATGCGGACTTTTTTTCATATCACAAAATAATCGTAAAGAAAATAATATCAACTAATAGTTAACAATGGTTAAGCCATTTTAAGAAAAAAAGATTTAGAAAACTTATATTGTTTTTAATCTAAATCGTGACATTGCATACTCCATACATGAAAATATTAGTTCTAAAATATCTTGGGTTTCCATTTAAATTAATATCAGAATTTTACTGCAGCATAAAAAGTAAAAGTCCAGCGCTTAGGATCCGGAAGATTTTGGCTTCCTGGATCCGGATCCAAGGGGTAAAATATCAACCAAAAAAGGCAAAAAAAAACTTTTTTATTCCGAGATCTGAACTTTTGAAAAAAGAGAACTATAAAAATGTCCTCATTTCTGAATGGTTCATCAAGTTTTAGGATAGAAATAAGCGAAAGAAATAAAACAAAATATTTGAAAATTATTTTTTGTTAAAAAAATTCAGTAAATCTTAAGGAAATGACCTGGATCTGGATCCATTTTTTCCAGTGCGGATCCAGGATCCGGATCCGCATCAAAATTAAATGGATCCTAAGCACTGAGTAAAACATATGTACTTTTTAAACTAATAATTACAATTTATTAGGATTGTCAACGACATAAAATAATAATAACATAAAAACGAGTAAGATGGCTTTTATGCTTGGTTTGAGCAGAAAAGACTACTTTTCCTTTTTATTTTAGCTCTGTATATGTAGATATATCGACAACCATTAAGATAAGGATAAATGTCCTCAGATTATTACATTTCTCGGCACAATATATGTCTATATACTATATTAGTGATGGTATATACATTTATTATTTGTATTACACTAACCCCATCTAGTGTTTAGCACAGTAATTTACGCCCCAAAACAGACAGAAACTGACCCCTGTCGTTATGTATACGTTAGTAGAGAACCACCATTGAAAATATCGTTTTTTCAAAATTATAAACATTAATATATAATCTTAATCAGTTAAAGCTTTTAGGGGTACCATGGTGAATCGGACAATTAAGCTTGCAGTTCCTTTAAAATCTTTTCTTGACCGTAAGCTACATTAAGGTACCCGAATGCACAGGCATAGGCTTTCTCAAGTCAAGTCGGTACAATTTCCCTTCTCTTTATTCTTATTCCCTGGTTCGGCCTAACTGGAAAAAACTATAAGAAGTTAATGATATTTAATGATTTTAATGAAGCTCTGTATTATTAGCTGAGTAACCAGGGATTAAGAAAACAATATAATACTTGGGATTAGTAACCTGTAACACTGTATTATTAGCTGAGTAACCAGGGATTAAGAAAACAATGGGACAATTAAGTTGTACAGCTAGGTCTAAATTACAGGGTTTAATATTTTTCGTCAAAAAAGGCAATTAGCCCTTAAAACATTTTTCTTATAATGAGTAAAAATGTGTAAAGATAGTAAGGGAAAGGGCATGATATATAACCCTGTAAAAATGTGGATTGCCGAAAGCTATACTTAAAAAAATGATCCTTTTACAGATGGAACATAAGATATAGAAACTAGGGGCATGAAGACCTGTACAGACGGGAGGGAGTAAATTAGAAATAAAAATAAAATTTCAAGTTTTTTACTACAAATCCTATAAATAGAAAGAAAACATTGTTTGTTGATTTTCTTCAATATGTAGTTATTTTACAATGTAATTTTTTCTCATATTTGGAGGATGCCATAGAGTTATTTAAGCAGAAGTTATCTAAATATTTATGATTAATACGTATAATATTTATATTAAAGGGATGTTACGCGTATAATTAAAATATAAGCAATAAAATAACAAAATAACTCGGCGCTTTATATGAGAAGTTTTCTTCAGATATAAAATATATATTTTATTAACGCCAGGTCTACATATGTTACGTGTATGTTTACCAGGATACTCTTGTTTGCACACTAACCTATATTTAATATTTTACATCATATCTCTAGTATCTAGTATCGGACACTGTGGGCCGGATAAGATGCGTTTATATAAAGATATTACGCAGTAATCTTCTCACAGGTTCACATTACTAAAGAAGTGAGAGGGGATATCCCTTTAGAACTGAGGCCGAAATTTATGAATTTTAGCCGCGGTTTAAATTTAAGCCGCGGCTTTATTATGGTTAGTTTTACTTAAATTGTATCAAATGTTTCAAGATTTAAGCCGGCGCTCATTTAAAACCGGGTTTTGGCGGATTTAAGCCGCGACTTAAATTCTTTAAATTCGGCCTCTGAACACTTTATAATTGGGTACTCACAATACCGATCGCTTAATCTGAAAATACACTATGTACACTATTGATTTCTGCTTAATCCGTTCTCTCATTAAATGGCGCACAAAATTAAAAATTTTCCTGTTTCTAGTTTGCTGTTCAGAATTCTGCCACTACTCTGATAGGTTGAATTTTATAAACTTTCCTGGATACAAACTATTGATTAAACTAATCTTATGGATAACCAAAAGAGGAGATAAAGCATTGATCTCGATATGCATTATGCACAATTAAAAAGTTTTCAGCTTAGAGGAACTGTAACAAAATGAGTTAATTAATGTCTCATACACTTATACAATATACACCCCTCCTAATATACATAACAATAGTTTACTACGAAATGATTTCGTTACGTTCTTATGAATATGTTTATGCTTGTGAAGTAAAATCTATTATTTTCGGATCATCATTCATATTCAATCTTACTCATGGGTTCCTTTCACCACCAGTCCTAAGCATGTTGACATCAAGATATTGAAAATATGGGGAATGAAGGGGGGGATGTAGGGGGTGGGGGATGGGGCGTATGGTGTAGGTTTCCAATTTAAAGGGACTGTAAGTGTAATTTTAAGTAATCCTCTGCAATTGTAATGTTTTCAATGCACGTTATACAACTGTAACAGTGAAACCTTTATATAATAATATAATGTACAACATATTCTCTTTATATGATAATATAATGTACAACATATTCTCTTTATATGATAATATAATGTACAACATATTCTCTTTATATGATAATATAATGTACAACATATTCTCGCTTTCATAGGTTTAATAATTCCTATTGTTTTCTTGCAGTAGAAATGCGCAAGTCACTTTTGTAGAGAAACCCCAATAGTAAATTTTAAGTTTTGGAAATTATAACCATAAATCGTACTAGATCATACAAAGCTTTTAAGGGTACCGTTGTGAATCGGTCATTGTGATCTTTGAAATCACGCTTACAGTACGTCTGACTTATAGAATCGGTGATAATTTAAGATTATGAAACTTTAGTTGGAAAAAATTATTAAGGTATAGATAGATAGATTATTGGGTAGGAAGGTAGAAAACAATAGAAATTAAATAGAAATCTAAATAAGTACAGGTAAGTACACAGTGTGCTTGAAGGATCTCTAGGAGATAAAAAAATCCCATGTAATTTTTTTGAGATTCTGAAAGAGTTCATTAAGACGAACATTTTTCTATATGTCAGCACTTTTTCCTAATGCGAATTTTTCTGCAATTTGCATATTTGCAAAGTAATGTTTTATTGACATTTTTCAGCTCTTTATATAGAAAAATTCCCGTATTTGGATGTAATTTTGAAATATTAAAGGTTTACACAATAAGGTTGCAAAGAAATAGGGATTACAACATAAGATTTTGTGGCGACGACTCAATTCCCGAAAATTATATAAATAAAGAAAGCTATGAAATACTAAGGTTTCTTGACAAGATTACGTCATATTTTTGGATAAATTACTTTGCAGAACACCTTCTACCCCCCCCTCTCAACTATTATGTAACTGGAGTACTATTCAGATCTGAAGAATACTATATCAATGCGTAAAAAGAGAATCAAACACTAATTTGAAATATAACACTTGTACTACATACAACCAAGGGAGCCGAAAAAAATGAAATGATAATGACGGAAGAACAAAGAGGTTTGTGTTCAAATTAAAGTTCGTGATCAAAATTGAAGGTGGTATTTTTTTGTCAAATTGTACATAATTTTAACATTGGTACAGAGTACACGAACATGATATACACCAGGGTACAGTGTACAAGTACATGATTTATACCTGGGTACAGAGAACAAGTACATGATCTACACCTGGGTACAGAATAGAAGTACAAGTAGTGTATAGTACACCTGGGTACAGCGTACAAGTACATGATCTATACCTGAGTACAGAATTCAAGTACATGATCTACACCTGGGTACAGGATACAAGTACATGATCTATTCCTGGGTACAGGATACAAGTACATGATCTACACCTTAGTGTAATCCTGTTACGGTGTCTGATCAATGTAAAACCAAGGGAGTAAGAATCTAAGATGCAATCTTACAACTTCCTCCCTTCCCCTCCCCCCTTTCTCCACCTGAACACCTCATATTTTTATTTTTCCATGTTGACATTGTATGCCAGGAAAGAAAAATATTCTGACAGCAATCAATTCTTTGTATGCATAAATATCAATTATGATAATACAAAAAGGAAATATTGTTTTTTCTTTCTTCATGTCAGCTTATAATGTAATGTTTTCACAAAGGAACACTTTTCCTTTACATTAAAAAGAAAAATAAATAAGTGAATAGAGTTTTTGTTTGACCATTTGTATAAACTTGTGTTTCACAAAGGAACACTTTTCCTTTACATTAAAAAGAAAAATAAATAAGTGAATAGAGTTTTTGTTTGACCATTTGTATAAACTTATGTTTCACAAAGGAACACTTTTCCTTTACATTAAAAATAAAAATAAATAAGTGAAAAGAGTTTTTGTTTGACCATTTGTATAAACTTATGTTTCACAAAAATAACACAGTTGTGTAAATTAATAAATATCTGTTAATCTATAATGTCAATACAGTTTTTTATCCAGTTATCCTAGCCTGCGGACAGACTGCAATGCGTAAACATTTTTAGAACAGAAAATATAAATTTGACATCTATGTCGAAAATATGACTTGAGTCTTTGGATGCATAAATATCTGTAACAACAGCAATGCACACTAATCCATGTTGTTGACGCAGGAAGAATATTTTGACTGGCACAATTCTAACAACTTGTCATATTATTAAAATTGTAGAATTCATAAAATAATTTTTGCTTTCTTTTTTAAATTTGTTAAAAAAAATTCTTTTCAGTTTTTTTCTCATATTTTTTTTTCTGAATTTTAAAAGTTTTGATTGATGCATTTTTTAGATAGTAGTCATGTGACAAAATATTAAATATTAGTGTCATTGTAAAATTAATGATAATCACATTAAACAAAAATATGAGAGGTCAGATTTAAATATAAAGATTCTAATATTTTGTATCTACGCGACTTTCAGAACTGCAGATTGTCTGCATGCAAAATATCACGTGATTCAAATTTGCAGAGAACTTCTTCAGATCTTATATTAATTGACAATTATTACAAATGTATCCTAATTTACCATCAACCTATTCAAGTCGACCAAAATGTAAAAAAGCCCTATGTTTGAACCTATGGTCATGAGGGAATTTTTTTTTTAAACAGAACAAAATTTTTAGTTTTGTATTTTAATCAAGTATAGATGAAAACCTAGTTTTAAGGGGAGGATGAATTGCAATCACGGATATCTAGGATTGGGTTGGAACCCGGCAGGGTTCAGATTTCTCACTGTTTAGCTCCGATCCCGGAGAAGGAATTGGAGAGACTGGAAGTACCGCAGTATGGGACTAGAGAACACCGCCTCTCACCTGGGGGGGGGGGGGGGGGGTAGGCCCTGGGGGGGAGGGCCCTCCAGGAGGAAAGGCACCCCTGCTATGCTCACCCTCATATGAGTAACATTTAACACCTGATAGGTTTTTAAATTCTTGATAGGGATGGGAGCAAGCTAACCCAGATATATCAGCAGACAAACACTTACGAACACAAACATGCATCAGACAAACTTTAACAAATTAAGTGTCTAAACACAACAGAACTTAATGAATGCAGTAAAACATATATTAATTATAAAGATATTATATTCTAATATTCTACTCCTTATATCTTTAAAACCATGTGTCGTAAATCTTATATATTTAAAACTCTGAATTCTGTTAGATAAAAAGTTTGAAATATCAGGTTTCAAAGATATAAAGATGAAAAACTAGAGTTTGAGACAAGTAATCCATATCCTTATTATGATATTCTTCTACAAAGATATAGATTTATGTATTATATATACACAGATAGAGTGTCTGTTGCAGATATATATTGAGATTTGTTAGTGGATAACCAAACAAATAGTGGTGTGTCAGAGAGATAGTTGCTAGATGCATAGATAGATAGATTACAGGGATGGATGGATAGAAAAACAGATAAAGATAGAAATAGAAAGATAGATAGATAGATAGATAGATAGATAGACAAACAGATATAGATAGAAATAGAAATAGAAATATACATTGATAGATAGATAGATAGATAGATAGATAAATAGATAGACATATCATACAGTTAGATGGGTAGAATATATATAATTATTGTTAGATGCATAAATAGATAGATTATATAGAGGGATGGATGAACTAATATAAATACATAACTAAACGATTAGATGGGTAGAAAACAAATATAGATAGAAGGATGGTTAGACAGAAAGATGAATAGATAGATAGATTGGTAGATAGCTAGATATATAGAGATAGATAGATAGATGATACAGATTCTATAATCAATAAAGGATCACACACACACTGTACTGTATACTCCCCCCTTAGCATTTTTTAATCCCCTTAACGCCAACCCCCCCCCCCACTCAACCTTCCCCCCTTCCCCCTCTCCACCCAACACCCCTCTTTCCACACAACACCCCCCTCTTGCCTCAATGAACCGAACTATTTAAAGAAAGTTTTTACACAAATAATTTGCTGATATAAAGTTTCAGAAGGATTAATCATCCTCAACTAATCCATGAAAACAACCCCCCAAAAAAAAGTTTACTAATCTAATCATCAAATTAAACATTTTTCGGAATATTAAAAACTTCAAGTCTATTAAATATTTCAACACATAAACCTGTATCCGAATTCCGTTTAGTTTTGGACAGTTTTTGCTGATTCTCATTTGTTGATACAAGACAATAAAATGAGGTAACATGTTGCTATGTTAAAATGTAAACAAAATGTTTCTCTTTTATTTACGGTATTTATAAAACTCACACAATTTTCCTCCGTTGGGTGGTTTTATGTGATTTTAAAATTTGTCTCCATTTTATTCTGAATAATGTTGTTTCATGACTCCAATCCTGCTGACGCAAAGCAATAAAAAACTTAATGTTTTACACCGGACCTTCACCCACCGCTTTTTTAGAAAATATTTACATAGGTTAGAAATATTTCTTTTCCTAATTTTACTGATTTTTGTCAACTTTTTACGACAGTTTTTCCTAACTTTTCATTTTCGAGCCAACAAACTTGACGCGAAACAATAAGCACTAAGGAAGAGGACAAAAATTAATTTTGACGCAGTATATTTAGGACAATATAAATTATATAAATTTTTTTTGATTTGTATTATTTTTTTTCTCATTAATTTCTATCTTTCCATTTCTGAGTCAGAAATATAGACACAATTTGGCGCCTACAAAAAAAATCTAGCCGTCACATTTTAGTTAATAACTTTGTTGTTTTAAAATCTTTATTGTTTGCAGATTTTTCGTCTATTTTCTGGCTTTTTATTTACAACAATCTTGATACAGCAAATAAGAATTAAGTTAAATGATCCTATTATATTACATACAGTGGCAACAAAATACAGTTCTACATTTCGGAATAGAAATATATAAATCCACACCATTATATTTTACAAATTTCTGAGATTTTATTTTTCAACATGAAATTTCGACGCTACCCAAGCCAGGAACAAATTTTAAGATATCGCCAAAACAGCGTGAGATATCAAAGGCGGGAAGCGAAGTATACCTAATCCGCGAAAGGCAGCTAAGCTCTCAATGGCAAACAATAGATTTTTTGGGGTTCTGATTGATTGGATCCTTTAGTTCTATCTAAAATGAATGACTTTTAATTGTCAGAATACATATGATACGGATTAGTACTTCCTGAAGGGATTGACTATACAAAAGTTCTAAACTCAGATTTTGACATGTTTGAGGCGACATAACTGACAGGAATGTAGCTTTAGGTCACAGTTTAGACAATTATTTGATCAGAATACAGCATTGTGCAATTCTTTTGTCAAATTAAAGGAAAGAGAAGAAAACTCAGTTTTCCTATTTACCGGAAGATGGGGGGGGGGGGGNAAAATTACAACACACCACTAAGACCGTAAAAATCAATTTAATTTCAAACAAATCATTCAGATATTACAACCTATAGTCATCGATTATCTTTCGCCACATTTCTATATAGAAGTTTAATGAGGGGAGTTTGTTTTATTTTCACCTCAGACCCCACCACTAAAACTGATAAGATAAAGAACTAGGTTAAACCCCTGAATAAACTAGGTTTTAATCTTGTTCAAAGGAAAACAGATAAATGAGAGTAAACAAGGGTAGTAATCAGAACCCATATTATACAACATTAACAAAATTATAGCTCCAGAGGCAGGGGCGGATACAGGATTTAAGTGAGGGGGGGGCAAGATTTTTTAGGAACAAAAAAATTAATAATTAGGAACAACAAATCGTTTTTTTGACTTAAAAGACTCAAAAAGAGTCAAAATTAATGACTAAAGACTAAAAAACTAGATTTTTAACTTTAAGGAACAAAATTAACGGATTAGAACAGGAATTTAGGAACAATTAAAAGATTGTTCAGGAATTAGGAACAAAAATAAATGATTAGGACATGGATTTAGGAACAATTAAAAGATTGTTCAGGAATTAGGAACAAAAATAAAGGATTAGGACATGGATTTAAGAACAATAAAAAGATTGTTCAGGAATTAAAAACAAAAATAATGGATTAGGAACAATAAAAAGATTGTTCAGGAATTAGGAACAAAAATATTGGATTAGGACAGGGATTTAAGTTGGGTCGGACACAGTATTAGGAACAGGAACAATAATAGGAACATTAGCAATTTAAAAACAAAAAGAAATTACTAGTTATACTTGAATGCATCAAAATTAGGAACAATATTACAATTTTGATAAATGAGTATTGATTAAGGAACATTACTAGATATGAACAATATTATAACTTAAGCCTAGTTTCTTACAAATTTCTAATTCTAAATTTATCGTTAACAATAACATTTACTTGTTGTAGGTGATTTTTAAATTAAACTGAAGAAAAGAAAGTCAAGATTTCCATTAAATAAAAAAAGCTTGAAATTGAAAAACACATATGATTTATAAAATTGGGAACATTTTTTGCCTCGAAATCTCAGGAGGGGCTACGCCCCTCCCTGAATCTGTCAGGGGGTGGCGAATGTCCACCCGCCACCCCCCTGTATCTGCTCCTGTCCAGAGGTAACAACTTTTTAGTTGGTTTAACGTTTAACCCTTCTCTGCTTGGTTTAATCTAAGATGTCTGAAACGACAAATATTTGTATAATTTATTATTTATCTTTTTTTGAAACTATTGTGTACTTTATCATTATTCCTCAATTCATCGTGAATTTCATAGTAAACATGCTATAAAGTAATTATCGTGCTATAAAGTTAAATTAACAAAAAAGTTTTGCCTCATACCTCTTTAAAGCTGTTAGGATTCTTTTTTGATGTTTTTAAACGTAAACACCATTTTGAGACAAAGAAAAAAAGGCCTCCTCTTACCTGATGATGAAATTTTTGTTACAGCTTGTACATTTTACAACAGTAGAATAGCCCGGACAGATAAAAGACACTTTGAAAATAATTGAAATAAAAGAAAAGGAACTGGTTGAATAGAATAGGATGAACCAGAATCTAATATCAAAGTTTGAAATAAAAGAAAAGGAACTGGTTGAATAGAATAGGATGAACCAGAATCTAATATCAAAGTTTGAAAAGGAACTGGTTGAATAGAATAGGATGAACCAGAATCTAATATCAAAGTTTGAAATAAAAGAAAAGGAACTGGTTGAATAGAATAGGATGAACCAACGAACCAGAATCTAATATCAAAGTGAGTTTGAAATTACGTTTGCTTATCAACATTGTCCTTTAATTCAAGTATTTATCAAGTATTTAATTCAAGTACTTTAACAAATAATATTCAAGTATTATTCTTTTATCCAGGCTTCCATGGATAGCACTGTGAAAAAGAGGGAGAGGGGGGGGGACAAGAAACAAGGGGGACAAAGAAAAAAGATCACCAGAGGGAAGTGGACAAAATGAAAAGCTCAAAGGAGAGAAATAGATAATTGAAGATAAAATTACTGAAAAAAACAGAAAGAAAAACCTTCTCTAAGACTCTTAACGGGATCAAATAAGAATTTATGATATTGAATATTGAATAAATATGTTTCGAACAATCTGACATCTGGTCTAATGTTCACCCGTTCTAAACCATTGGATACAGCACTTCTTCACATACATATTTATAATAGGTATTTGGTAATCATTTTCATGACAAGAGAAGAATAATAAATATAGATACCCCCCCTCCCCCCGGCCCTCTGATATACATAAATATAAATATAATATGACTAACAACGAGGGG